CTATGTTTGGATCAATTTACAGAACCCCGGATTTTCAACCTCATTGTAGGGTCGCATGTCTTTACAGATAAACAATTGTTACTGTGATGTTGAGTTTGGTGCTGGCGAGGCCTGAGGTGTCTGCAGAGCTGAGTTACCTGCTGCTGCTGCAGCGGTGACGCTGCTAGAGGTCCTGACTGTCGGCGTTGTTTAATCCCACGGCGCCTTAGTAGATGGCCGGAAAGATTCGTCGTGTTTCCGTGGTTTTTTTACTTGTCTTCTACATATTCTACAAACAGCGACCGACTTATTTAGAACACCTCCGTGTTTGCAAAAGCCTAAATGTTTCCACGCGCTGGATCGATAAGTTGGTTTGTAAATGTCTCGCTCGCAGTCGTCTCCTCCACGCTGTGTTTTGTTGTTGTTCAGAGTTCCGCGCGGCTGCCACTGCGTACTGGTGACGTCACAGACAGGCAGACTCAATCGAGTAACGTTTAACGTGTCTAAAGTACTAAAAAACAAACAAACACACATCCATACCGTTTTTGTGCTTAAATCCAATGTGCAGTTTCCAAGTATCGATACAAATCGATTATGTACCATTTCAATCGATTTGTAATCGATATACGTCGTCCGGAATGCAGATTTGCGGAGCACAGATTGATTCAGTTGGATCGCAGGAATATTAATCGATTCAGTGGATGAATCGTTACACCCCTACTTAGAATGCATTTGATCCATTTAACCGTAGAATGTTCATCCACGTGCATCGTGGCTCCGTAATTCATTTGCAAAATTTGCGATGACATTTTGATTGGGGATACGACCAGTAAATCGGAGGAATGAGACAAAAAGAGACAAACAATAGGATATCTTCTAACACGGGTTTGACGTGCGCTTCATACGCCGCTCACACCCTCAGATGTGCTGTAACGTGGAATGTGTGATTTGATTCTTTGTCAAATTAATGAGGAGCCGATTGAAGGGAGGAGAAACGACGGGGACACGAACGCTCGCCGGAGGAATTACCCAGCAGCAACGGATGTGTGTCTCTCTCTTACGCGCACACACCGAGGATTAGCTTTGTTACGCCCACCGATGCACACACAAAAGCCTGAGTTACTGCCTCTCTCACGCACACAAACCTCTGCAATTGCACATGTCGATGGAAGATTACAGATGTTCTGGCGGGCAAAAACAATCTTTTGGCGTCATTATCTCGATGTCAGTGCTGTAATTCCTGACATTGCATTTGGTAAAGAAGAAGAAAACAAATACAAACCCTTTTGACTGCCTTTCATCTGGCACGGCAGTAATAAAAATGTGTACTACTTGGTGCTTTTATTGTGTGATGTGTTACACAAGACTGCCGTAGTTATGCAAGGGAGATACCATTATCGCATCTGAAAAACTGTAACCTAAAGCTTCACCTTAAAATATCAATAAACCCTTTGCAGCACCCCCACTGCGAACACGGGCAGGAAAAAAAAAAGATTTCTATGCTCTTTTTGACCCCAAATCCTGCTTTGGAAAGCCTCCGACTCCTACCTTTCCAATTCAGCTTTCTATATAACCAACTCATCCTCATCCTCCTCCTCGCACGCCCACTCATGCTGCATAATCCATAAGGTTTGTTCTTTCGCTGCTACGCCGATGACACCCGGCTGTATCTCCCACGGAAACCTGACGATCCGAACAGCCGTTCCTGCCCGGTCAACGAGCACAGGACGTCCCAGAGCACACAGCGGCCACGGCGGTAGCAAGTCCTTTTTAACCTGGAAGGTAAAGATCTGTAAAATCACTGTAGGCAAACTGGCCATTTGTTTTTGGGGTAATTAAGGTCAGGAAGGTCAAAGAAATGAGATTAAGAAGGAAGAACATACCATAGTCTTGTGTATTAAATCGATCCTTCCGTTACCGCTGTAGATGAGGCTGATGAGGTCGATGCCACGGTCCGTGCTATTTGTGAAGCTAGCAGGTATTTAGCTTAGCTTAGCACAACGATTGGAAGTGTAGATTTAGGATTTTTGAATTTTGTCCACCTTTGCCACAAACAGGCTAGCCGTTTCAATTATTTGTGCTAAGCTAAATGTTTCCTTCCTCCAGCTTTATGTTCGTGTCACTTTACCGCTTTGATATTTGGCACAAAATTTAAAAAAAACTCGATTTCCATTATTATTGGTCCTATAGATCCTTCCAGTTGAGGCGTGCCGACGGCCGGTGCCACGGCACAGCATAAGCCAATGGGGGGGAAATAATTGTCAGGGCAGGTATTTCCTCGGTGTTGTGATTGCAGGGCCATTATGCGCACCCTAATGAAACAAACCAGCGGAGAGCCTCCATCTCAGCTGTAGCCTTTATCATCGCCCTTCAGAGGATGTACAAAGGAAAACACTTCAGCAGCAGGCTAATTAAAACCAGAGAGGTCTGGATGAGGAGGCCAAACAACCCACGCAGGTGGCGTGTACGTGTTTGTGCGCGTGACCTACAGTGGCACGTCATCTTTATGCATGTCTGTGTGAGGCAGCAATTCATATTAATTTTTTCTTTTTGTGTGTGTTTTCTGTCAGCGAGGTGTCTGTGTGCGCGCGCGTGTCAAAGAGGTGTACGACTGTTAGTGGTGCTTTCCATTCATTTTAATGGCTTCAGCTGTCGCTTCATTCTCGCCGTCTGCACCGCCTGACGGGAACGGCCGAGCAGCTTTCATCTGACAAGACCCTTCTCAAATAGGCCATTGGTGCACCATAATTAGTTCAAATGTCGAAGCCTGTGAATTATTGATGATCGGGGACGAGTAGGGAGGAAGACATTTCACATCAACAGTTTTTTCTTCTTCTTTTTAAAGGACAGCTGGTGCTGTGCGGTTCGCACCACAAACACGAGTCTCTGGTGTTCGGGCCGCGAGAGGATGCATTTGCATCGGGGCGGAGAAAATAAACCGAGGTAGTAAAGGGAATAATTACATGGGCGAAACTGTGAAATAATGTCTCTATTTTCACAGAGAACAGCTGGCTAAAGAGAGCACCGCAGCTCCTTCTTTTTTTTTTTTATTTCTCCGTGTGAAACGGATACCTGAGCACTGGTGGGGAACGAAGTAAACCACAAGACTGGGGTTAATTTATGCTGCTGCCAATCGTTGGACATAATTGCGTTACCATGGCAAAATGACAGCTCGGGCCGGTCCTTTTCCCCCCTCCGGCTCCATCTCAGGTACTTAGAGGGGTTTCTATCCGCTTCTGATTTTTCAAGTGGGACCTCTCAGAAAGAAATGACAATGGACTTTCAATGGCTTATAATTAGGCCACTTTCCTGCACAATTTCCTGGGCATCATTTGCATTAAGACCCATATGGGCACAAGTGCGGGAAGCATCAAAGTTGCCCGCGAGCCAATCTGCCCGCCAGTTAACTGAATCTGTTAATTAGAAGAGATCAGGTCCCGCGAGAGCAGACGAGCACGCGTGAGATTATTGTGATTGAGGATCACCTTGGATTTGTGGCATGGAAACCTTTTTTTTCTCTCTCTCTCTCTCCCTCTCAAGGTTATTCAAAATTGCGTCTTGTTTGCACTTCATTAAAAAAAAAAATAAAGATTTCTCCCAAAAGCACAAATAGTGGATGTTGGTGTGGCTGCTGGCCTGCCCCCTCGGGTGAAGGGTAACACCGCCACCTAGTGGCCGCGAGCTGGTGGAACAGCGCGTGTATGAAAAGGGGATTTATTGCTGCGCACTGACAAATAGCTCCTTTTTCATTCTCAAATTAAATCCTTTGAAATGACGCCGTTTTTTTACACCTAATATAATAATATCCGAACGACGCTCTTTGATTCATCTTTTAAAAGTAACTTAATCGTCCATCTAACTTTTAATTTGCCGCTTTAGCTGCTGGAACCGATCGGAATGGTTATTGCAATTAACAGCTTGGACGGTGCTTCTCGGCTTCAGATGGCTCTTAATTCTCGGATTTGTTGCTGACAGATAAAAGCCCGAGAAAGAAAAGCCTCACTGCGGATTCATCGAGCAGTAGGCGTCTCTTTTTCAGCCCGTGAGGTTGCCGAAAATAAATCCTCGCCCTCCCACCGGTGCGCCACGAGGTCCAGATGGTTGAGTCTTCACCGACGCGTCGCCCCGCTGAATTTCCCCATTGTCTCCCACGCTAAAATTAGAAGGTAATACTCGGCGCAAAGCGTTGCGTCTGCTCTGAGAGTGCTGCTTAATTATCAGGAAACTGATTTATGTTCCGCCCACGGGACGAGTCGTCGACAGAGGACCAGAGCTGGAGACCCCCCCCCAAACAATGGAAGGTTTCACCAAATACGCCTTCACCGGCAAAAACAAAATAAAAAAATCATTCCCTCGTGGTAGTTTTGCTGCTAAAAGACACAAAAGGTTCACACTAATATAAATATCCTGCTCATCTAGTGGTTCAACCGCATTACTCCCATTACCGATTCGGCATCACTAATAAGTGTCATCCCGAAACATAATCGATCGATCTGCTGTGTGTAAGCGGGGCCGACAGCAACGTTTCCCTACTTTTTATATCTTCACCGGCAGAGAGGGGCTTATGTTCAATGGGGAATAAGTCCAATGTTATGCGGCTGGGATTAAACCATCTGCATGATTTGGCAGTTCTTTTCATTTACGCACGCTGTGCGTGCTTTCAGAGGCCAAGATGAGTTTTATTTTGCACCGACAGCGTTTTTGCAAATCGGGAGTGAAACTGGAGTCAAAGCAATCCCAAATATGTCACGGGACGGTCTTTGCACAGAAGGAAAAGTTGTCTTTTACTCGTTGATCCCAGTATGTGACATTTTATGATAGACATGTGTACGTCTTAATTATTCAATCAATAAAATACCCACTTTGCATGTAATGTTCAACAATTTGCAAACATGTCAAGGAATGAATAATTTATCGGTAGAAGTAAATGGGTCCTTTGCTTGTTTTGTTCACGCTACAGAATGTCCCAACCAAACAACTGGTAAAGGTGAAATAAATAGTTCTGGTTCTACGTCAAGACATTTACGAGCAGAAAATCACTGATAACCTTTATTTGAGCTCCTAATACACATTGTGTCACGTTCATCAATACATAGTCTGCTTTAGATCTCAAGATACACTGAACGGAGGAAGGTCTGGACCAACAGGTTGGAACCTCACCTGCGGTCCTATATACACATTCTTATTTCAGAGATCTGCATTTTCTGATAGTTAATAACATGTATCATACTGTATAGCGATTGACGAGGTATCATCACAAGGCTTTTAGCCGATGTATCTTAAATGCACTTTCACAGCAGATGTAAAGTGTCTGCACTTCGGAAGCCCACAGCAAACAGACAGCAAATGAGGTCGGCCTCACATTTGTTATGTTTTTTCAACTAGTGACACCCTCTTTTAAAGGTAAGCAGATCGTGTTTCCTAAGACCAACGTCAGTTCTGTCGAGGTGATGCATCTCCATGGATACAGGTAATAAAACCCAAACAGAGGAAGATTCGTTCTTTTATCAAAAAAGTTTAAGACCTGAGATTTTCAGTGGAACAAAATGTCTTAACATACCAAAAAAAAAAAAAAAGACTGTAAACGGTCACACTAGCTCCACCTTCACTTCGACTTCAAACATGCACATTAAAATCATTTCAGCTAAAAGAATCATTATTCCAGCTGCCGTCTTCTTGTTGCGAGCTAGTAGCACACGGCTCTATGCATATCTTTTTACACTTTTTTATTTTACACTTAGACAGTCGGTGTGTGGACGACTGACGGGGCGACGCACGATTGCGATAACTTAAGACAAATAAAATCTTTTAAAATTCTTAACATGATAATACCTTAATTCTAGCCAACGCTGCGGACTCTGAGGTTACAAGTTCATTCCTTGGGCACTTAGTAAAGAGTCGAGCATGTCGAAAGTGTCTTTGTAGTCGGTGTGCTGTCCGTTGGCAGGCAGCACGCCGTTGCTCCCGTCGTGGTGCTCCGCCATCCTGGCGCCGCCCTCCGTCGAGTAGTGGGACGAGCCGAGGCCCCCTTTGCTCCTGCTGCTCTTGGACGAGTGGTGATGGTGGGAGTGGTGGTGGTGGTGGTGGTTGTTGTGGTGGTGGTGGTCGGAGTGAGGCCTCTTGCGAGATGAGCCAGACGAGCCAACGTCGGGGGCCCTCGCGGACAAAGAGGCGGCCTCCATCGACCCCCGGCTGCTCCCGCTGTGCGAGTGTGAGTGGCCGTGTTTCGAGTGGCGGTGCTCCTTGTGCTTGTCTTTGCCGGGCGGCGCCCCGGTCTGCTCAGACGACACTTTTATCCTCATCTTGAGTTCCTCGCCCGTGGCCGAGCCGTTCTCAGAAAAAGACGGCGCCAGCCGGCCCTTTCTGGAGCCGCCTTTGTCCCTCCGGCCGTCGCCCCCCTGCTGCGCCTGGGAGCGCTTCTTGTGGTGGTGCGAGGAGACGGCCGGAGGGGCCCCGTACATGTCCGAACCCGGCTCGTCCTTCACGCCATTCTGAGAGGCCGGGTCCCCCGCCGCCGCGTGTTTCGCCCTGTACGTCTCCAGAGTCAAGACTTTCTGCAGCCGCGGGAAAGCGGCAGCGTTCACAGCGAGCGGCTGGTGTTTGCTGCCGCCCGCGGCTTTGGGTTCGTGTTTCACCAGCGTGAACTCCGGCGGCTCGGAGAAGTGATCGCTCAGCGGCTGGTAGGAGCCGTAGGAGGCTGCCATGCCGTTGAGGGAGGGCATGTCCGAGGAGTCGGATGAGGTGGAGGCGAAGAAGGAACTGGCGACACCGGAAAAGCCGTCCAAGGACCCCTGGAAGGTACCGTCCACCGCCGGGCCTTCCGTCTTTGGCTTCTTGGCTGCTTGAATGGCCTAAAAACCAACACAAACTCAACGTGAGACACCGGCACCTCAGTGGTACTCACCACGCCCCCCCAACACCAGTAATAAGAATATACCCTCCAGTTTCGTATCCTCTTTAGTTTGCTGGGCGTCTTTTCCAGGATCTGAAGAAACTCGTGAGTGAGCTCTGAAAACCGCGAAGACGACAGTCAGTGATCACCTCTGCAAACCGCACGACTCGTACTGCTACACACGAGCACGCGCGCTACAAGAGACACTTCTGCGTGTCCTAGAAGACGGACGGGCCGTCGTTACTCTCTCACCGTCCAGCAGCTGCAGCGTCACTGTGCGGTCCACGTACTCCCACCAGTGCTTGCTGTCCGTGGAGACGGGGATTTCCCAGTTGGACCACTTGCAGGCCAGGTGGATGCAGACGCACGCAACCACCGTGGGCCTGTACTGCAGGCAGAAGGTGGTGAGGTGCAAACTGCAGAGGGGGGAAGGAGGACGATACCATCGTCAAGTGGCGGCCGTGTACACAACATACATACGAAACAAACATTTTAGGCAGCTTAGCGAGGCAACATGAGCACACCGACAATCAAACAAAGACCTGCACATTACTTACCTTAATGTACAGGAACAGCTAAGAACCTAATTGTTAGGATGTGTTCCTAGTTTTATGAATGACACACACTTCCATGATGTATTGAATGTGGATTAAGCCACATGTTTTTGATTTCAATTGATGTTTTAAATTATAAAACATGACATGATTCTCGATGAGCATTAACTCCTGGCAATCACGATGAATATACCAATTAAATTAAATCCAATCAAATGAATCAGGGTAAATGGAGTAGTCACAACATCACACATGGGAAGGCGCTGCGTTTTGCCCCGCGAGCGATCTCTGCACCCTGGAGCCCAAACTACACTGCAAACTGGCTCCTGCGTGTTAAAGCGTCTCAGAATCATACCAAAATTCCAACGGGGACGTCACACGCACTCCTACCGGCAGAGAGAACAACGTCTCCCGCTAAGCTACAGTGCAACGCTGCTGCTTTACAGCACGAGAGCAGAAATTGCGATGGCGCGTTGTTAACGGTTGCATTTATGGATATTAAACCGTGCTGGCTGCGTTATGGTGAATAGTTGAATTATCGACATGTCTTCAAACAAAGACGTTGACCTCTTCAGTCATGGAGAAACACAGCAACCATGCTAAACTTCTACTCAAATATCATTATTCTTCCCTATTGACAAATAAGTTATTGTTATTCACTGCACCTGGATTAAGAGATCGCATTAGACTTGCATATCAAACTAGCAGCCTCGGTAAAAACTAAAAAGGGAAATATCAACAGCGCAATCGGATCAAAGTTGGAAGCTGCGTGTACTTAAAATCAGATTATGCAGCAGACATATTTCCTCTAGAAAAAGACAGCAGAGCTACGATACACTTTCACTAACCACTGTTAGATTAATGAACTGCATTGCCACGCAGAAACAAGCATTCAGTTTGCAGTGTATTTTGTAGTTGGATTGTTAGCGCTTTTAGGGTGAAAAATGTACAAACAAAAAAAATGTTTTTAAAGCAACCAAACTATACTTACCAAAACACTGTATAAGTTTAAGAATCTTTAGCGGCAATCTATATTCAGGCTACCATTTGAGTTCTCTCTCTTTAGACATATGCACTCCGTACCAAACAACCTGGAGAGGTAAACAGCACCACTACACTCCACATTGTGCATTCAACCCCTATGTGCCAACAAGGAGCCCTTGTACAATACACCGCACACTGCGGCCTGGCCGGTACTGCCCCACACTGGGGGGTTCCCGGGGACCCAGGTCACAAACAGGGCGTTGGACACAGGAAGGGGGGCCCTGCAGGACAGGAAGTCATAGTGTGCCATTAAAGTGCAATAATGGGAACAGGATAATAACCTGTTGGTAGCCATGAAATAAGAAGTCTGTGCCAAATCCTTGCTTGCTGCAAAAGAAGGAGAAAGTTTCGTTTTAGAAACTAGCGGATTCTTTTGAGTCATTCAAAAACAGGTAAATCATTCAATTCAGAGGTGGTGAGAAAAGCGGAGAAGGAAGGTTGTACCTCGCACTAGCTGGGAACACCTCACCACATCTGTGTGTGGATGATCGATTGTTATTTCAAAACCTGCAAAAGAAGACGTTGAGGGAAGATGATCAGCCAATGGCGCCCGTCCAATAGGACGAAGTCTCCTGCGACGTTGTAGTTTACATTTATTAAAATTTGAGAGGAAATTACTAACGCTGCGGTGGCTGGCAGTACAAAACCCACACTGACTAGCTTTAAAAGCACTCACCCAGCGTTTGCAGCACTATCGTTTCCAGGGCTACAAGCTCTTGTGTCTGCTGCTGGAATGCCTGGAAGGGTTCAATGAAGAATTTGAAATCGGATTCTACTTCCTACGAAATAAAAGCGTCGCCAGCCGAAAACTGTAAATGGTAGTGAAGGACGGCCGTTTGAGGGGAGTACTCCTGCAGTTCATACCATTCGGATACAAAAGCTTAACTGGACCGTCATAGCAAAGCCTTTGAATTTGAGGACTTGAAATAAATGGAGGAAAATCCAAAAATGCTCTAATGTGTGGGGGGGGGGGGACCTTGATTGATTGGGCATGCATTGGTTCTGTGCTATTATACAAGACTTGTAAGACTTTACATCACAGCTCAACCATGACAACTCTATATCCACTGGGATTGTAGTAGAGAAATTGCCTCACCCTAACTTAATTATTTTAACTGGGAATTTTCTCTAACTGTATAAAATTAAAAATATATTTCAGTGAGCCATGACATGACAACAAGTCCATTACCCATCCGGTTGGGATTTGACCGGCATGTTGCTCAAAGAAAAGCTGACATTCAGCACAAATGACTCGTCGATGGCTGTAGATAACCTTCTCCTTTCTCTCCAGAGCGTCGCAACTGGGTATAAATCCCATTTAGTCCACAGTTGGCTCCTCCGTCCCTGGTTTACTTACGTTGCTCTTCGTGTCTACGGCTGGCTCTTGTGGGTTAATGCAGGCGTGGGCTATTTTAATGACATGCTCCAGCTTTCTGGGCTGCTCCTCAACTTTTGCTGCCAGGAACAACGTAGTCTGAGAAATGACCTAAAGAGAGGGAGAGAAAAAAACGACCTCAGCTCAGTTTTCACAGCCGTGCCACCTGTAATTACGGCATCAGCAAACACTGCGGTGGTACTTACGTTTCTATGGAATTTGCCGAAGGAGTGGATCATATAAAATCTGTGCATGTAGACTATCGCAGTGTTGATAATCAGTTGCGAACTGAGTATAAAGTTAAGGCAGAACACATGGAGAACATACGGTGATCATACCCTGGCTAACAGTCATGGAGAGGAAACCGTGACACGTTATCGTCGAGCTAGCGAAGCGTGTAACATGCAGGTTAAAGCCACTCGATTCGCACGTTTCAACCCGTACACACGCGTAGCAGAACGTTAATAACGCGGATAAATGTTCAATGCACACGCGAAAACAGCATTTGCAAGTATTTGTCACTGATAACGTTAGACACAAACAAACAATGGGATCTGCATTCTGAAGAGACAAAACAATAGCTAGGCTAGCAAGCTAGCCAAAATGCTCCTAGCGAACGTTAGCCTAAATACAGTTAGAGATAGCTGGTTTAAATGCCCCGTGTCGTCGGAGAACGTCCTGTACGTGACCGGGGATGTATTACGTGTGTTCCCGAGGTATAATTATACATTTTCAACCCGGCCTTGCCGCCCAGGCCTCCAGTAAGCTAACGCTAACTCGAGCTAACCCGGCCGGCTAGCCGCTCGCTTTCAGAAAGGATACACGTTGAGTCTCTGGCCGATGTCTTGGATCAAGTTGGCGGCCTGCTGCCGGTAAGAAAGCTCCCGGTCCGCCTCTATTCCGCCGCGTCGAGACGGCGTGTTTTCGAGCTGCTCCCGGGTGAAGAGCCATTTCGTAGAGGGTCCCCGGTGCACCGCCATTACGCTCCCACAGCCAAGCCCGACGGTGCTAGCGTCGGGAGGGAGTGGGGCGACGGGGGGGCACCGGAAGGACGAGGCGAGAAGCCGAGGCTGAACCAGACCGGTTGGCCCTTTTCTGAACAGCGCCACCAGCGGCCGGCGGTGCGCATGGCACGTGGCCATGCTTTAGTGGTGCACGTGTGGGACAGCGTTTGTGCAGAAATAAATTGGTTCTTTCAGGCGTTTAAGGCATATGTACCGTATTTCAAGGGGTCACACCTGTTTTTTGCATTACCGAGAGCTTTTTGCATTTCTTTTAAATATTTAAAAAAAATATTGGGGCTGTGTAGAACAAGCCTCTTAATCAATTGAACACAAAACAATCAATTATCATAACACGCACAGCGTCGTCTGGTCTGCATTTCTCTCTTTCTACCACTGAGCGGCAGTAGAGGCCCAGACAAAAGCCCCTCGGGTCCCAGGTGATCCATCACAACAAGGGCAATGTAAACTGTAGCTTTAGCGAAGCAGGAATCCACATAACAATCATACATGCTACTGTGAAATGTCCACATTTTGAAAGCACGGGTGTATTATTGTCCCTCCCCACAGCCTGAGATCCGAACAGTCGCTGCCTTCTCGGACCGATAAAAATACTATCTACTCATGTATCCACACAGAAAACGGTAATAACAACACGGTAATATATATATTTTATTAGCTATTTTTATATTATATATATCCTATAACACGGTTATCCGCGGCTCGTCCGGTCTGAGCGCGTTGAGTCCGTCAGCTTCCACAGCAACATCACCGAAACCAGCCCCGGTTTCCGCCTTCACAATAAGTCTTATTTCCAATGGAATATATACATTTGCACCTTGAAACATTTAACAAACGACGAGTGAATAATTTAGACCTTTTCATGAGCAAAAAAGTCTACATAAGCTAATAATAAACGACCCAGAATTCTGTCTTCCAAATTTGACCATGTAATGCTTTTTACCGTAAATATGTGCGTTTTGGAGAAGCTACTGACTTAGAAAATAGTTAATTGATAAAAAAAATAAAATGCCTAAATGTATTTATATTTGAGCTAAATACACGATCTCGAATTCTCCCGTTTTCCGGTGACACACAGGCGTTTGTTTTGAAGTTCACCATCTGTTAATTTCCGGTTTTGTTTCGCCTCACGGTGCGCAAATCTATCGACACTGGACCTGCAGCCCTGGCAGAGGAGTCTCCCTCCTCCTCTTCGTCTCCGGGTGTCTCCCTCAGTAGCAAAAAAAAAGAAAAAAAGGGCAAACAAAGCCTGCCCTTCTCTCCCAGGTGTGACATTTCTGGAGTTCCCCGGCTCCCTTGAAGCTCGCCTCCTCCCCTCCCAACAACCCCCCCCGCTCCTCTCACGATGACGGACGCCGCACCGCCCAGACCCCCCCGCCGTCCCGGACCCGGTGGTAGCGGAGCAGACGGAGTCCCAGCAGCGGCAGACCGACGCAGAGGCTCCGGCCGAGGGTTTGCAGATGGACCAGGAGATGAAGATCACGGACAGCGTGGAGGACGGAGGTAGGCGATGTGTCGTAAAGTTGGTAAACACAGACACACACGCACACACGCACACACACACACACACACACACACACACACGGACACACAAGTCTCATGCTGTTACCACCGTTTTCTGTGTGGATACACGAGTGGATACTTTTGGAATGTCATGTTGATATTGGAAATATGTCTTTGTCACTGTAATGGAGTAGATGCATTCTTACTACTCTATTTTTGATCATTATTATTATTATAGAACACTTGAGCCTTTTGATAATCCTTCCTGTATAATAAAGTGGCCGTACATGTAATAACTCAAAAAAAGATACAAGTTCCTTTCTACGAGTGTTTATTTGGGGGGTCACCTGGGTCACAGAACTTCTTACATGGTTTCATTTAAATCCAGCACTGCTTTGGTCCAGACTGGAATATCTCATCAGCTATTGGAGCCTGACATTTCGTTCAGGGTCCCCAGGGTTTAAATTTACATTACTTTTACCTTTGAGTGAAAAGCCACAGCAACTTTTATACGAAGTTACCATGGAGGAAAGTTCAGACATTCATGCTCCCCACAGGATGAACCGCAGTGCCTCTGGTGATCCCCTGTGGAGTTATCATCAGGTGAAGCATTTAGTCAGTCCAATGCTTTAGTTTAGAACTCAATTAATAACTAATAATAAACCGCGGAGCCGTATGTATGCTCGCCAATGATGTTTTACATTATTATTATTGTCAGTTTATTGATTACAATGATAGAAATGCACATTTTCCCGATGTGTAAACTGAACTTGAAAGCAGCGAGTGTCTGCACGTGGCGTGTCACCGCGCCCCGTGTCTTTGTCTGCAGGCCTCCTGGAAAGCAGCATGCGCCTGAAGCCCCACGAGGCGCAGAGTTACCGCAAGAAAGCTCTCTGGGTGTCCTGGGTCTCCATAGTGATCACGATCATCCTGGCCATCGCCGCTTTCAGTGAGTACGCTCATCGTTTTGCTCTGTTTTTTGGGGGGTGGGGGGTTTCCGTCCTCCGAGCCCACAGGAAGTGACGGCGGCGCCTTGATTGATCGCCAGGAACCGCGTGAAGAACGCGTCATAAGTTTCCCGACCGCTTCCACTTCAAATCAAAATAAGCGACGGTGAACTTTTGTGAGAGGCAGAACAACTTTGCCTTTAGTCGCACACATTCTGGTTCTCTGCGTGACTTGTAGAAATAAAGAAAGATGTCTTTAAATCTCAAAGGAAGCCACTCACTTTGTCGATCTAATTCCGGTCATGTTTCATGACCGCGTTTTTTGTCTGGTTGAATTAGTTTCCTAAGGGCTCAAACTTGAGTGTCAGGTGGCTTTTAGAAAGCACCCCACGCTGCGTTGGCCTCTTCCTGCTCTGCGGTGAATGCGCGCTGGTGGGCTCAGCCGTCGCTCTGCAGATTGACGGGTTTCCTGTAATGCGCGAGGCCGATAGCAAGCGAGAAGCACAGCCTTCGGGTTTCGTGTTTTTCGCTTTGAGAGAATGCCTCTCGGACAGGGCTCCCCCCTTTGGTACCATGCGTCGTCACGCACACACCTAATCGGTTCATTTCGATTCCCGGCGCTCCCCGGGGAAATACAGGCACAGACGGGGAAGAAAACCCAGCGGTTCAATAATTAATCAGTCTTGTTTGAGGACGAAATCAGGAGCTGGAATTGGATTAGTTGGACCACTCGGTTCAGTGCGGCGCTTTGTTCTGGAAGCCGCTTCCTAGAGTTCAGTCCGTGTCTCTTCCTACATTTTGCCCGCTTCCTGTTCCGATGCGCTGGAAGGACGAGCAAACCGGAAGGCCGTCTTTGGTGTGTGTGTGTTTGTGTTCAGTTGATTTTGTGCTTAACTCTTTCCCGATGAAAGGGAGCGGCACTGTAAACAAGAGCCGTTGGAACGGACCGAGGCCGCGTGAGAATCCTGTTTCTAACCAGCTGTTAGAATCACACGCTCCCTGCACGAGGCCACGCCGGCAACGAGACACTGATCAAAGAACCAGACTCTCGTCCAACGGGCACGTCGTCGGCGAGCTTTGTTCTCTCTTTGTGTGGGAAAGCGTCGCCTCTGGAGCATCGTTTGGATATAAGAGACGACGCGCGGACACGCTCGCCTCCGATCGGCCTTATTTAGAAAAATCATCGTCATCAAACGAGTAATTCTGCGTTTTGACAAACACACTCATTTGCAGTTCCCCCGTCAGCTCTGCGCGATGACAGGCTGATGGCGGCTGGGTATCGAACCCTGTCATAGATTAGCGGCATTCATACATTTGGCATATCTGACAGAGTGTGTGTATCTGTGTGTGTGTGTGTGTGTGTGTCTGTGTGTGTGACAGCTTTCTTGGGAGCCAATTAGCCGACGCTGCGCTCGGCTTTGACGAACCGTGGCCGTCTCATTTACACTCTCATTTTCTCTTTTTCTCTCCACGCCTAACGAAGGAGCGAGGGGGAGAGGAAAACGGGAGGATCAAAGAGGGGGGAGGCGTTTGTTTTTTTCCTTCCATTTCAAATCAGATACTATCGACTAAAATATTGTATAAAATCGTGTGAAAGCTTGCGAAGTTTAACTTGCGAAGACAAGAGGGTGCTTCACCCGTGCACAAAAGAAGAAAAGCCTCACGACACCTCCTGCTACTTTTTCTGAGCCGTCACTAATGGGGGGGGGGGGGGGGGCCTGTGACACAACAGGTTGTCGTGATTTTGTTGCATTTGCTCGTGTGGGTTTTCTTTTTCGTCGCCAAATAGATCAATTGGTTTCTATACGATCCGTGGTTGCGCTTCCATGCAGCATCCCTGCAGATCTCTGGCGTGATAAGAAATAAATAAAGAAATCCCACCCACTCATTTGTATTCCGGTGGTCGTTTGTGTGTGTTTTATAAACCCGCGAAGGCAGACTTCCTCTCCGTTTTCATTCCGCTCCGCGGAAGTGGATGATTGCTCCTTCAGCCCAGAGAGAGCTGAGACAATAAAGCCACGAAGGATGGATGGAGGAAAGAGGAGCTTTGCAGGAGGAGAGAATGGGGGAAAAAAGGAGGTGTGAGAAAGGAAGACGGGGAGTGTGTGTGTGGGGAGGAGGGAGGGAGGGGGGGGGGGGGGGGGGGGGGGGCACGGTTTTTCTCTCCTCGCAGCAGAGAGAAAGTGAGTGGAGGCAGAGGGAAAGCGATGCAGGGCCGAGCGTCTGGTCCCCAGTGAGCGTCGCTAAAAATAAACCCGTGCGGCGAGGAGCGGACCCCCCCCCCCCCCCCCCATACACACACACACACACACACACACACAACCCCCCACCCTCACCGCCTATCTGTGTTTCATCTCGTTTGTCTCCCTCCGCCACTGTGCAGGTGTGCGGGTGGTGGCGTGATTTCAACACATCCACGGCTCCTCGTCGCCAATAACAGACGTTGAGCAACAGATTATCATATTTTTCCCCGTTAAATGAAATGTGACTCGTTCGGTCTCTCTCTCTTTTTGTTTCCTTTCTCCAGCTGTTTCCTTCATGCGCCACAGCGCCTCAGCGTTTGGGTTCGCCGTAAGTTGACCGTAGACCCCCCCCCTCAACCCCCCCGCTTCCTTCGCCCGGGTCCCACAACAGAACGTAACACTGTCCCTGCCCCCCCCATCGCTCTTCTCCCCCCCCTGCAGTTCGACGCCACGCTCGACGTGTTGTCCTCGGCCATCGTGCTGTGGCGGTACAGCAACGCCGCGGCCGTGCACTCGGCCCACCGAGAGTACATGTGAGTACGCTCGCCGCACGCTTGAAAAGGCCTGAAAAAAGTTTGCATTTTATCGTCTTTATTTAATTACAGCCCACACATATGACCACATACGTGACAACATGACATGCATCTCGCAGGATATCCTAACATGTATTCCTTCAAATCTCCTGTTGTTGATCAAAGTGATCCTCTTTAATGTCCCACACAACGTCTAGTGTGTGTGCGTGCGTGTGTGTGTGTGCGCGTGCAGTCGGCCTCGCCCAGTAGAGGAGTGTGTCAGATACCGGACCTCTTCGGCTCAGTCCCTCTGGGGCCGATCGCCTCGCGTCTTATCTGTACCTGCTGACAATGGTGTGTGTGTGTGTGTGTGTGTGTGCGTGGAGGTCAGGTGGGCCTTTTCAGCGCCGGCTGAATGGCGAGGGTGCCGCAAGCAGGCGATTGAAAGAGCGGCAAAGAAAAGAAAAGCGAGTGTCTGTCACAGTATCTGATGAGTCTCAGCGATTACCAGAGAGGGTAAAAGCTGATCTTTGGGGGAAAAGAAGAAACTCAACCAAAACCAAAGCATCTGTTACTGAATGAAAGAAAAGGAACCATCTCTCTCCCACGCACAGAGATTGTAATCACACACATTTTCTGAAAATGATAATTATATATGTAGGCAAATATAAACAGACGCTTTAACCGACGCACACATACTGTGGCATCGCGTTTCCGTTTTTCTCCTCCAGCTGCTTTTCGTGTACCCGTTAGTTTAGTGAGGAAAACCACCGACAACCAGAGAATTATTCCGCGTTTGAGAGAGGAGCTATGGCCCGGGAAGTGATGCCCCGGGTACAGAGCGGTTGCCAAGGTAACAAGCTCCAAGGTGTCAGAGGAAACGAAGGCGCCTCGATTCAAGCGGCCGCGTGTGATGTCAGAAAGACTCTTCTGTGAGAGACCGCTGATACTACGAGTGTTTCGGTCGACACCGGCTGTCTGCAAGAAACAACAGGGGGATGGTATATGTGTGTGTGTGTGTGTGTGTGTTTGTGTTTGTGCGTGTGGGTCCTGCTGTGGACTCCCTGGGGTGATGTTGGGCGTTGCCGTGGTTACCTCATCCGGTCAGAGCACAGGACTCCCGAGCGCCGTGTGAGAACAGCATTCTGGAAGGAAGACGCGCCGGTAGCAACGCATAACCGCATGCTCCAGTTGTGTTGGTGTCTCCCTGGAGACCTTGTTAATTGGGTAACGGTTTTGAACGGACATCTGCTGCTTCTTGCCGGGTCTCTCTGAGCAGAGCATCTTCGCCCTGTACGCTGGTGTGACAGAGTCGACGGTCATCAGGGATCGTCTCAGAGTTGTGGGGAAAATTCCTTTCAGCGATATATTTATTATATTTTTTGTAATCGTCACTCAAATGTGCTCGCGGTTCACTTCAGTCTCTTCTCCTCCACAGAGCCTGTGTCATCCTGGGCGTGGTTTTCATTCTGTCCTCCCTGTGCATTATGGGTAAGGCCATCCACGACCTGGCCACCAAGCTGCTACCCGAAGTGGTAAGGAGGTTCAAGCTAAATAGGCCCTATAAAAGTGTGTGTGTGTGTGTGTGACAGTGGTATAGCAGTGGTGCCGCTGCTGAGGAAGAATGTCACAGGCGTCATGTGTGAAGACTCTGAGCTCTCACACCTCCTGAAATAGTTTCGTTGGCCCTTTTGCAGAGCAATCGTCACGCCACTAGAAATGCCTCAAAGGATGTGATGATGATGAGTAAATATTTGGATCATTATATTGGATCATCATGCTTCTGGTGTGCTGAAATACCGTAGAGGTCTCAGTGCCTTGTTTCCACTTGGGCTCTATTATCTACCTCACGCCGGTGTGCTTGTGTAAATAAGAACATAAACAGCGTGCATTACATGCTCCGTAGGATGAGCTGAATCTACTGTGAGGTCGACACACGCTGTTCTGCTTGGATATGAGAACATAGAGCCTTAAAAAATAGTCATTCACAAATGTGGAGGCTCTCGTTTTGTTGCATCTTGCATCTTGCCCTCACAGCACGCGGCACTCAGATGCTTTATTCGGTAAATAAAGCAGCTGCTTCGGTGTGCGGCGGCGCCAAAGAGGCGGATGGAGACAGAAAGAGAGAGAGAGAGGGTGGGGAGAGGTGGTGGAAGGGGGGGCTGGGAGGGGGGCGGTCGTGTCGGGTTTCTAACGCCTGGTCCTCTGCGTCCAATTAATAGCGGCCAAAACCACAGGCGCAGCCGTCTCCCCGCTGCTGGGATGTTCATTTTGTTTGGAAGGCCCCAGTGACTCTGTCCCATCTGGGCCCGTGGTTGTTCCTCGCGCGCTCAGTGGTCACGCCGCTGACTCGGGTCTGTGCAGCGTGCCGAGCTCCTCTCTCCACCTCCCCTCTGAAGCATGCCAGCTTTTCATGGCTCCGGGGCCGCGGTGCAATATTAATGCTGCCGCAGAGGCGCTGAGTGCTCTGCAGCTACCCTTCCTCTCCTCAGTCCACGCGTTACATCTGGGTCGCGTTGGCACAAATACAAGAGAGGACCGGTCGGATTATGGCGGCCAAAGATGGTGGTCACTGTGTAATTCATGGCCTCAACTCAAAACTTGATTAGATAAATGTCTGACCGGATAACGTGATGAGATGTTGGGATGTGTAGTTGTTCTTTGGATTACTATACTGTGATGTTCTGTATTCTGACATTTTATGAAACACTCCATTCTCACTTTCAAGCATTCTGGGAAATTTGAGTGGCATCCTGTAGTGTGACTTTAATGGCTTTTTGTTTACTCGTATATAGCATGCAATAACTTCACAGCTTTTACATAACTTACTCAAGAAAATACAAAAAAAAAATTCAACACAACTATATTTAGACTTTTTGGACTACTAGAGCAGAGGTCTCCAACGTTTTTCAAGCCCAAGGTTCCCCCAAACTGATGGCGAGGTGGAGCAGGGGACCCCCTATTCTACAGAGTTTGGTCCGCCATCTTTTATTTTTGAGCTTCACGCTCTATAGACGTGAGCATAAACGCAATCTGATTAGCTGGTGCCTGCGCTGTCGTATTCGCATGAAAGGAGCAGTGAGTGAACCGGAGCTTGAGAGCCGCTGAGGGAAACGTCTTCTCCGTCAATTTATCCGTTCGCTTCAATATGTTGGATTCATGTTAATGTGTATTTAAAGACCATAAATAATATTCTGATTCTGAAGACATTTACATTTGTGGGGGAAAAAATGGTTTTAAAAAATTGTCTTATCAACCAAAAATTTCGCGACCCCCTTCCAGTACCTTCGCGGACGCCTTGGGGGTTGCGGACCCCCTGTTGAAGACCTTTGTACTAGAGAATCATTATTTTCAACATACTATACTATGCATGTTTTTTTTCAACAAAACATTTTGTACTGTTTCCAACTGGGAAGACGGTTCACATCCTAAAATGGGAATTAACCATTTACCTCCCACTCCTCCCTCCGTCTCCCCCAGGATGACTTCCTGTTCAGTGTGTCCATTATCAGCGGCCTGTTGTGCATCACGCTGGCTGTGGTCAAGTTCATGCTCGGCAGAGTGCTCACTAGCCGGGCCCTCATCACTGATGGTATGCACACGCACACACGCACCTTCTTATTTTACTCATTAAGTACATTTGACTCCAAGTCATTTGGACTTGGATTGCATAATAATGCTGCAAACGTGACCATTACACTCACTCGTGCTCGCGTTCTCACTGGGGGGGGTCACACAGCCCTTCGTCAATTAAACCGGCATGTTTCAGATGACCTTTGAGTCATCCGACAGACGTAAGAGACATTTAAAAAATGTCACATGCCCGGCGCCACACTCTTTGCATAGTGTTAGAGGCCCGAGCAGCCAGTATCACATGTCCATGGGAAACTCTTAGCAGGGGGGGTGGGGTCAACACAGGCTAGAACACCACCCCCCCCCCCCTCCGCCCCCTTCTTCATCAGCTGAATGTGTTTGGAGACACGTTCTGTTTGGTCTTTGCAGGATTCAACTCCCTGGTGGGCGGAGTCATGGGCTTCTCCATTCTCATCAGTGCTGAAGTGTTCAAGCACGAGCCCCAGGTGTGGTACCTGGACCGGGCGATAGGCGTCCTCATAGGTCTCATCATCCTCGCCTACGGAGTCAAGTAAGTGAGCGCTTATTCCGCAGGTACATCGTTTGTGCTGATAACATGTCACGTAATGTGGGGTCAAAATTTTTTTTCATCCGCGGCAACTTTATGGAACAATTATCAAGGGGCACAGTACTTCCGTTTGCTGGGTCCCTGCGAGCCGGCTGGACTTCCTAAAAGGCCTCTCGTCCCTCCGCAGGCTGCTGCTCGACATGGTGCCACGGCTCCGACAGACCAGGAACTACGAGCGCTTCGAGTGACGGACGGCACGGGGCGGGGGAGGGGAGGGGGGGGGAGACGAGGGTTTCGGGGAGGCCGGCCGACAGGAGGGGCACGGGGGTTCGAGTCCCCGCGCTCTCTCCACAATCACATTCAGCCCTACGGGGGGTGGGGGGCGGGGCTTATGTGTACACTCCCGTCATTCATTTGAACTGAAGATGACAGCGACGCAGACGGGGGGAAATTCTCGCCCCCTTTTAAGTGTTTTTACATTTATATTTATCCGTCTATTAACACTAAACGTGGGTTGTGTGTCGTTTCATGCCTCCACATTTAAACGTGGAAGAGGGGCGTCGGGGGTCGACTGAGCGGGATGCGGTCCAATGAGGGATGGCGCTCGGACCGCGGCGTCCCTGAGACACGCAGACACCAGAGGGAGTTGATGCCTCAGCCGCACCTCATCGTGGTTCTGAGAGGCCTCTGCTGTAGCAGTGGAGGACTAATGGTGTCTTACCTTTTCATTGCGACCGGAGGAAATATCATTACAAGGCTCATTTGACCCGGGTGGGGGACGGGGGTGGTAAGCACACAGAGGGGCTCCGTAACATGCGAGTTGCTGTTTACAATGTTTATCTACATTGTTGTTGGCTCTGATTCAGCGACGATAAAAATCTGTCGGCATCCGGTTGCTCAACGAGAGCCGTGACCTCACTCGGCCTCCGCGTGACAGGAGGGAAAAACGGCAGCTTCAGGTGGTCTTTTTTTTACAGATGAACCCGGGAAAAATGCGTTTTTTCCTTTGTCTTCTTTTTTACATTCACAACCTGCGCCATCTGCTGTGGGAGACGACTACTACAGCCGTGAGGCCTCCAATGCACAACACGGTATTCACGCTGGAGTCAAAGGCTGCAAAGGCCGACATTTATTACGCTCGCTCGGAATGCACAACCGGTCTCGCTGTCATTGTGCTGAATCGATTGTGCGATGAGTCGATTGTGCGATGAGTCGGGGCTCCCTGCGGCTTGGTTTCCGAGCTGGGGAGGGATGTAGCGCTACTAGAAGGAGGGGAAGGATTTTCTTTCCACCACTGCACATAAAAATGTATTCTTATTTGTGGTTTATGACTTAGTCTGGCTAAAGTAATATTATAGTGTCTTTCTTCTAGTCTCGATGCCTGAGGGACAGGCCCGCCTGATGGTTGTTTGTGGTCCTCGTGTTTATTTTTTTTAGAACTTGTGGAGTGATAAACAACGGGTTCATGTTGTTCATTTTCTGATTTCAATTCTGAAGAAAGATGATAGGATTTTCATTAGGGGTCTTGAATTAGGTCTGGTGCTTCACAGCGGGTCGTTTCTTTCCTTTTTCTAAAAAAGTAAATATGTGTAAAAGCACAAACCCGAGTTACTGCAGCACAGGGGCCTCGAGGACGCTTTTAAATCCGTATATATTAGTATATTCCTGCTCTTTATTAGTAAATACTGTGTTAGGCCTTACCCATGCTGCTCGCTGTGCGCCGACTGTGGAACATGGTAAGTGGCGATGAGGCGTTTGGTTGCCATGGCTACACGAGCAGGAAGAAGAGGACGTCTCGTCTCACTGCAACCAAATATACACACGGCTGAATGTGCCAGCGTATTGATCCTGTGTTTTGTCCCTTTTAAGGACTTTTATTTGAATACTAAAGTTGTATTTTAAGGTCGTAAGAACTGTTTAGCAAATGGAGATATATTTGTGCCGAAAATGTTTGAGGCCCAAAATTAACCAGACTTTTTGCTCACCATTGTATGACTTTGATGGACACAAGGACACACACACACACACACACCTGAACTGTACTCTTCTGTGCTGATGTAAATACCAAATCTGTATTGCTGTGATGTGACACAAATATTAAACCAGACTCTGAGCCTTTTGTCACAGAAAAAAAGGTTTATTTAAAAATAAAGTTATATCCCTCGTACTCGTCATGGACTGTGAAAACAAAACAAAAAGTTGTCGTTGCGTATTTCAATCGCCGCTGCTCGGACGTTGGGCGCCAATTGATGGATTCAAACCAGCTGGAGTTTGAAAAAGCCGATCACGTGTTCGTGTGGCTGTGGGAGACATTCGGTGCAGAGGTTTACAAAGACGGGCCGCCCGGTTCTCCAGAGCGCTTGATAGTCTGATACACAGCGTGCTTCTAGAATAAGCCAATGACGCTTTGCACTCCACCATTGGTTCACTGGGGAAGAAAGGACAATAATGACGTTCACATGGATGTTTCTAAAATGTGGGTAATGCAGTTACTGTAAAACATGTAGACTACATTACGACATTTTTTTTTCTTTCAGGAATATACAGGAAACGCTGTGTGAGCCAAATGTACCTTCTTATGGTCGTGTTAAATAGCCCATGAGAACCCACCCGAGCGCCTCGACCCAACGTAACACATCACAAGGCTCGGACTGATTCAATAGAAACTGTTTTTTAAATTGTATTAAGTTGGAATTACATGGTTTGAGTTCACGTGACCCTTTTGAAACTGACTCGGAAGGGGGAAAAAAAGATTCTGCAAAGGCTGCATCACAAGACCGATTCATTCTTTTTTTCTTCTGATGGGACAGAACTAAACCGTGGAAAAAGGCACATCATTTTCTCTTTGTAACGCTAACTTGGCGGCAGAATCACGTACCCGTTTACAAAAGTAAAAAATAAAGAAACGTAAAAACAGTCTTAGCTGACAATGAGACGGTGTTGATTTCACACGAGCAAACGACAACGACTGACTTGAAACGAAAAGCACGACGTGCGCCAGGCCTCTGCCGCCTACCGCCGGGGGGGCCGGGGTCGGGCCCATCTTCAGCGGGTATGAGGATTCGCTGCCATGATTCAAACAGGTTCCCGCCGAATGCCCTACTTTAGCTTATCAAGGCGTAAAACCTTCCCAAACATGTTTTCTCTCCTCTCTGTGGAAAAAACAAGCAGGCGAAGCCTCCGACCGGTTGATCACACACTTAAAGACAAGCAAGCTTTTTTGTTTAAGTTACTCTTCATAAATAAAAAGAAAAAAAAGACACCCCTCCTATAAATAAAAAAAGATTTCCAGCAAAACACAAAGATAAAGATTTGTATACAAAATAAATAAAAAAAGAAACTTTATACAGTCTTGCTAATATCTTGTTTAACCCCATAGATTACCGTAGTGCATTTTATTCCCAATTCACCACAAGAACTATGAATTTGACTTTTATATACATTTTCTTGTTCTCTTCACCAATAATAATAATAATAATAATCTAATAATCTGAACTGTTGAAGAGGAAACGAGGAACTGCGAGTCTTTTCTCCTTGGCGTGTTTGTCATTACGGTTTCTGGCCGACTGGGAGGCGAGTGTGGATCCGTGCTTTTTTTATTTTAATTCAAACTTTTCGATAACTTGGTCACGGACACTCCTACAGGGGGCCTGCCGGCCTTCCCGTGGAACACACTCACTCCAGATCCGCTTTGTTCGACCTTTAAATGGCGTGTGCGATTTTCAAAGTGAATGGAGGAAGAAATGTGCCTGGACTTTTTCCCGCCTTCTTACGGGTCAAAGAGTCAGAGTCCGGGGTCACGCTCTGGGATGAAAAACTAAATATCTACTCTCCCCGTCCGCTCTAACGAGTCAGTTACAGTGTAAAACTTGGTTCTTCTTTAGCCGCCGTGTGGGGAAAGGGGGAAGGGGGACTCCAGTGAAAACCTACCAAAGAATAAACTGGGGGGGGGGTTGAGTGTCCTTGGCTGCCCTTGAACCTGAAGACGAACAGGCGCGCTCACTGCTGCGTCTGAAGGAGCACGCAGCTCATCTGCTGCACTCTCAAGTCTACGATGGCTCCCTTGCTTTGGAGGGGAGGAGGGGGCCGATTCAAGTAATTTCACACCTGCTTCCGCAGAATCAGGGTGTGGGTGTACGTGGCTGGCAGCTTCGCTTCCTGCACCTGTGGGGAGGGGGGGGGGGGGGATAAATATGGTGGCCGCACGCAGTGTCTTCTGTCCAGACGCGTTCCCACTAAAGCGTGTACGATGGAGAGCTCGTTGGGCTGCGTCGACTTCATTCGACTCCCCTCGTCCCCCCCCTCCGGGGGCCCGTTAGTGTCGGTGCTATAGGCAGTCTTTGCACAGCGCCACCTGGGCCTTCATGTAGTCGCGGCAGGGGCAGATGCGCCGCAGCGTCTGGTGGGCCCGGCGCAGCTGAACAGCAGCAGGTCGGCCTGGAAGAAGCAGTGGCGGCGGGTCTCGCTGTATGCCGGCCACCACCGTGTCTGCGCTGGACTCCACCGTCTGGCAGTCCACCCCGAACCTGCGTCGGAGCGAGGAGGAGAGACGGGAAGATGAACACATGAGCGCACACACGCTTCAGCATCAGCTGTGACCCATTTAAACCCAGGGAGCAAAACCTCCGGTGGTTTTTAAACACAACACTGCAGTTCATTAATTAAAATTCTGCAAATGTTTTATTCCAAAGCGGTCGTGTGCTGCCACCTCATGGCCAGTTTTAAAATCACACCCGGGACGTGGAGTAAAGTGCGAGCGTCCCACCTGGCCAGGTCCTTATCCTTGTTGAGGTGCTGGAAGAAGGACGGCTCGCAGATGAGCTGCTCCTCCTGACACACCTGCTTGCAGGTACGTCCCGGCTCGGCCACTTTCACCTGCAGGGCGCCAAGAGGGGGCCACATCACCTGGCCGTGGCAGAAGTCCTGGCAACACAAAACCGGCGATAGGAGATGATGATGATGATGCTGACAAAGAAGCTGAATGGGTTTTCTTTCTGCAGTCAGAGTGGGTGATCTCCTCCGGTGCGGTCGATGCGTTTACCTGGTTCTCGATGAAGGCGTTGACTCTCTGCAGCATCCCCTCACAGGTGAACTCGTAGGGCAGGTAGGGCTCGATCTGATTGCGCAAACACAAAACGCAGACTGGTCAGAGACGTGTGCGTGTGTGTGAGGGAGAACTCAGCCCGGTGAAACACCAACCCTCTGGTTTTCCCCTGTAATGGCCCACGGATCTCCACAGACTCTGATTTAGGGAAACTTTAAACGGGGACGACCAACAACCGAAGCCTTTGTTGCGACACAAATTCTTTGTGTGAGGTCGAGGAAGATGAGGAGGGGAGGGGAGCCCGGAGCCTGCGAGGCTGCAACTCGCCACGGACCACAGAACACATGTGAAACAATTAGGGGCATTAACAGTTAGCCGTTTGAGGGTTTTTTAAGCAAGAATGAAAAAATAAAATCCCTAGTTTGATCAAGGATTTTCAAATGTTAACCTGTGATATTACAAAAACGTTTTATAGAGCAAATGCTTAAGCTAGAAAATACTAATCCAATTGTGCTAATTATTGAGTAACAGAGCTACTCTGTATTGTCGTTTGTAGGTCGGTGTTTACCTTCTGGCTGAGGATGGAGCGGATGGCCTTCTCCACCTCCACAGAGTTCTCAATGTCCACCGTCCACACATGGGGCTCGCCGATGTACACCTCAGCATACGGGTGCTGAGAGGTCAGCTGCAGACAACGATGACAACAACGGCAGAGAGGGAAGAGGTTAGAAGTCTGTGGAGCGTCAGCGTGTTGGGGGGTGGGGGGGGTTAGACGCCTCCTCCTCTCACCTCTCTCAGCGTGGGTTTGCCCTTGAAAAAGTCTGTGTTTTTGCTGCTCTTCGCAGGGCTGAATTTGGGGTTGAGGAAGGCGCAGCCGTTGGCGATGGCCTCCAGGGGGGCGGGACCCTCGTAGGGAAAGGACAGACCCACAAACAGCTGCGGAGGGGAGAAATATAATGAGGAAAAATATTGAGTCCGCTCAGGAGAAGTTGGGGAGGTGTTGATGGGTTTCTAGTGTCTGCTGAGAGCAGCAGTTAAAACAGAACCTCCCGTGTTCTCAGCAGAGGGCAGCACATAACTCTCTGGAAGAAGGGAGGGAAAACAAGCAGGTATATGAGGACACGGCTCTAATGTACATATGAAGAACAAGTGGGGGCTCTATCAAGTTCACTCCCCCCAGATGGGAAGAGCAAATATTTGCGGTGCAGTGGCAGCGAGCCGCTACACCGGCCTGTCTGTGGCTGTTTCTCTCTGGTGGGGTTATGATTTTACACTGATTTAAACTCGTGTGGACATTACTCAAATGATTCCGTTTAACACCAACCGCCTTGTCTGTGGTCAACTTCTGCCAGCAGGGGGCAGGAGAGCTCTCTTCTCCGGTGTACGCGTGTGTGTGTACGTGTGTGTACGTGTGTGTGCAAAAAGATCCTCAATGCCGAGGAACAGTCGCCCACTATTTCTAGTGAGGGAGGGGGTGAGGAAGGGGTGAGGGGCACGAAGAGAAGAGCAGAGATGTTGGAGAAATGAGCGATGTCTCTGGGAGACTAAAAAAGAGGTTCAATTATAAGAATAATATCCAACAACGACCTGTAATTAATCTGTTAACCTTCCTGAATAATCTGTATCCGCGTAATCTCAGCCAATACTTTGAAGTCAACGCACGCAGCAAACGTTTTATTATGGTTGTGGACGCGTAACGTAACTCATTCCCGCGGTGCAGATTCATTAGGTCATTAACTGCCAATTCCGCCGTTTACCGTCGGAAGACAACGGAACAACCTCGATAGAGAACCAACTTCAAGGTGAGAATTAAACTGGTAAAGTGAATTGTTTGCATAGTCTATCATTTCCAGTTTTCATACTTATGTTTGTAAAGTAAAATTAAAATAAACCACCCGCCTTTCTCGAAGCTAACGTTAGCTCGGACTTTAAGCTAACGTTAGCTTCAGAGGTAACATTAACGTTATCTTGTAAAATAAATGACGAACTAGAGCGTCACCTACCCATGTTACCTATTATTAGTATTTGGCAGTTCATTTATTAACGTTATATTATACTTTAAATACCCTGGAATAATGTCGTTAAGTTACACAAGCCAAACGCTAGCTTACACCTAACGCTAGCTGTAAGCTAACACCAGATTAGCTGCTAACTTAACTGAACACTGAAGTGACTTTTTAATAATGAAATGAAACTTGATTAAATAGGTAAATAAAACACGTAAAACTAAACACAAAAAAAGTATCTCTTAGATGTATGATGTAATTTGACATGATTACTGTCTTATTTTTGTTCCAACTACAGAATAATCACTATGACTGCCAGCCCCGGAGCCTGCAGGAATTTCTCAGACTGTACTTTACGCAAAATTTAAAAGAAAGTTTTGCAATTGAACACGAATTTGGTTAGTTTAATGCTGTTCCTGCACAAATAATTTGATGGTCACTTTTTAAATCTGCTTGAAACCATGACCATAACTGACAACGACATTATCAAAGAGGTTTTTGCTGAACCAATGATCACATTTGCAATTGAGGATTGAGAGTTTTTTAATAGCAGTGGTGCCGAGTTGTTTGAGGATGTTTGTTCCAATTCCACCATCTATGTGAAACCCTCAAAAACGGAGAGAGCGGAGCTGGTCGAGTGTAAGAGGGACAATAACAAATTATTCAATAGGAAGATCGCAATACCCTTTTCCCTGTGTTGAAATTATGTTATTCTCAAGAACACTTGATTTATCTGTTTAGCTGTCCAGAAGATACTCGATGAGACCCTTGACAACAACAACAGTTAAGTAGATAGTTTTGTGTAGTAGCAATCTAATGTCTATACTTGGCTTAATCTTATTTTTCATATCATATCTTTACAGCATTCAGTCTCTATATTGGTGAACAACTGGAGGAGTTTATCAAGGTATACCAGGTAAGGAAAATATACCTTTGCTTCTTGGATTGAAAGCCCCGCCTGTATGAAACACCATTGTGTAATTTCTGGAATCATGTATATTTGTTATTACTGAGGTGTTCATTAAATCTTTCCATACTAAACTACAAATAAACAATTTTAACTTTCAGAAAATTAATACATATACAATGCAATACTGTGCACTAAATAAGCACAATTTTAAAATGTATTGACTTTACAAAACTGGCCCAATTGTGTGATTATATGAATTATATGACAAATCATTTTTGTGCAGAAATGAGCTTCCACAGTTAGTCCATAGTTCCATAGACCATGCACAACTCTCAACAGATCAAATCCAGCCAATCCAAAGACGACGATTGTAACCAAATAGATTAAAAGGCTGTATTACATTAAAGTGTAAAGTCATTTTCTAAACTTAGACTTCTATTAGTTCATCGTGTGAGGATTGTGTTAGCGCACCAGGGCCCAACCCAACAATATCCCCCTAAAAATAACCCATGGAAAAGGTGACGATCTCCCACTATGACGTCTTCAGAAGCTTGCAGAGCACCCGGATAATAATGACGTGTAAGAGGAAGGAGCCATAATGGCAACCTCTATAGTGAATGTATAACGTGGTGGGTATGAGGAAGAGGGACATTTAAAAAAACAGGCGGTTTGTTACGAGACAAACCCGCTAAGAGGAAGCTATTCTCTGACGGTTCCCTGATGCAGAGCAGCGAGTTGGCGTCTATTTTAGGAAATTCAGTCTGATGAAAAATCAAAGGTCAGACGCAGGCAACAACAGGCTCTTCTTAATCTTCTTCACAGGCGCGCCTCCACCCTCAGAATGCCTTCACACACGCTCTGTCAACAGTTAAACCCTGCGTGGCCAATTAGCTCAGGCGGTGTGATTGCAGGTAACAGTGAAGGTGGTGAGAGGCGGGCCTGCATCACCTCCCCTTCCCACCCTGGCTAAACTATGGGCCTTTTGTGTGATCTAATTGGCCGTTCCTCTTTGGGGTTTTTCCCATGCAGAACCGCAGGTCATGCGAGGATGTGAAAGCTTACGCGGTATCCCATCCCTGGGGAGAGTTAACCTGCAAGGCCACATGAATCCAGCCCGTCCAAGTTGGCACTATGTGGCACCGAGGACGCAGGGTTGGTCCCCTGCAGTATTTAGCGAGTTGTTTTCAACACGTCAGTGATCCGCTTCACTGCTGAATACGCCTTAGCTTTGCTCTGTCAGCACCTCCGACAGCACAGCGGAGCGCTGCAATGTTGAGAATCTTTTCAACCGCATGAAGGGGGTTTAAATCTCTGTCTGTAGCGTGACCTGTGGATCTTTTGAACTTGCTTCCGTGGCCCCGGCTACTGTCTGATGTCTGCCTCTGCTGTGCTCCAATGCGAGGGAATCTGGTTTCAGAGGCTCAAGAAATCAAAGCTCTCTCCAACCTTATTCTCCTGAAAAGGGCACCAACTAGAGCCAAAAGACGGATTCCACCTTTCAATGCCAGGACAGGCGATGGTTTTCCCCTTCAGCAGACATGTCCCTTTAATCTCTTTCCACTGTGGCAATGGGCAGGTCCTTAAAAGTGAATGATAATTCACTCACCCAATCAGTAACCTAGCGTTAACTTCAAGGCCGAGGAGCCTATCATTAACTATCTGCATTGGTTCGTAGTGTTACAGGAACAACACTAACTATTTGGAAGCCAGTCTTTGTTGCTATCAGCATTTTAGTAAATAGTTAGCAGCTCCACTCGTTATTGTATTCAGGGAGCCCCGGTTAGGTGTCTGAAATTAGCCTGTTCTTACAGCTTGTCATACTTGTACTACCTGGACCAACTATTTCTAGACTGCAATACAATATAAATATAATATATAATATAATATAATGTTTCAAGCTCTTCTACGTGGATCATCTATTGCCCTTTCACCGTCAATTTGTATTTCTTGATTTGTCTCTGCTCTGATAGGTTAAGAGTTTAAAGTAAAGGATTCATACCAGAGGGACACGCTCGATGTGACATGCTTCTCCGCTTCACTGCTTTCCAACAAAACAAAGCTCCTTTGTCTTAAACGGCTCGACGCCCGTTGGGTCAGCACTGTAGTGGGTGTTTGGGCGAGACATCGCTCCGGGCGAACAACTCGACTTGGGCTTCAGTCTCTGTGTCCTTGTCTTTGTGGATGAGAGTGGTTAGAGTAGTGTCTGAGGGGGGGGGACGAGTTGTGAAGTGAAGGGGGAAGTGCGCCTGGAAGGGCCTGGGAACTGCGAAGAGCTGCGTCTTTCACAAGAAGGCGTCCAGTCACAGAGATACGCTGTTATTGACTTGCACTTAAATGTGCTTTAAACTTTACTTACTCTTTGCATTAAAACATAAGTGAATGCCTTCCTATGTGACCTGACATTGGCTTTCCTGAATCTGTTACATCCCAGCAATCCCATTTTTCTTACGAGTTTTTTTATTCAGAACAGCAGTCACTATCCCAGGAACCCACCTTGGTTTCTCTGAGGAGGAACTGAAGGTCTCGGCCACTCAGGATGCCGTGGTTCTTCACGTAGCTCGGGAGGTGCACGGTGCTGGTGCCGTGCACGGTGCCGTGCACCTCCATGTAGCTGTGGATGATGTCGAGGTATTTCTTTTTGTCCTGGTAAAAAACAGAGAGATACAATACGTTTAGGTTTTTTGAAAATATGTCTAAGCCAAAATCCTGCTTGAAACCACTGTGTTTTAGAGACGATCAACCCCTACAACCCCCGCTCAATTAATTTGGTTGAAAACATTGAGCCGGTCCAATCCACGAAACGCATCCTGGAATGATCCATTTTGGATTTCATTATTTCGTGGAAGGCTCAGTGAGCTCTTGTTCGAGCTACCTGACTGACCATCTGGCCACAGAGGCAGAGCTAAAAATAGCACTGCGTGAGGAGCAGGGGCGCACACGATACCGATGTTATTAAAATTCAACCTGATCCATTATGTCCTTGATGAAATGAAAATAAAGCCGTAACGCCGCCCAGCTCATTTTAGATTGGAAGAGGTCAAAAGTGAAACAAATACATATTAAATACATATTTCAAGAGGCTTTTGTCTGACGTTTTCCTGTTGAATATAGACGGGGTACAACAACGGATACTAATCTAATTTGCAAAATGGGAAATGTTGCTTTGTTGAGACTTGCCCCGAAAAACCTACATCTTACAGCTTATACAAAATAACAAGTGTAGTCACCTGTCATCATCAGTTTAAATAACGTCTACCATGGCAACAACACTCGTAAGTGATCATCCTTCTTTAAATGCTCCCCTCTGTCCAGGGATGCTCTTAAAGCACAGCCCTGCAGGGAGGCATCCTAGATGGACGCTGGCCCTTTTCTCCATAAACACGGGATGCCTCAAAGGCACTTTCCCCCCAGTATGTACACACACACACGCACGCACACAAATATGATCGATTGACAATAGTTTCACACACGGGGCAGCAAGGCCATTATTATTAAAAGTGAACTGCTTCAAGCTCACACACAACTCCCACACACAAGCCTTTAAAACTAGTCTGCCGCATGGACATTTCCCTGCCCTCACTGTGTGTGTGTGTGGGTACTTCAGTGCTTCCTTTTTGGGCTTAGATTTCAGGTAGCTGTTCGTCAAGGTCCCTGGAGGCCCGGCTATCAGATGCCTCCAGCGAGCCTGCTGTAACTAAAGCAGTCTGTTGTGTTGACGTGTGTGTGTGTGTGTGTGTGTGTGTGTGTGTGGTTACGTGTGTTAGAGGGAGCTAATTAAAGGGTGAAATCACTACCCTGTAATTTTTTCACTCAGGGGAGCTGAGCTTGGATGTGTGTGGGTGTGTGAGGGGATTTAACAATGAGTGTTGCACACACACTTTCAAAAATATATAGATAGCGTTGCATGACATGAGAAAAAGCAAATGAAAAACGAAGAGCTGAGACAATAGTTGTTGCAACATTAACAGAAGGAATTGGAGGGAATCAACAGATAAAACGTTTTTCCCCACAGGACGATATTCCGTTAAAGGAATAAATTCTGAGGCGGAGCCTCAATTGTTGCACGTCATATATATTGTTTTCTGTGCGTTTAGGCTGGGAATGTTTTTTTGGACTACAACACAGAAAAATAGAATCATTTGATGGCATTTTGCAATTGTTGAAATATGAAATACAGTAAGATGGAATATGGATGATAAGGAACGTTCTCGTATTTGTTTAAAATGTGGAAAAAACGTGTGGAGCACACAAAAAACACATTACTAAAGGAAGACTGAAAAATCTCCAAAGGCTGCACATTGCATGTGAGTGATGTGTTTATCATGAACGCTCGAGTGGCTGCGCATGTCCGTGTGTGTCTCTTTGTTTGTGTGTGTGCGCGCGCGCTGAAGAGTAACACAGATTGCGACGACCCTTCGAGGCAGTCTCTGCAAGCTTCACGGTCAGAGGGCATCACGTGCCCGGTGCTCTCTGGAGCATGGCTGGATTCAGTCACACACACACACACACACACACTCAAAGCCGCACTTGTGATGGAATAAAGAACAACCTAGAAACATGTTGAGAAATCCCATTTCTGCTAAAAGGGACAACAAGAAAAGGAAGTTATGCGTTAGAACCACTAACGGATATAAAGACCTTTAACATCACATGTGCCCTCCTCCCCGGGTCGACGTGTGTGCCTCTGACCACATGCAGCGAGCAACCTGAAACCAGGAAGCAGATCGATTGCAGTAGCCTTGTTTGGGGGCGCGTGCTTGGTGGTGTTATAAAATAAAGGCTTTAGCTGGAGAGGTTGATTGAAGCAGGAGGAGAAGAAGGCGAGCTTTACGACCTTGTAAATCAGAGGGAATTTGTAAACCCTCGCTCAGAGAGAGGAAACAAGAGAGGCGGCAGGCTGCTTTCTGTCGGCAGGGAGGGTGGCTCAGGGGCCGATAGGCAGAGCCAGGAAATAAAAGGTAAAAAAAAAAAAAGAGATGACACATTGATCCCTCTTTGTGGCCACGAGCGTTACAGCCCTCGCTAGTTTGTTAACCAGACAGGATACAGAAGCTTTAACGTATGCCTGTCAGGTTCACTATCTGGAACCTGCTGGTTTCAGAAGAAGCTTGTACATGCTTGCTTGGGTCTAACAGCTGTTTCCTTTAGATACTTCGGTATCAGCTCTGTGACTCGCCGTAGGTGAATGGACGGCTTCTTGCTCACGATGACAATGCTAACTAGCCGATGTTTTGTCAGGTGTTCAGATGTTAATGTGTGTTGGCACGCCAACGATAGCCGCTAAGCACAAACTGTGTTTGACTCCTTTCAGCGCTCACATTCACACTGAAATCTCAACTTGTTTTGGTACTTTTCCTTTTAAAATGTAGCCGTCCTGATTATTATGTTAATTATTTTAGTACATGTTTAATATCAAAATGGACTGCAAGCTGTTTTAAAGGCAAGAAGCCTTCCACAAGCGTCTCTCTATACGATTGATCTGGGGCAGCACTTTCTCTCGACACGTAGTGATGTCAGGACAAAAGGGATGGAGCAGATCCATCCCGCTTTAACTGCACATTTCAACACAAACAATCCACTCCCTTGGGTTTGTTGCTCATATGCGTAATAGTATCCTACAGTAACCTCGAAGACAAAAAGAGCTTCTTGCCTCATCGGAATGCACACGGGTGCGCTTAGTTCGTCTTATTCAGACTGTCTTTGACATCAAACATCAAGCGCACCTCTGATCGTCTTCCCCACTTAAAGGATTTCCGACTGACACTCAGGGAGCTCAAAAACCGAAGCTTGTCAGTCAGGAAAACAACTTCGCTCCATCCATTCTTCAGAGAAGGAAGAAAAAAGGCACGCACATCTCTGCAGTCATAATGTGGAGCCGGTTAGAAATAATGGTCAAGTGGTAATTTGCACTTTGAGTTGATAGTGATTCCATTCATATCTTTCTGAAAACTGGTTTTCAGACCGTTTGTGTGTGTACATGAACTTGTATTGAAATTATATGAAAATATAATACAATAATTCATAGCAAATGTTTAAGCCAGGCTTTGTAAGCGGTGATTCTTCAATACAAACAAGTATTCTACTATTGCAGGGGCATATGCAGGAATATATAGGAAATAATATCTGTATCTACTTTCTTTTCCTCGGACCACAAAATATATCCACCACTCTCATCCGATCAGTATCTCCACATTGGAAGGACCTCTGAACGGATGCTCTGTAAAAACCCCATTAGGCGCTTTGTCGGATGCTTAGAAACCACCAGAGAAGCAACGCAGCGTTCAGAGGAAGTTATTTACTCCAGAGCCCGCTCAACGGCCCATTAGACACAACAGCGTGTGACCTGTTGCAGTTTTTCGAGAGCAGAGGCGGCGCTTTGTGATTGATGAAAGGTGCGTCCTTGATGCTCGCTCGCGGGCAGTGGCATCATCCAAGTGCCCAGTTAAAAAAAACGAATGACCACGTGCAGCAGTGACATTACTCCCGCCTGTCCTGCAGCAACGGGAACACTGCATGCATCGTTGTTGTGTACATTTAAACTTCTACTTTAATCGACCTCTCTTTTACTTTCTGACATAAATCCGGATTAATTGCACTGCTCCTGTGAATGATCACTGAAGAAAAGCAGTGTCGGCACGACCCACTATGGGTCGTTGCGATCGGCCTGTCCTTGTGCGCGCAGAGAGGACACAGACGTATCCCGATAATCATTCTGTCCGTCTCTTTTTGAGAACAAGTTTTGAACATATTCATGCTTTTTTGCGGCTTTTGAATGTGACTCCTCGTTTGACGTCTCTTATTTGTCAAATGTCAACACAGCTTTCAGTGGCTACTGTACATGTCAACCAAGATTTCTCTTTCTTTTCCTGACGTGATCTGCCTTTACTGCTTGTACTTCCACCTAGACTTTGCACCCTCTCAGGGCTCACATCCTCATCTTTGAGCTACAATAAAGCGTTCTTCCAAGTCCCACACCGTTTCACACCCACTGCGACCGCTTCAGGTGTAAAAGATGAAAGGTTTAAAGTAGTTCCAACTCATTCGGCTCAATTCACCGACACACACATTTCAACTTGGGCACTTTACACTTCCTCTTCCTGGTTCACAGCAATGTTTTAGAGCTCTGTCTGCAGGGCAAATATTCAGCAGTTAGCATGACTAAAGGGCCTCCAGAATGTAATAATGTGTACATTCTATGTCACAGATTCATGAAAAACATGTATACAACAACATCAATGTCACACTACAGTTTTAAAATAAAGCAGCGAACATCACCTTCCAGATTTATCTTGAGCCTAATTCAGTAAAACATCTGTGACAGGCGGAGTCAATTTCAGTAACCGCAATAACATTTCCCGCTGTGATTTGGCTCGCCTCTCAAACGTCAAATTCCAGTTTCTAGTCGGCACTCAAGCCGCACGAGGGATTGCCTCATCAGATCAGACAAGCCAGAAAGGACAAAACTCAACACGGTTTAATGTTCAGCCAAACTCGCTTATCAATCTTGAAACGAGCCTGCGAGGGTAGCATTGTGGGATGGCTGTCCATTCTGCTCTGCATGCGCGTGTGTGTGTGTGTGTGTACGTGTCTCCGCCAGCTATGTGTGATTTGTCATACTTCATCACATTCTCTGTTCTGCTGCCAAAGACCCGCGGCTCTCTAACTCCTACTCATTCTCACCTTTCGCCAGGCTCCCTTCTGCCACGTCAAATGCTCTCTCACATGCTGATTGATTTAATGGAGCTGTCTTACACTCACTTTCTTTTGTTAAATCTTTACCAGTTGGACGGATGTAGATTGAAATAGATTGACAGAGTGGCAAAATACATTTAATACCTCATTTTGTAGTGTTTGTGTGTGTGCATGGAAAGAGACACTAAGAGAGGGAGCTCTGCTCTTCAACTCCGACTCGGTTGCTATGGAAACGGCACCCTCAGAGGTGGTACGGCCATTTCATTACAATGTGGATACAATTTCGAATCCACACAGTTTTCAAGAAAGTTGCCTTAATTCTGCATCTTGTGATGGAAAAATAAATGAAAAAATATTCTCTTACATTTTAGCTCCAGGAAAGGGAAAAGCAATTACGCAAGGTAGATGTAACATATACATGTATGTTTCCTCTACTATTATAACTGAAAAGGTCTGGATTGAAAAAACAAACCCCGCCCCCATCGTTTGGTCGGCCGAACCATTGACGGAAATTCCGCTTGCGGGTTTAAAGTCTGTAAAATCTTATCAAGCAGAATGTTTATTTTGGTTCAATTCATGATGCCTGTAAAGCTGAGAATAAAAAGATGTGAAGTAGCAAACGTTATTTGGATCTTGCAAAAGAGTCTTTAGATCATTAATTAATTCATCCCGTAACCTGAATTTGAATACATTGTGCATTTTACCTTCATGCGAGAAAACGGTTTCTTGAAGTGGTTCCCACTTTCTATTTCAAATATCATTTTCAAATGAAAACCTCTCAAGCGGCGAGCGCTTTTTAAAAGGACGAAGGAAGGAAAGTGGAGAGAGCCGGTTATCAGTCAACTCCAACATGGCCTTTTAATTAAAAGCAGGAGGTAATGAACACGCCTGGGAGTGATTGGCAACTAATGCCCCTTGCTGTGAGCCCCCCCGGCCCCAATCCCTCTATCTGCCCTTTATGAAGCTAGACTGCTGTGTGTTATAAAGCAGAGCAGCTCCCTGGGGATTAAAATATATATATATATATATATATATATATATATATTTAAAGCCTTACAATGTGGCTTTGACATACGTTTTGGATTCAGTTCAAAATGTGGACTGGGTTGTTGTTGCTGGTGATGTTTTCCCGCTTTCTTGTTTTTTCAAACATTTCCTTGTGCTGCGTGAACGGTCACTGGTTACATCATTCACTAGGGAGAAAGATTCAAGTTCGACCGGTACATTGCGTTGTGCTGGAACCTCATCAGGGTAATCCCGAGCTGCCGTGCCGAACAATGAACCCACCGAGTCCCGGAGTCTGCTTCTTCTCGTGTGTGTCTGGGACGCAGTAATCCCTCGGCCTGTGTGCCGCAGTGTGAGCATGCATTTGCATATATTAGAAAAACGTAACGGAGAGGGCGACGAGCTGAATTTAATCTCCTAAACCGGTTTTCCCTGTGAAAGTTTTTACCCAAGGTTGTTTAAAAGAGTCTTGCTGCAGCGTGTGAGTGTGGGCCTTTTCGTCTGCAAGTACGCCTCGGAGCATAGATGTGTACGTCGGAAGTATTTTAAAAGGTGTACGTGTGCACACGTACGTGTCGATGTCTTTGTGGGTGAAAAAGTTTGATATGACCTGATCTTTTTCTTAACCCCGCCCTTTTCCGCATGGGTGTAAAAATGAGGTATTGTAACGTTTTTGTGCACTAAACGGGAGACGGCACCTTCCAGAAGTTGTCGACCTTCCCGTAGACGAGCGACTGGTTCTGCCTCTTGATGTCGTCGATGTGCCGGATGTCGCTGGCGTTGAGGTGTTGCTCCACTACGAAGCCCAGGAAGCTGTTGTCTGGGGTGTGAGCTGCAGCCAAAAGAACAGAGGTAAATAACAGCAGACACACAATATGAATAGTAGTGCTGTTAAAGGCTCTCAAAGGCCTCAGATAACTCAACACAACACGTGCATTTAGCGCTGATCATGATACTGAGAGAGTTGTTCCTACTGTTCCCTATTGCCTGCCGATGACTGGTTACTATGGGAACAACCGAAAGAAGCTGGTCAAGTGTCGAGCAGGAAAGCTGGCAGCGCTCTACATCCAACTGCAATCTGCCTTGTAAAAGCAATCTGAAGACCATCGTGGGCACAAAAGACGCAGTCCAAAAACAAAAAATGAACAAAAAAAACAAGCCACTTAATATTCTAATTTAGGAACGGTTATAAGCAGAATGAAACGGCAAACTCGTCACCCGCTTGGAGCGAATGAAGCGGGCAGGCGAGGTGTCCGGGTGCACGGTTGTGGTTTGTGTCGGAGCCTCGGGGGAGCCGTTGTGGTCGGGGCTCTGTGATTTTACCACACCACTATTACTGGAGAGGCAAATTAGGGTCAGTCAGTCACAGGCAGATGGGATTGGCTTTGGAATAATAAATAAAAGAGGGATTCTTTTGGAGAACATTTCAGCAAAAAAGGAATCAGCTGCACATTCTGCCACCTGCCGCCATTTAAACCCATTTAAACTGCAGATATCCTCTGGACCGATCCCACCTTACGTGATAAAAGGGGATGAACGATGCCATTTATATCTGCTGTGTCATGATGACCTCAGAAACAATGATGTACGGTCATTGTTAAACAAACGCGTTTGTTTTTTCTGATCAGTGTTGGCTGGAATGTGACATTTTGTTCCGAGCTGGCTCAACAAAGAGCCAATGTTTGCTCGCTGCGTCTCTCCAGGCGGTTCCCGTATTGGCTTCAGTGACATATCTTTGGGCAAAGATAAAACAAGAAGAAAACCAGAACAAGGAGCCAGAAATGTGTATAATAATAACAATAACAAAAATGTGCAGACAGATTTATCCTCAAACGCTTTAAAATGAGCACAAGTTGTAGTCTTGTATTTGACCTTATCGCAATAACAAATACACCGGAATGTTGGTGAGATGCTCCTCATACTTTAAATATTGAACCGACACGCTTCTCTCAGCGTCCTGACTGGACTTGTTCTAACGTATGGTGCTTCTTCAAGCTGGTTTAACCACTTGACAGGAGTAACCTTGTTTGTACGCATTGGGTCGTGTGTGTGTGTGTGTGTGTGTGTGTAGGAGAGCACAGGAATGTTGGGGCGGATGTCAGCAGATATCAGCAGATCTGTGTGAGGGGTCGGTGTGGCATACTGGACTCTTAGCGGCTACGCTAACGAGAGCTCCCTGATGAGAGAGGGGCGGTGTAGATGATCACCGCGTTGCCCCCGCCAAGTTGAACACGTTAAGGCGACAACACTGCTTGGGTGTTGTAGAAAGTGGATGCATGCGTTTCGGACAGCGAGAGACAACGCAACATGGGCTTATTGATGCTACGCAGATTGAAAGCAAAGATAACCCCTTTGTGAGCTTTACAGCAGCTATTAGCTGAGCAGAACTCAGGGTCAATTACTCATGTGGCAATGCTGCAAAGATGTTGCCGCGTCTAACTGGAATTTTTCACCATATCTATGAAGGCTAAAGCATTGAGCAACGACACACAGAACCACTGCGTCACAGGCTTTAGAGAAGCGCCGCCACGTATACCATACATCTCCATTAAAGCACAGATTGTTATACATGTGGACGGATAGTCTGGATATGTCAGTCAGGTCCCTGACCAAAGTCCTGTGTTCAAAGTCTGTTGTTTAAGCTGATTAACTACACCCAGAATATACTTTATTATATTTGCAACTCAGCTCCCCTGATTATAGATGACTGTGCACAGAGAAAACTCCGCCTCTCCAATTCTCCACTCTGACGTAGATTAACGAGGACATTTGGCCTCGCCTTGTTGTGTTGGACATAGGCCACGCACGTGTTTTAGAGCACCAACTAATCGTAACAAATGAACCAACACCAGTCGAGGATGGATTATCTACTTGCTCCTGATATGTCCGTTGTTATATTTACATTTAGCTCCGAAAACGTAACTTCTGAACCTTGAGTCAGCCGCTGTAAATGGGAGCTGATGGAAGCACTGGCTGAGATTCCCTGACCGCTTTCCCTGTGCGCACTTTGATTAAATGTAACAAAGTGGAGATATCTGCTCTGTTCATGTCGCAGTCTTTTGAGTTGCATGGCACGCACGCCGCTCTTCAGTTTGAAGGTGGAGGCGATGGCAATCTGTGGTTTTAACACTCCGCCGAACCACCGTGCGCTTGTTTCACCGGCGATATCATCTAACCTCGTGACTCTCAACTGGATTTTGTGCAAAGGCCCCAGTGTGCTGTGAGAAAGACACACCCTATTCAGCGCACAAAGGGCCCCATTCAGGGGCCGCGGCATTCAGGACAGGGCCAGGCACTCACCTCCCAAGCGGAGACCGCGAGGGTAACATTTCACTTTCTCTCAGCCGTGGGGAAAAGGTCAATACCCTAAGGGGGCTGCCACCCACCCACACCCCTCAGCCTCGCTCCATCTCCATCGTATGTCTCTTTTCCAACCAAAACATCTCCTGCATCGGGGATATTAGGCACTGTAGGAGGGCGTTATGAGGAAAACTGATTTATACTGTGAGTGGCAGTGTTTGACTTGTTCAAACAACGTTGAGTGAGTAACTTTTTAAATTTGGTTTATCAATTTTGGACAAATTGGGGTTCCTCTTCCCTGAAACAACCATAAAAATAAAAGTAAACATGTGAAATCCTGCAGTTGAGACTATTTTACATTTTTGTTCGACCAACTTAAGCTTTCTACTTCTTTTGTGTGTGTGTGTGTGTGTGTGTGTGTGTGCATCTTGGCGTCCGGCTGACTTACGCAACATGGTGTTGAACTGCTGCGGGTTGAGGTTCCACTTCCCCCAGGGCGTCTTGTGACCCTTCGACTGGGCGTAGTGAGCGTGGTTAAACTCGGGCTCCGTTCCGAATGAATCCAGCACCCGCAGCATGCACCTGCGACGTCGCACAAAGGGACAAGTTTTAACAGCTGCTCCACAACGGAAGCGTGTATGATGAGTAGCTGACATGGTGTTAACGTCAGAAGCAGAAGCCATTTTTTTTATCAACCTCACGTTATACACAGCCATTCGACTGAGCCTGAGCACGGTGAGCATGCACCAACGCGTTCTTGCTTGTTGGTGCCACGCAGCAGGTAGATAAACATCACTGTGTTTAACAGGTTAAACAGAAGCTGAAGAAGAACATGCATTTTGATCGTTTAGGATGTATAGTTCGAAACCCAAACTGTAGCTCACGAACAATCTTAAAATTTTTTGAATGGATTAATTCCACCTTTACTCTTTACTCCACCTCTCCAGACATTATTGAAGGGTAACCCATTTAGAACGCCATTGAGTCAATTAATAATTTCAATACTAAAAGCCAATTTCCAGATAGTTGAATTGATTTGATGGACAAATACGTTAACTAAAACAAGACTATTTAGCAGTTTGGTCGAATCATCTGAAAGCTAATTTTTAAAGCTGTAGTAACATAATAATAATACATGTGTGCAGTGAGACGGTTCTAAGTGAGACCTTTTCATAACGTGTGTAACAAGATCTCATTTGGAATGGAGCATGCTCCTATTTAGCATTTTCGTTGGAGTAATCAAGAACGAATACGTCTTAAATAATGTCTGTATATTTAGCATAGAATTAAAACAGCTCCACATGCGACCATGACAACTCTCCAACGACGCCTTGCCTCTGACAGCGAGACAGCGTGGCTGACTCAAAGGTCGAGACGCAGCACTAAGTGGACCACAGCTGGGAGAGGAAGGCGCCCTTCGACCTTTAACTTCTTTGCTCACTGTTACTCACTTCTATTTTCTAGATGCTGGTTGGCCGTTCATTATCTACATATTTTTTAGTTGAAAAGAGTTAGGAAGGACATAAAAGCTAGTATCAATCAGCCCTTCTATCTCACGCTAATAAATATGATGATTCTCCGATATCTTTCAAACTAAATCTTTAAATGACGACTATATTTAGAGTCCATCTTGAGCTGGAGAAAAAGATTTCACTGGGGCCGAAAAAACAGCAAAAGACTCCAAATACTCGGCGTAAGTTATTAGTTGAAAACCAGACCTGCACACACACACATCATCTGCAGCTAAAACTCCCCCCTATCCTTTAGTGATCGCCCCTCCGCCCAGGCAGATGCTGTGCAGCTGGCTGTGTGAACTGTGAAAGGCCCTGAGAGAGCACAGAGCCCGGGAAAACGCACCGTGAGGCAACTTCAGACTGACAGCGGAACAACACCACCAACAACAACAAAAACAACAACAAGCCCACATGCCACATCTCCACTGGCTCTGGGGAGCAAGAAAAACAAAACAAGCCTCATCCGCCCCTAGTAGATCTGTCCTCAGCAGATGGAGGCGTGGCAGGATGTGGATACGGCCGCAGTGAGTCCGGTGAGCACGCGACTGCCGTCATGGCCTAACGAGTTTCACTCAATCCAGCTGTGCTGTTGTTGTCGAAGTGGAAGTGGAGGTTTTACAGCGATGCGATTCACCCAAAGTGATCCCAAATGCATGATGTATCACATCAGCCTTCCGCTCCTGCCACGTTAATAAATGGTCCCGTATTGGTGATTAGGATGCGCAGCAATCAGTTGGGAGGTTATGTCTTCTGTGAGAGTACCTCGGGGGTTTGCTTTATGTCGGCAAAGCCCCGAGGCTAAACAAATAGCTGCACGATAAACAGACGTATGAATTAATGATGCGTCTTTGAAGAGCTGAGCTTGGTTAGATGTTAAAACAAGATGTGCACTGTAATGGGTTATTGGTTATTTTACTGTGATCATCATGCTATAATCTTTGATTATTCAGCTACTCTGACATATGTTGGAAATATTCCTTTTAATGGACACTGTGTTGCATTTCACAGACGTGATTTATAACTGTAATCAAGCAGCAACTACAAGCTTTTAAGTGCTTTAAACATGTTTGAGTCATTTGATTGTGCACTACATAAATAGCATGCAGCAACATTAGTGACAAACATTAGCACCAAAGCTTAGCAAAACTGGCAAGACGTAGCATTTTATAAGCTTTATTTTGACTACGTGGTGTTAAATTTCATTCTTTCCCAATGGAGTTTGTTAGCTAATCATTTCAACAATGACCACACATTTCCTGTGTTTTGGTTGTAAACTACTATGATGGAAAGCCGAAGCTGTTCACTTCCAGCACTGTGTTGTTGTTTTTTTAACTCACACATCTTCAAAGCCAGTTGTTTTCTTCTACCCTGACATTAAGAAATGAACTGGGGCTTAAATCACACCCTGCCATGAACACACAAGCAACACATATAGACGCTCCTCTGTCAAAAAAAGAAGGAGAAATATAATTCCTGGCTGAATAGACAAGCGGAACCAGCGGCGAAATGATGAAATCTAACTTGTGGACGCACGTCACTGATGACTAACTTGTTGTTTGTCCAGTTTCGTTTCTCCATCATCGACTTCCAACGTGGCGCTCTCCCTGCAGCCTCGCTGGTGCAGATGAAAGCGCGATTGGATGAAGGGATTAAATGAAATAAAACAACGGGGCGACGTTGGCTCAGAGCGGAGAGATGCAGCGCTGTGAGATGGGCAGCCGGAACAACGGGCCGATAAACAAATGAATGAATCACACGCGGAGGGAGGCCTGAAGGACTTGGTTGCTTTGTCCCCCCCAAAGACAGAGAATAAACCAGAGAACAAGGAGCACGATAACAACTGCATTAATTGCTCAGAAGGACCGCGGGTCAGATGTGCGAACAAATCCGTAGCGCTCCGTCCATCAAATATCTCTCTCTCTCTGTGTCGCAAACAATCAAAACCTGATGGAAAAAAAGGAGGAACCATCAGGGCCCCCAGACTCATTGTTCCCTCTCTCTTCCTGTCAGTTGGCGCTGATGAGAGCTTATTCAACAAAATAATAACAGAGAACCAGACCAGTAGGCCTCAACCGGTTTCCTCAGCGGAGCAATCTGCAAAAGAATGGTGTCCAAAAGATGCAAAAAGATAGACGCCACGTGGCCTTCTGGGAAATTGCATAACTTTTTGAGAGGAAAATTGTCCCGGCAAATAAGTCCACCCAAGGCAGCGTGAGGATTGACAACAAACTGCTGATTTCCTGAGGAGATAATAGAACGCCCACAAACGGACGTAGCAGGGAGCGACAGGTGGAGATAATGATTGAATGAGTTGCAAATATTGTATCCTCATTAAGTAGTTGTGAGTGACGTTAAAAAGTCACGAGTCAATGTGCAACGCTTTCATTCATATTGTGATTCAAATATTGCTAATTCGTGACATCACATTTTGTTTTGTTTTTAAAAGCGAAAAAAAAAAAAAAACTGGAGTATCTCATGTGAGTCCGGAGCTCAGGAAAAAAAACGGCTGCGTCGATGTCACTGCACTTACTGGTAGTGGACCCAGGAAGGTCCCAGCGTCTTTTTGAACTGTGTGAGGCCCACAATGTCGATGTAGATGAGCTCCACCACCTTGTCGCCCTGGGTCGGGCAGCTGGACTTGTTCCCCATGACCTTGCGCATGATCCTTGGGGGAGAAATGTTTCAGGAATGAAATAAACTTTCTCATTTAATGTTAAAAATGTTGTACTTTTGGATACAATTACAAAAACGCAGTTCAGTTGCCAGTCTAGTTCAAACAATATCGTTATCTACCTGGAAAAGCCAACAGCAAATATTTGACAAAAAAACGGCAGCCTCATTTGTTTAACCTCAGTCAAATAAACCTAAACAAATAGTTGGGAGGTAGGCAAGTATTACTGGCTTATACAAGTAGGCCCATTACTTGTGTGCTAACCGAAACAAAGTTTAAAGAACGTCGCAGCACTCGGTGTGTACTGACTCTTTGAGCTCGGCCAGGGAGGCAGAGATGCGGACGTCGTGGCCCAGCAGGTACAGCGTGGTTATGAGGTCACTCCACTGGACCAGCTCGCCCAAGGGGCCTCCGCTGAAGGCGTTCTCCGCTATTTTGAAGCCCGACTCCTTGGTCAGCAGGCCCAAGTGCACGAGGATCTGACGGAAGGGAGGAGGGAGGGGAAACACCTGATAAGAACGTTGCATACTTCACAAGTGGGTTTATGGGAGAGAATTGCATTCTAACCAAGGTTTGTGCAAAAGAAAACCGATTGAAAAAAGCTACAGTTGTTGTTTTTCAATGAGGGTTGATGTGTCACAGCGAGGGAGCTAAAAGAGATGTGGAATCTCGAAATCTTTCAATTCTCCCCACAGATTCTTGGTGGAAAAACAATGTAGTAAATGCCTACAGAAAAATGTTAGACGACTAATTCACAGACACCCCGCTGGATTCGTATTAAAAAAAGATTTAAACGTTGCGGTGTAAGAAGCATATTAATCATAGTGGGGGACCGTGAAAGTGGCTGCTCGTTGTGTGCTGTCAGGTGCACAGTGAACACGCTGAGGAATACATATGCAACAAACACACACACACACACGTTGGCAGTAATAGCAGACTCTGTTTGAAGTGGCCGACGCATTTTTCATTGCAGACAGTCGGCCGCGGCCCCGTGGCTGCACACGAGTATAGGATTAATACGTGCGGATTAGTATCCAAAAGAGATTAGCGTTTGCAATAGCTTTGAAAGTATCCGTTGAGAAAAGCAGTCTTTGTGTAATTAAGGACCGGCTTACAGAACGCTGAGGAGATGCGGATGGACGGATGAGGGCTGTGGCTCCTTGTCCTCTGCTTTGTTTAAGGGGCAATACTGCAAGGTGTTGTGCGAGTGTGATGTGAATTATGCACCAGTGGAACGCGTGCATAATAAAGTGGGTAAGCGACGGAGTATCCGTGTCAGTCCCTCCCCTCCACCATCACCTCTCTGAGGTGTGAATAAAGACAGGTTGAGGTAGAGCTCTTTCAGGACTTACATTCCTCTGATCTCGACTAGGACGCACATTTTAGCTGATTACCTCCTTTATCGGTGATGTCACCAACTCACCTTCTTCCTCCGGCGGTGGCCCAGGTTCTGCTTGGCGGCCAGCGAGCGGACGGCGTTGACCCACGGCTCAGCCATGCGCTTGATCCTCAGCATCATCCAGCGGAACTCCTCGCGCTGCGACATCACGCGGTACAGCTCCTCGAAAGTGGTCCGGACCTCCGCCTGCACAAACCGGGAACAGCGGTGTTGAGGGCCGCCGCTCAGAGGTAAACAGAGCCTGCTTAGTGGTAAAAGGGTATTCCAATCCGCCATTTTATTATATCTGACCACCTCAGATTGGCAGATGGAGAGCAGGGATTGTTTATAGAATGGGTCGCCGGCCTCTGTGTTCTATTTGTCTTGGAAACCTGTCAATAATCATTGAAGCTGGAGCTCAGCTATTCGTTTTGAGGTGTTAATAACCACCGGAGGCTGTGAGAGACGTTAGCGGGGGAAATTATGTGTGTGATTTCTCCTGAGACCCAAAAATGTGACCCCAAACACTAAGTTCTATGAGTCAGTCACGCTGCTGAAACTGAGGCTGCTGACAATCACGTTGGCGCGGCACAGTAATAAAACCCTTTTGAATACCACACAGAGCAGCATAAAGGTGTAAAGGAGAGGAGGAGTAGCGGCAGCGGCCGTTAACAGCTCCTAAGGTGGCTGAAACAGAGAGGCGGCGGCGGGTCATTAGCATCTGTCATCGCGACAGGAAATCACTTCCTCGGACTGATCCTATTAAAATCCGGGCCCCCAAATTAAAATCTCCAAAGCCTGTCAAATAGCGTCTCCCCACCGCAGAGGGCTCAGTGCTATTGATGCATCCACAGAGTGGAGTGCTTAATATTGATTCCCCCGCAGAAGAGACAGGTGTGTGTGTGTGTGTGTGTGTGTGTGTTGCGCTCCAAGTGGAATTTGAGTGAGCTGGTGGGTTGGCGGCGATGGTAGAACATTACTCCGGATTCGTTCCGAGGCCCCCGTCCCTCTCTGCTTAGCGCCGCGAGAACTGCCGTGATTTTTTGATTAGTAAGGAGGCCCGTTGACACCGTAGACACCTTTGTCCCTTCATCCGCTGCCACGCGCTTAGACCGAACTGCTATTTTGGTGCATTTCACATACAAAAGTAATATTAAAGGGAGGTGCTTCTTAAATTTTAAAAATCCCATTAGATGGGATATGAGAGGCGTTTTTGTCTCTGGTGTCAGAATGATGGAGTGGGACTTAACAGTTTAAAAAATGTATGCTAATGGGGGACTCGCTGTCATAAAAGTCTGGAGTCGCTTCTTTGAAATTAATACATGCCGGCCACTTAGATCACAACCGCGCAGCAGAGCGAAGAGGCCGTCTGCCTTCAGCCCGGCAGCGAGAAACAAGAAGGCTCATCATCTGAAGAGCAGATGAGGAGGTCGGGGGGCTCACCTGTCCCCTCCTGTCCAATTCTTCGTTCAGGTTCTTTGTCCTCCAGGGCAAACGGGGACACCAATTCTCCACCTAACAAAAAAAAGGAAATACGCACACATTTAGTTTTTGACTACCTCAACGTGGCATTTCTAAATGCTTTGTTTTCCTGAGATCTGATTGCGGGTTTTTTCATGCGTGTTACAAATGTCGAAAGAGCAACAGAGCTCAGAATAAGTAGTTCAAGTAGTTTTTGGGAACTATAGGAGTGAATTCGTCATAGAAGAATATCAAATTTAACTCCGGCCACCTCCGTCAGGTCTTTCTGGAAAACATGATGTATGAAAATAAGAAAAAAACACGTTGACGCAAGGCGCCAATGGGAGAAAGGAACTTGATCCCCCTTGACCGCTTAACGGCGGTCACAAATCCTTTGTGAATACCTCTGGAAGAAAACAAGGGGAAGCTATAAACAGCCTGAGGAGACCTGAGAGGAGAGGAAAGGAAACAAGGAAAGGAGAGAAGATTAACAAGGAGTGGGGAGAAGAGTCAACAACAAGAGGAGCAATCACAAAACAAGGACAAGGAAAGTAGACAAGGAAAGTAGAGACAAGAGGCTGAAAAAGTCTGCTTTTCTGCCTCAGCATTTCCTTTCTTGTGTCTTGAGAGGAATAAGTGCAACACCACTAGAGACAAGAAGAGAAGTATGTCCACTCTGCAAACACCGGATGGACCAACGCAGAGAAAGAAGAAGTTTCTCTCCTAATGGGTTTCGCCGTAGTCTATCTAACTTCCGTTTCCACATTTCAGCTCTCTACGCGCTTTCTTTAGCCGGCTGCAACGCTTTCAGCTCACCTGCAATATTCATAACAGGCTGCTGACGTTCGTGACTGAAACATTTTTTTTTTTTTCAATTAATGACGCCAGGCCTGTTCAAAATCATGGAATATTTAAAGTCTCTAAAAGTATATAATGCTTTTTTCCCATCAGATCTGCAGAGACACGCCACGTCTTCGCCCAGGGGATAAAAACTTGTGCCTCGTCTCCCTGCCTTCCCCTTGAATCCTCTCCTCCTCCTCCCACAGCGTGCTCCTCAACGCACTGTAATTGCTCTCAGTAGAAGATGAAGCTCTCTCTACCTCTCATTTGTCGAGCTTTTGCTCTTTTATGATCGTTCTCAGTTTGTCGTTGAGCTCCATTGTTCAAAAACTATTATGGAGGCACACTGTTTCCTGGCTGATGTCCACACACACACACACACACACACACACACACACACACACACACACACACACACACACACACACACACACACACACACACACACACACACACACACACACACACACACGGCTCACCTCGCTGAGGTAGATAAAGAAGGAACAGGTGGATCCGTCCACGCCGTAGTTTCCGTAGCAGGAGTCTGTGCGCCACATATCCTTCATCCACTGAGGAAGAGGAGGAAAAAGTAGTGTCAATTAATGAGCGGTTAGATGTTTTTCACTTTGCTGTTCACATTAACAGCCACACAGATGTCATTGGAAGCTTTTTGTTGAAGTTGATGTTGATTTACCAGCGACAGTGCCGAGTATGCGGGTTGTGTTGCCGGGAGAATACATAACGCACAGTTGGGACATCTATAGCACCAGCTGTGAGTATAGTTTTCATTCTCCTGGTGGAAAAGGTTCATGCGTGTTTTTATCCGCGGCTCTGAGGTTCGAGAGGCAGGACTGAGACTTAAGAAGTCACAGGCTTTAATCCCCGGAATCAAAACAGGAAGAAAAAAAAGACAGAGGGCTTGAAAAGACGGAGGCTGTGTGCCTCTTGCCGAATACATGTGCAAGTCATTGAGCTGCTCAGCCAACAGGAAGAAAGGGAGGTTGCTCTGGTGTGTGTGGGGGGCGGGGGTATCAACACTAAAACAGGATTCTGTACAAACAAATCTCCCAAAAACCAATAGTGAAATAGCTAACGAAAAGAGGAAGAAGCGGCATTTGGACTTGGTTTAATCTCTGGCAGGTGGATTTCATTGCGCTGGGAAATGCGGGCGAAGGGGGCCGGTTTAGACGGACACCCTTGCTGCACAGTACATGGGCCGAAGGGAGCAGAGATACTACAGCGGAGGCTGGCAGATGGGCTTGGATCCGACCTCGCTTGGAATGGCGAAGATTGCACTGTATTGGCTTAAACCGGCAGTTTAAGAGCTCTATAAAAAGGGGGAATGGACTCGGTCATAACTGTGTACCAAGTGTAAAAACTGCAGTCAAATAGCAGTTAAATGGAAGAGTAACATTATGAGCACAATGTGTGCGTGCGCAGCACGCGTGGCATCGCCCGGCGTCGGAAATACACACCGTGCCGGTGGACGATTGGGACCGGCTGAGCAGATGGTGTGTATGATAGGGCCCGATCAGCGCCGGGGAGGAGGGCGGCGCACACAGACACACACGCAGATAATATATATATTTTTTAAACAGACTTTGGGTTGAAATTGTGCATCCATCTGTGCGCATTGTTTTGTGCATGCGCCTGTGTCATCGCGTGCAGACGTATAATATTTCCGCGTGGTGGCGGTGAAACTAAATCATTGTTTACACTAGTGGTGTTTTTAGTCTAACTGGTGCTGTTATTCTTGCCACCTATTTTCCACTAATTTCCAAAATGACCTATTCTCAGATATAAAAACAGACAGTGAGGTGGACAGGCTGCCTGTGTGTGTGTGAGATTCACCTTGACTTTGCCCTCACAGTGAGGGAAACCCTCCAAAGGCGGCAGCTCGCACTTCTCCTGGGCTCCGCCTAGGAGGTCTGTAGGAGAGAGAGAGAGAGAGCAAATTAATAGTTACGCCTACAACAGAACCTCCAGCTACCCAAGCAGCAGAAATAATGGCCTCTGGCCACATGTTTGGTTTCATTTGGTCGGTTCATGATGTCACATACAGTTTGAAAACTCTTTTTTTGTAAAGGGGGTCTTGTGCTTGGCCATTTTCGGCTAGTTTTGCCCAAACGGAGGCTTCAAAACATCTAGAGACTTAGCAATTGCCTTTCCTGCTTTGCCTCTAATAGCCCAGAAAGCCGATATCCGCGGTGGCTTCTCTTCTTATATTATCACCTTTTTTGAAATCCCCATTCAGAGACGTCGACACCGTCGACCTTTACAGCCGGAACATAAATAATGCATGACCGTAGGTGGGTAGATCAAAGCTCAGCAGCAAACGCCAAGCTGATGTAATGAGTTTGTTTGCAGGGGGGTGTTTTCATGAAGCTAATCAGCACTGGATTCTGGTTAGATGGAAAGCCACGACACACGTTACCATCAGCTGCTTTTTGCAGCATGCCAAAAATGAAAATGCCCAGCTATAGCGTCAGTACATTTCAAACTAGGGCGCGGAGTTTGTACGTTTGTTCCCCATTGTCACTATTCAATGGGTAGTGCAGACTGTTAACAGGTGTAATTTACATGACACCGGATATCCTCAGCTTCGCATGTGGCAGCGTGGCATTGTCCATGATGCAGACAGACTTACTTGGTGCCATGGGCACCTCTAAATATGGTTCACTTGAGGCGTCAAAAGTAACTCAGTTCACGCCATTTGAACCTTTTTAGAAGAAAGACTGTGGCCGAAGTGATGACGATGGCGGGACGGAAGAGTCCCAGTGAGGACCCGATAGGTGTGATCGAAAGGCCAATCCCGCCGCGGAGACAAAAGCACAAAGGCAGCGATGCAAACATTGCTGAAGATTACATGACAGGTTTATCACAGCAGCAAAATAGGGAGAGGTCAAATGGAGTATAGGGTGTGCAGCATTTTATTAAAGTAAACAGGACGGAGATAATGCCAATGAAGGAGGGATTTTTCAGTGCATTGCACGGCGAACCAGAGATCACGGTTAGCAGCCCATCTAGAGCCCTGAAGCATAGTGTTCTATCTGGACAACAAGAGATGTTACACACATCAAGGTTATTTTCCCCTCTCTCTCCCTGTGGCCGTGTGTGTGTCCATGAGGTAATGTAAAATTCGACAACCAGAATTAGATTGAAGACATCTGGTTTGTGTTATTCTTTCTCTTGCGCTCTTTTCTCGCTCAGACTTCATTCTCAGGCGCACAAAACTACAAAAACCGAGCGGGACCGACAGTGACCGTATCTATTGGTGCACATATGATACATTTCGAGACAAGTACTCAAGGTTTATCACCGAGCCCAACAAAGGGGTTGCTGTGGTGATTCTGTGACATGAAAAATAAAATTTAGGAGGGAAGAGAAAAGGGGGTAGAGGGGGGGGGGGCGTTGCAGCTTCCATCATCTCCATGTCCTCTGATCCACTGGCTCAGACACCCTAATTTTAGATCCACTTTGCCAGACATAGTGGAGGTATCAGTGTGTGTGTGAGAGAATCTATGCAGCGCCTCATGAATTAGACAGTAGGCAGGATGCATGATGGACGCCATCTTTGTGTTCGTGCCTCGCCAAGTGCGACACATCGTTTTATAAAGTGACATCACCTACCGAATAAACTCCTTGGAATAAAACTGTCCAAAGTAACATTTTGCTAATAACAAGGCTATGGGGGAGGTGTAAACAGGAAGTAGGTGCTGACTGATGCCTTTTGTTCTGTTGTGGTTGGGCTCATTTATTTTCCCATGCTCCTAAAAAAATAGACTGACTGACTTCCTTCCTTGTCGCGTTTATAGCCTCGCACTAAGGGAGTGGAGGCCAAGGCGGTGAAAGTAGCTCAGGAAGAGAGGAGGAAGTTGTATGTCCCCATATCAGCGAGCGCCGTCAAACCAAATGACAATTGGCACACAATACATGACCCCGCTTCAGCCAAACAGTTTCTCTTTCCACCACACGGGTCTTCTCAGTGGGACAGGGCCCCCCGTTTGGAGCTGGTCAAAACACACGTCTCGCGCTGTCAAAAAAAAAAAAAAAAAATCCCTCACGTAACCCGTCTTTGAGTTTCCTCTTTCTCTGGCTTTCCCTACCGCGAGAAAAAAGAGCTGTAATCAATCCCTCTTTAGAGTTCAGGCAATCTGATCGGCCCACTGTTCTCTTCCAAATCCCCCCGGGAGGAAGATTTGGGGGATTTTGCACAGACATCTCTGACTAATGCTGTGGTGGTTCTGGTTTGGAGATCTGCGGGTATTGTTGTTGTTGTTGTTGCTGCATTGCGACGGGACATTAACTGACAGAAACGGCTCCGCGCAAGTTTCTCCTGATAAAAGACTCGCCCGATCGGTTTGTGAACGGTAGATACTCTTATACGCGCCTCGGTCTAAACTCAGCGGCGCCGCATTGGTGTGCAGTGATCCGCCATGGATTTTCTTAGATTACATTTTAGGGTTATGTGTTTCTCAGCTGCTTGTGTGAACGCACTCAACACGCGGACATCCATCCTCGCATGTGTATGCTGCTCCTCCCGCCGCGAGAGAAATCAGACAAACCGACGCAAGTGTGATTGTGTGCGTGTTGATCGGAAAGGAAAAAAATAAGGGGGGGGTCATTGCCCAAGGAACGGCTCATAATTGGTAGAAGCAGGCCGTGTGGATGATGTTCCCACAGCGCAACTAGAATCCTGGCGCAAGGAGGGGAGAGGAGACAATGGAGGAGGGAGGATGCGGAGGAAGGGCGGAGTGAAGCAGAGACGAGCAGTACCGGGGGGGGGGGGGGGGGAATTTCCTTTGCTCTTTTGAAAAAAACGCTGTGGTTTTATATGCAGGGTTTCGAATTTTTATTCCATGTCTGAAATACATCTCCCAGATTCCATTCTGCGAAACGGTCGCTGAATTTAACTACAGAGGGAAGGAAAACAAAAGGCAGAGGGGTGCACGTGTCCCAGCCAATGGTGAGTTAGACCCAGATGTTCCTCCCCTCCCACCCACGCCTGGAGTGTGTGTGCGTGTGAACTTCTGGAGTGGCCTTCAGATTCCAGCTGAAGAGTGCAAAGCTTTTATTTAGAGTTCTTGTTATGCTGCAGTTGGCTCTCGCTCTTTTCTTCAGTGATGGAAAACACTGCAGAGTCGATGCCGATATTCTACAAATTGACAAAACAGACACCTCAAGACAGACGCTGTTGTTTCTCAATCAATATAGCTGCTGAATTTATTCAGGGCAAAGAATTGTTTTCAAAAACTAATAAAAGGCATGGATGGAGGCGCTTTTCCTCAAATTGAAAAGATCTTTTCCACCAGGCGCTGTGACTTGTTGTGACTTGTGCTCACACTATAGACGGGTGCCCTAGAGGTGGGGCTGCGACATGAATTAATTGAAATTTTTTAAATTATATTTTGTTTCACTGAAAGAAATAGGCAATTACATCAAAAACACAGAGAGGAATAGTGGAACCGAGTCAAAGACATTTAACAATTAGACAGTGATCCTCCCTAATCACAAAAGCACCTTAAATCCAAGAGAAAGAGCTTCTTTGTGTAAAATCACACTAGTATCTCCAGTTTGAATTGGGAAGGAGAAGCAGAGTGCCCGACATGTCTACCCAGTTACTTTGTAGGGATTTGAGGGAAGGTTTGGGTATTTCCCCTCCAGGAGAAGTAGGCTTTTGAGCGAGTGGGACGTGGAGCGCAATCACAAGCTCGCTGGCGTCGAGCTTAAACAGGCAAGGAAACTAAACGTAATGAAAGCAAAGCGGTCTGGCTGCATGCAACAGTGGAAGAAGATCTGGGCCCCGTTCCTCGTACGTGGTTCAACAAAGTTGATCAAATGTCCTGTTAGCCAGCTCAAATTAACCAGATGATAGATGTCGGGCTATCTCGGTTCCTCAGTCAGATCCGCTCGCGAGCGGTCTCGTTAATTTGAACCAGGCGTCAGTCATCAGGATAATTGCGCGTTCATGTTCTACTTCAAAAGGGGGAGGAGTCAATCACCAAAACAATGATTCTCTAACTGTATAAACGAAAAATAAACTCAAACAAAGAGGCACTTTTTTGTCCATTGAAGAACAAGAGATTTTCATTAACATATACGAGGAATTCAAAACCCTAATATGTATATTTGAATCATTTCTGTCGTATATATTGAACGTATACGTAGATCTTTTACGCTGTTCATTCTGTACAAATGATATCCATAGATGTCTCTCCATCCCAGAAGAGGGATCCTCCCAAGGTTTCTCCCCTTTTTTTCTCTGGGGAGGTTTTCCTGTGGCGATGGGTTCCGGGACAGGGGACCTCAAATGTGTACAGACCATAAAGCCCTCTGAGGCAAATTTGTGATTTTGGGCTATAGAAAATAAAATTGAATATTCATTGCAAAATCTAACACGCCACCCCCGCAAGGCCTTAAAAGCACGGCAAAGTATTGCAGACAACTTAAATGCATAAGTGTTGTAAAAATGTTTTGGCTAATTTTATCACCCAAATCAATCAGATTATTTTTCTTTAAATGTGCCTGTTGTCATTCGGCTTAATCAAATGAGATCTTGCTGGCAAAAGTGATTAACGTTATCTCAACTGTTACAGAATAAGTAGATAAAAACAAGAGTATCTAATTCATACAAACTAATAATTATGAGATGTGTACATGTGTATATGCATGAATGTGTGCCGTATAGAATTAGGAGTTTGAATATGCGTGTGCAAATTTGTGTATGGGCAGATCAGTTTGTAAGTATTTTTCAAAATCAGAAATGCAATATATAAGCAATGGAACATCCAGAATTTTCTTAAATATATAATAATAAATATAATATAATAATAAAACGGCATGTAACGTTTTCCCGACGTTTTCGCATCGTACAAAAATGTACAGTGTGTGAGACAGTTAATGCTCAGCTGCGGCGTATGGTGTTCACCATGTACGGCTCGAGAAGGTCTTATTGTGAATAAACAACTCAGTTAGCATGAGCAGTTAGTATGAGGAAAGCCTAATGACGCGTTAAGGAATTAAAGAAAAGGTTACATGTATGTCAGTGCAAATGTTCATCAAAAAATACCTCTCTTGATACTATATCTCTTTACCGTAACAAATTCCCTTTAATGCAAACATAACATTTCAAACTACTGCTGCTTTAAACTAAAAGCAGTGGCGACACACAGGATGTATTTTATTGTGATTGAACCGCAGGTATTGTATTTGTCCCCAATAGTATGCAAGAAAAAAAAATTGGATACAGGCCAACAATCTCAACAATTCTCTTTTGCCCAAGGCCACTTTGTCGTTTCAGTCTTTTTTTTGCTATAACTTGCAGAAAAAAGACATAAAAAGGCGAAAATAAAATCCAATATAAATGGAAACAAATGATTTCTGCTGCTGAGTCTTTGCTGCAGGGCGGCGAGCGTTGGCGCTCATGTGGGTGTTTAAAAGCGCGCGGGATCGGACAGCATTTCTCAGCATCTTGTTTTCCCTGAGTGAGTTCTCTGTGTACTTTATTAGTATCGATCCACGTCCTGAGGAAGTAAACCGGCCTTCAGGAGCGCCGCAGAGAAGCCGCCTCCTCCTCATCCTAAACCTTGTGATGCTTTTGCCGTTCAAATTGTCACCCAGCGCAACCGCCAATGAATTCCATTGTTCTGGTTTTGGCAGCAAATCCTTGTGTTAAGTACATGGATGGACAGCAGGGAGTGGCGGTTCGCCATGAGGTAACGGGGTAAAGGGTAACCCCATTGCAACCCCACAATCCTCCCTCTCCTACCTTCTGTCCTTTTGACATTGAGACCTCGGGTCTCATCTTTCACTGTGACCGGCAGACAGAGATGCGAGCGGATCAATAGTTGAGAGAGACAAAGCAGCGTGGACGCCCCGAGCTGTGAAAGCACAGGTCTCCGTTCACTGAGGAGGCAAAGCGGCGCTACAAATCTGCCAAATGTCAGCGGTTGTGTGAAGGAGGTGGGACGCTGATGACTTTTAAACACAGGGAGGAATAGATTGTAGAAGGGGACAAAATGGAGAAGGGGACGAATGCGGTTGCAAATCACCATTCGTTGCGGCCACTCTTCGCTTGAGATTGTGTATGTGTATTACATTTTACAGCTCACACACGGCAAGCTAACCCATCGGCAGCCAAGGCCATGTCGACCTTCTGATCCCGCCCCTGTTGCCGTTGGATAATGGCGGCAGCGCACAAGACAACTAGAGCGAGGCCACATTTTAGAGAGATGACCAATCGAGAGAAACCGTGAACACGGCTGAGAGTTGGACTACAGCACTGAACACACGTCAAGGTGAGGCTGAAGCTTTTTGTTGGTTGAAGCCTTTTGTTGAATTCCTTTTTAAAAATGAAAAAAAGACCCAGCTTCGGTCCTGAGTCCTTAAAAAGAAAAAGTATTCAAACAAGGCGGCCGCAGCAGTGCAGCTCCATCTTGATCGAGGCCTCTCTGGAAGCCAGTCGTGTTCCGCTCACAGTCCCGATTATTATCTGTGTAATTGCCTCCCAGTCTGGGAGGAGCACTGGAGTTGGCGGCGGCACTAACCCGCCACCCAGTCCAAGACAGGAGACCTGCTCCGATCTAGACTGACGTGCTTGCATTAGCTCGGAGGACTTTGTTCGCTCAACACGCATTCGTGAAACCAAATGTGGTCTCTTGAGGGACACAGCTGGATCTGAATACGGTCCAACCTTATTTTTAGAGTGTTATTATTTATCTTAATAAATAATCTATTGGAACCTGCAGATAAAGATCAGGTCACACTAATACTAGTAGCATTGCCCTATTTGTTGAACACGAGAGTCAAGGGAGTCAAAATTTCATTGTGAGACATCACGCTGGCGGTCTGGCGGATATATTGATGACGCTAGTGTCCATAAATAGGCCAAATTAAATTCAAATTTTAAAGAGGAAGGAAGGGACAGAGGCACGTTGGATTACGAGGTGGCAGTTCAGCAGCTGTCATCAGGGATTACATCCATTCAAATGTGCCTTTGTACAACCAAATGAGTCTAATCTCATTCTGCGTAGCGCCTCAGAGAACATTCCTACGGTTTAATGCTGCGTAAACAAGCGCGAGTGAGTCCCCGGGTCCCTGGAAAACCAACACTTTGCTCTCTCAACTGGGCTGAATTTGTCATCTGAAAGCTGGAAGGAAAATCAATGAAAACTAATAAAAGGGTCACGCAGTGTGAATGGAGGCTTTATTTGAATTATGCCCAAAGATGCAGTCTGGTCCCATAAAGTGCGCGTCTGCACGGTGTGCACTTCTCAGAGCCCCTTTGGTACAAGATTTCCAACTTAACGGCAGACTTAGGATAAAACATTGTGTCTCCTTTCAGCCTCTCCGAGCACAAAAAGGAATGATGAGATACGTACCCGCCACATTTACTTTTTCCAAGTTGGTGCCGCTGGGTGCGGCGGTGCTGATGGCGTTGGTCAGGTTGCCCCCTGTGCCGTTGTAAATGTTCTCCACCTTAGACTCCAGCTTGCCCAGACGCAGCATGATGTTGTCCAGCAGCACGGCGAGGGTCTTCTTCAAATCTGCGCATGAGGACGGATATCGGATTACTGGGGTGATTAGGGAAATGTTTTTTTTTTTGTATATATCAATGGATTAAATCGTTTAGTGGGCAGTCGTGTTTTATTTGAGATGGCAGCTTTTACATATCGGAAGAAAAAGAAAACTACTGCTCCCGGTCACAAGTCGATCTGTATCTGATTGAATGGGCAATCAGGCTCCACATCATCACGAAAAAAGAGCAATTATTCCACTTTGATCACAGCTCATTTCATTTAGGATACAGCGAGGACTTTCCATCTCACGACTATGGCCAGTCTTTGGACTGAAAGCAGTCCGCTTCAGGAAAAGAAGTTGCAGCGACTTTGCGTGTGACCCGTTTGAATTCGGGTCTTCGCATTCACACGAGCATTTTTCTCCGCACATGACACGGATAATGTGAGAAGGGAAGCTGAACAACAAGAAGATCACAAGGCATTCATTCACAGTCGCTCCACTTTTCCGCGGTATCGTGCAGGCCGTTTGATACTGCAACCAGCAGCGATTGCGAGTGACATTGGCAGAGAAGCGTTAAGCTGTCCCGAGCTGCTGTATCCGTACCGTTACCAGAGACATGACGTTTGTCTGCAGCAGTAAACGGGGGCCTCGCTGCTTTCCTCAGTTGATGATCATTTTCAGCGCGTTCATCACATCCAAGGGGCCCTTTTTTTTTCTTGATAAGTTTGACACGCTAGCTCTCATCACATCAGAGGGATCGGCGAGGGCCAAGACGACCTGGCAGAGCGCCCCAATTTGTGCGCAGGGAGAGGAACATTTTGTTTGATTTGGACGAACTTTGTGCCAGGAGGAAGGAGGGGCGCAGCGAGGTCGCGGCAGGAACCAAACGGCGGCCTTTGGAGCTGCCGCCTCTCCAAAGCTATTTTGGGGGCGCGGCTCTGAGTTAATAGCCGCCTTCTGTTTACCTCTGGAACACGTATGCCAGTGCCGGCTGACTCCGCGCTGTACGTCTAGAGGGATCCGCCGGGCCTGTTTAATATCGCAGCTCCTTCGGTAATGTCAACACGGCCCCCAACGGGAGGGACGGAGGAACATAAACAGCAACTGCCTTCATTTCTCTCCTGCACTTGCATTCACAACCTGTAGCGGCAGGTTGCTCAACAATTAAACGTGAACCTTTTGCGCCAGCGCGGTGCTTCGACTTGCACCAATGCTGCTGCCGGGCAACCGGATTGGGTAACAGGAAGAACGGACTGAGGGACACATTTCTGCTCGCCTCAAACGGCGTCTCGTTTCTCGGGGAGTGACGCGTCTCAAAAAACGCCTGTTGCTTTTGATAACCGTGTTTTAGGAGATAATAATCTGTGTTCACAATGACCCGTTTTTTGTTGTTGTTAAGCCCATGAGTATTAAAGAGAAGTGATTACACGGCGGACATAAGCCCGAGGCATTCATCATTGTTTCTCGTCATCCGCTCGTCAGACCGGGCCTGTCAGAGGGGTCTCCGTATTGCACCAACGTAATAGCACACGATGACCTTCCAACCCTGGGGAGGTCGGGCAGGATTAGAGCAGGAATGAAGCTTCCACGCTGCGCCCTGTCCTCACCCTGTCCTGTCTTTCTCTAAACTAACCTATTTTAGGTGCAGCGTCAGGTCCTGGGTGCGTAAAAACAGGTCAGCTTGGTGCAACAGATGCATTCCCTGGCTGGGGGGGGGGGTATGTGTTGAATGAAGTTCCTCCACGCCTAGAACTGACTCGACTGGAGCAGCGGGCTTTCGTGAGACGCAACGCAAACAAAAATGCATTCTTATTTACCGGTCATGCATGAAAATCGAAAGAGGAAGCTCTGTTCCTACAGATCGGATCATGGCAAATCATTGAGCAAAATGAGAGAGCACAGGAAGCACTGAGTATCCTGCGGCCTCTCCATCTTACAGAGGACGTGAGATAATGGGGCGCCGTGTACAGACTCTGCCACAGCACCACAGTAAATCAGTCCTTCGTATGAGTGGAAACTGGACCGGACACGTTTGCTGGAAACAGAATTACAGCCATAGAAAATACGTTTGGTAAAGACGTAGCTTTTAGAGTAGTTCTAAAGAAGCAAAGCAAGTAATGCGCCGGTGTATTTGAGTAGTCCAGCTTCTCCTTTAGGTTCTCTGGGAACTTATTTTAATCCCGTGGACCTTTACTGTATCCTGCTGTTTCCTTGGGCATTACAGGACAATCGATTCCAATCTCAGGTTCCTAATGAAGCCTCCCATCGAGCCATACAGGTCTATTAACGGCATGAATAACTTATTGACGGTTCTCCTGGACCTGTGCTATTACATAATAGTGTGGCTGAATCAGCGTTAAATCTCCACGTTGTTTTTTCTCGAGCGTAAGGCAATGCTGCGCCCACTCGGGAGGAAGATAGGTGGAACCGGTCGCTGCCATTTAAAGAAGATGTAAAAGGAGACACTGGGATGCAAAGCAGCCCTACGTCGTACTTCTGTTCAGACTGCCTCTTGTTGTTTTACGACATGGGAGTGATTTTAGTAAAATCTCGGGTCACGCGCGGTGCGGCTCGGGAGCTGGTCACTCACCATATGCCGTCATGGTGCCCACGTAGGGCCCGTCCATCACACTCTGGTTCTCCTCGGCCAGCGCCTTGATGTAGCGCTTGCTCAGGTCCAGGATCTGCTGCCTCAGCACGGCACTGTTCTCGTGGCTGGCTCGCTGCTGGATGGTGAAGTGCAGCAGCATCATGCCCCAGATGAAGCCAAAGCTGACCAGGAAGAAGCCGAGCTTCTGGGAGGACAGCTTCCACAGGAAGGGTGTGGCCATGCTGACCGACCGGGGTTGGCGCAGCGGCTTGGATTTCACGGAGGGAGAGGGGCCGGGGGGGGGGCAGAATTTAAGGGGTGGGAGCTCAGGAGGGCAGGCAGGGCATGGCCGCGTCAGTCGGTGGGGCGGTGTTTCTCTGGCCCATCCTCAGCGCTCAGCAGCATCTCCCCGGATTCCGTCCGACCCGTTGCATCCTGCAGACACAGACGAAACAGAGATGAGCGACAGAGTCATTTAAGTACCCCCAATAATAGCATGTTGGTGTAGATTATGTCTGAGGTGAACGCAATACAGACTAAGCAACAAAAAGCAGCGAGGGGCTTCAAGGGTAATTTAAAGTGTAATGCTTCTCAAGAGAGAGGCCGGGCAGAGCCGCCGCGTCCCACTCAGACGGTTGGATCCTTATGACTGATGCCGCTGCAAAGCATTAATGCAACAGGGTAAAAATATAAACATTTGGATAGCCTCCGATTTATCTTCCGCACTGGCAGGCGAGACCTCGGACAGAATGTTAAGCCTTTTCTTTTTTTCTCATTCATTTTCTTTTATTGCCAAATACTCAACAGGCTGTTTTGTTTTGTTCATTTATTTATTAAAGGGTGTAGGAGAATTAAGCAAACAGCAACAAGTAAAAGCAGGGCTACAAAAATCTGTTTAGTCTATAATGTAATGTAATGATGTATGATGCAAAAATAGTAGATATGTGGAAGAATGATAAAAGAAAGACAATTCTTGTCAAAAGGAAGAGAGAAAAAAGCAAATCCTCACATTTAAATATGTATTTCCACATTTCTCTAACTCGTCTAGATTTCATCTGAATATGAGGATGTGTTAATGTGGACGGGGCAAGCTGAGCACGCGGCTACAGCGACCGAGACGTTTTCAGAAGATCACAAACCACAACGTTTCCTGTTGCATTACCCACGGATCCAATCACACAATCAAAAAAACAACTAAGTCTGCCTCTCATGACGCATACACAAATTTGTGAAACTTCCTGTGTGCGACAGCAAAGCCACATTTCGGGGGGGGTGACAACATAAAGCAAAGAACATGTGAATTCTTTCTAGAACCGGATCAGCAGATGCGGAGAGTGACGTAATAATGGGTTGTTAGCGCTGCTGGCAGGGGAGAGACCCAGCGGCAATTTCGCGAGAAAGACACAGAAGGACGCCTTTCACCTTCCATCCATCAGCTACGTAAATAGGTCGCCTCCGACCGCACAAGGTTACGCCAAACAACCTGTTTGTTTGGACAATCAAGACAAAAGACTCGTGCTCTTTTTATTCTCACAAAGCACAACGAGGGAAAAAGGCCACGTCGCCTCCTTTTCGTTCTGTTGTGCTTCATCTTTTTACTACATTTTGCTCGCTGTAATTTGCTTTGTGATGTGTGCAAAGCGAAGAGGGGGTCTGTGAGACGAGCCCTCGGCAGTGACGCTGTGCAATCTGCAGCGCTGTTAACGTTGGATGCCTCTCATTGAAGGGGGGAGCAGTGGGGGTGCTGTTAGTTGAGTAACCACAAGGGTGTGAGTGTGTGGAGCCGTTTATCGAGGAGCCGGTCTGAATAGTTGTCAGTCAGAGCCAGGTTTATTGCCCAGCCCGATTTCCTGCGTCAACGCATTTTATTTAACGCTCATCACTTTGCCGGGAAACCATCCAATCACGGTGGCGATGCTGCTGTTAAACCCCCCTGCGGCGGCAGCAGCAGAGAATATATCACCTCTCAGTTACCTTCTGGTTTCTAATTCTGGATCTTTATTTGTCTGGCAGGGGGCCCCATGGCTCTCGGCAGCAACGGCCAAGTGAAAACTGTGTTGACAGCCAGCTGAGATTGAGAACATACGACCTTTGGCAACTTGAGATGATAACGTAACAACCTGCTGAGTGTTTTCTTTTTGGTCATTGTTGGAAGAGGCATAAAACAAGGATTATGATGCCTAAATACGGAAACTGCTAATTTGGTTTCTAGAGGTTTCTGTGGTTCCTAGTTTAAGTGTCCACAAGTGAGACACTGTTGTAGTTGCATAACCAGCTGAAAATAGACAACATGTGTACAATGTGTACAACATGTGTACAGGATGTGTACAATGATAACAGACAAGCCCAAAGTTGAGTCCGTTTCAGGTTTGACGGCCATCTACAAGTAGGATCTGTTACGTAGTAAAAGCCATTATGACTATTTGCAATAAATGCAGCTTTGTTTATTTCCGCCGTGTGCACAGATGTAACAGGTTCATGGTAAATTTGCAGGGACTCAAAGTGATGATATCTAATTAAAATAATCGTCTTAGGCTTTTAATGCATCTCCAACAGAGGTTCCATCATCATGCAACCTCGTTCCGTCAGGCATATGCTGGATTGTTGTGACCGGGGCCAAATGGCCGAGCGACGTAAAGACTGTCCATTTCCTTTGCATCTGCGACCAGCGCTGGAAATAACTCCTGTAAAAGTATTTTAGAAAGGTGGAGCGGGCATAGGGAGCGACGTATTATTTCCAGTGCATTACTCCAGGTTTAAAACAGAGAAAGCGCTCTGCCGGACTGAAATAACTTAAGAGCCCCGTTGCATAACCAAAGGAATAAGCTCTAGATGGAGCTTCGGCCATCAATTATGGATCGACTTTGGAACAAGTACCCATTTTTCTCCCGAGTATAAATAGGCTCTCGTGGAGCATCAGGTGAGTTCAAAGCCACCTCCAAGTGCAATGACAGCCAGCAGCCCTTATCTTCCAAAGAACGGGCTTTGATAGTTGCGACTAATGACTCTCTAAAGGTTAGTTAATTCATTGGATAGTTTACAAGGTTTACAAACGTGAGTATTTCCTTCCATATACATATCCACCCAACTCTGACCAACATACAACACCAAAGCCAACCACCACGTCAAGGCTTTTGTATAAATGTGAAGTTAATGTGACGCTTCAAGGCTCCCGTTATTATTATTATTTTCAGTTCAGCCTCGTCCAAGACGCAGGGACCGGTCCCGCCAGTCGATGTGCATCCTCTCCCCCAACGGGGACTGGGCCAGTCTCACGAGAGACGTGATCCTGACAACATGGCCCTGCTGCCATGGAGACGCGGTGTGACTCTGCATCTTAATGGGCTTCCACACACGAGCCCCGCCTCTCAATTATTCAGTCGGGCGCTGCGGAGGAATGGGGGCACCTCTGCCACTCAACTCGTCCAGCTCGTGAGCCGATATGGAGAGCGAAACCCCTGCGGGTTCAGGGAGTTTATCTAAAATCCCGAGAAGCACACAGATCGATGGTAATGTGTTCTTTATTGAGTCACTGATGGGCTCAAATGCTTCTTCAAGGGGCACCAATTTGGAGCCTTTTTGGCATAAAACTCTTCACACATGCATAATATATTTTTTTAAACCTTTAGCCTTTGTGTGCAGTGAGGAGACCAAAAAGACTTCACGTGGTGCGTTGGGTATTCGCATCAATTTACATGGTACATAGAAAAGTGTCTCTGGGTCACCTGACAAACCCGGTCCTTTGCTTAGCATTCAAATTAAAGACTTCTCTCTCTCTTCCTTTCCTTTCCTATCCTCCTCAGTCTGTCACAAGTGATACAACAAACAAAGATGTCCAGGCAGGAAATGTGCCATTACCGTTAAAGAAATTGTAAATGTTTGCTGATCCGCTTAACAATCTGCAAACTAGTCCATTCAGTTGTTTCCCAGTCCTGTTTACTCCTCCCGGTCTGTTTGCCAAAGGGACAGTGGGGAAAGTGGACAGGAACCAGACCCAACCTGGAACGCAACAATGCTTTATTTATTAATTTGTCTTAGTCCGGACGTTTGGACCTCCAAACCGCTAAAACACAGTGTGGATTTCCTTAGCAACCCGCCCCCCCACTAAGAGTTAAAGCCAAAACACAGAAAGCAACAGACTTCTCACAGGTTTTCAAGCTTGGCGTGCTTACATGACGGGAAGTTCTCTTTTCTCTGAAACAATGATAACCGACACCATTCAGCGAACACTGGAAAGGCTGGTTCTCTCTGGCTGGCTTACTAAAAAAAAAGGAAGAAACACACTTCATAAAGCCTTCAGCTGAAAACAGCCCAGGCCTCCCTTTCCTCAGGCTACCGGGGAACAAGTTTAACCCGGCGCCGCATGAGATGAGACCAGAGGGAGAGGCCGAGGCCGCCGTGAACATGACCTGCATGTCGAAAAACAGGCGCCGCTCAAAAGCGTGGGGAGGAATTGCAGATGAGATGCTGAGAGCGGCGGCGACACTTCCATCTCCCTGTCACCACCGCTGTGTTATGCTAACGCCAGCCGGCTTTGTTACATCATACAAGAGAGCGCTTGAGTGATTTTGGAAAAAAGAAGTATACATACACACACGTGTACATTTGGAACCGTCTCCATATGCTCTCAAATAAGAGTTCACATAAAAGCAGAATGTTCTGCAAACATGCTCCCCACCCGTCACTGTGAGGAGCTTCACTGACTGCATTCAATTTTAAAAGCCTAACCCCCTCTGCACTGCGCTTCATGCCTCGAACACTTTGCCAGACAGAAAACTAATCCTAATGCTGGACTTTGCTCTTAATGCAATCCAAATCCTCTGAAAACCCTTCAAAGAAGTCCGCCCTGGCAAAAGGCCCCCACACTCTGTCCTCGTGGGTCATTTCAAATGCACCGCCGCCCTGCCAAGCTATTTGCCCAGATTATTATGACAAAGGCTCGTTAAGGGAAGCTAGTACTGTTGGCATGCCAAATTGCGGATCGGTATACTTTCAATCCAGTATTTCAGGTTGGGGACTGACAGAAACAGGAAACTAGCCAAAAATAATCCAGACACTCAAATGTTCTCATCTGCAGTTTGGTTAAAACGAAACAAAAAAACAAGCATGAAATTGAGCGATTTAACTCTTAAAGGTCACTGCGAAAGACCTTCTATTATCATCCCTTTATTACATCTTCAGTATTTTACCCGTCATGTGAAAGAACAGCTTTCGGAGAGGATTTAGAGGCGGCTTTGTGACTTGCTCGACCAATAAGAGCCTCTCTGCGTGCGGCACGAACACACAGTGCATCTGCGAACAGTGGGCCGACTGTAGAGACGCGACCTGAGCGTTACGTGGGGGGAGAAGCAGCCTCTCCGCCGCGCAGAGGCCGAGTGGCGATTCTGGCCGGAGGAGGAGCACATGGCCCGATCTTCCTCCAGCGGACAGCTGATCCCATCCCTCGCCGGGACTCGGCCCTGATCAAACAGACGCGCGTGTGCACGCCGAGGGAACAGGAGCCCCATTCAGATCTTGTGAAACCAGAAGAACCAGAACCATCGGCACAGCCTCCCGATCCTTCCATCCCTCAACCCCTCCTTCCTCCACCCTGCGCTGCCTCCGACATCACTCTCCACTCTTGTCGGTTCCAAAAAATATGAGTCGAGTTGCGTAATGCCGACTTAAGGTGAAGGTCCTGCCTGCCTCCCGAGGAGTCACCCTGAAGGTTACCCGAGCCCGCGTCATCAGCCCATCTGGAAGGTGAGAGGGAAAGAAGACAACCCCTCCGGCAGCAAGTGCGTCTCCCCGGGTTCACCCGTTTAAACCGACGAGGGGAACCGTCGTCTTGGCACCCGTTATAGAGCGGCAATAACCGCCAGAACACGCCGGTTCGTTACCAGCCGGGAACGGACTCGGAGCGAGAGCCACCGGCTCGAGACGCGGTCCCGACACGGCGATGCTGCTCGACTCGAGACGTCCCGCCTCATGCTGAACCCGGCCGTGCGACGACAACAACAACAACAACAATAACACGGGGGATCCCGTGTGCTCGTTGCGGTTATTAACACTCTGATTCTATAACTGGCTGAAAGAAGAACAAAACAAAAAAACTACCGCGAGCGTTGGCGTTAGCTGCGCGGCTCCGTTGCCGTTATTGAGGCTAACCGGCGAGCTACCGCCCGTTTCCTGCAACAATAGCTTGGTTTTTTTAAAACATTTTTTTATAAATATAAATTTTCAGGCCAGCTGCTTCGCTCGAAAACCAAAACACGCACCTCCTCAATGACAAGTCGCCCCACTACGCGAGCAAACACAGCTAACGTTAACCACCGCGCTCCCTACCACCAGCCCCCCGGCTTCCTTCCCCGTTGAGGCAGAAGATCGGGCTCCGGTTTCAGGGGCTGTAAGCGCGGACGGAAACGGCCGCTTACCTTTGTGTCGGTGGCGATACGAGGTGGTAAAGAGTCCAGAGTGAGTGAAGATCAGGGGCGGAGACGTCGTTGTGTTGAGCGGACCTTGGGGGGCGGGGGGGGGGGGTGACTTCCAGCACGGCGCAGCGTGCGCACGATCCTCCGCGTTCGCTCTGCCCACTTTGCAGAAAAGGCGAGGGACAGTTTAGGGACCGTCTGCGTGTTGCCCGCGGACAGAAACGTAGAGTGACGTTTTAGGGACCGTCTGCGTGTTTTAAGTAAATTCACTGCACAAATGCACAGTGCACGTAGTAAATTACACAGATTATTTCTTTTGCAGGAAACGTACGATAATGTTTTGCGTTAATGGGAATTAAATCCAGCATTATGATTGTAGTGCTTTAACTGTAATCAAGTAGTTTGCAGTGTGGTTTTGTTGATGAATACGTTACCCTCCAAAGTAAAAAATAAATAAAGTTGCAAACCACCCTTGAATAATTTAATGGAATTTTAATGCCACAACTTGCTACTCATTGAAATAAAAGACAGTGTCCTCACTTTTTGCTGGAGAATAGCAGAAACCAGAGACCGCTGTAATTTTGTATGAATTATTATTTTACATGCTCTGAATATAATCATGAGCCACAGTGACGGACATTCAGTAACATTTTCATTCTCACGATAGTCAAAACAGAAAGCGGAGCCAAAGAACACGACGATCCCTACATTTGTGGTTACGCTGTCAGACACCAATAAAAACTTTGTGTTTACTGCCATCTGCAGGCTGTCACATGATACAATGGGCCCCTTGTACTGCATTTTTATGTAGAGCTGCTGGAATCCAGCAAGAGAGTGTATGAGACATGCATTGTTTAAGTGCATGTAAAGTAAAGCAATGTTCTATAACATGCATTATTGTTTTTGTGTTGTGATGATATGGCTCAGTATGGGATTATTTTTCATAATCACTGTAAAAATAGAATACTTAAATGCTGGTTATTTATACTAGTATTGGGAAATTAGAAAACCATGAGGCAGAAAAAAACTGCGTATGTTTGATGTTTGCTAAATATGTATTTACTGCTTAGCCTCAGATTCAGTAGGAAAGGTGGCTTTACCAGCATGACACACCTCATAGAACCTTGCATGTATTTACATGAACATAGCATTTGCAGTGGAGAGACACACTGAACATCCATTCTCCAAAATAAAACACAACCTTCAAGCTTAGTCTATGAGAAAATAGATTTATTCTTCAAATTAGCAATTTATACACAGAGGGTTCATGGTTCTAATCATTAGAGATATATTTTGCCACACGGCTCCGTGGGTAGAAGTCCTTCAATTACATTACGTCCATATTATATCCAGACATCTAAAGTGAACCGTACAGACATAAAGAGTTGAAGGCAGAGGAGAGCATGATTCCCACTAAGGCACCCATTATTAAGATCAACTTCCCAACACAGCAGTCGTGGTAAACTGGGTGCTTTGTGTTTTACCAGAGGCAGAATTATCAAATTTAAAGTTTATTTTTTTCATCTGAAACACGTAGTGAGACTATGGTTATTTCACGACCACGACATGTTCGATACATCAAGTGTGGCGTCACACCTATAAAGTGGATGATTTAACGATTAAGAAAACTAGGGGAGACAGACCTCTCTAACACTGCTCCAGGAAAAGACAAAATACTTTGGCTGAAACACAAATAACGCTGTGAATAATGATTTATGCATTCCCTTATTCCTAATGCATATGTACGTTCACAACATGAATAATAATGTTCAATAAGTAGATTAACTGTGAGCAGAAATGGGTAATGTTTCAGTCCAGCTTAGGAGAAAAAAAACTCCTTACCGTACCCCTGACAGGGACAGTTAACCAGAACATAAAAAATACAATTTTTTTGTTTTAACTGCAGTGCTCCATCAGTTTGGATTGTTTAGGTGTGAGTTACCTAATGTTGAAGATATGGGTCATAGAGTCTGCCCTCTCTCCAAAATGATGGGACTACAATGGCACTCGGCTTGTGGTGCTCAAAGTGCTAAAGATCAAATTTTAAAAATAGATTTGACAGAAATATTCTTTCCAGAAATCCTGTCACGGTTACTCAAGATAATTCACACGTGTGTCTTGAGCCATTTCATGCCAGAATTGTGGTGAAAGGACCATTTGTATTATTCATTTGAGAGTCCTTTTTTACTTTTGACACCTCACATAGAAATATCTGCAGTATAATCACCATAAACAAACTATTTTGTTCACAGTAAGTATTATTACACATTTAAGATGCTGCACAGCAACTTCAAAAAGAATCAATTGTCTTGTCCTTGATACCACCCTTAAATGTTTGCTACATTTAACCACCTTTCTGCAAAAAAAATGACTTATGGTTTGCAAAGACTGCATAAATACTTCCGTGTGTGGTCCAGTAGATTGTCTAAAAGGAGAGAAAGGTACTAAAGTGAACGTTTTGGGACGCATTCACTTTCCCAACCTCTTTGCCACGTCCTTGTAGGCCAGCTCGATTTCCACATCCGCTGCGCACGTGTTGGTGAACTCGTCTCGTTCGTAGGCGTTGCCGAGGTAACGCCACAACCCTCGGAATTCAGAGGGAATTTCATAGTTCCGGTATTTCTTCGAAACCACCTGCAGGAAAACATGTTATTGTGCTACTGTATGTCAAGACAGATTTCCAGCTAAAGTGAGCCAGAGTCGGCCAATTGAAACGCAGGTCACCTTGACAACGTGAAGTTTGGGCAGAAGGTTGCAGTCAGCCAGCGTCAGTTCGTCTCCGTCCAGGTACTTGCGCTTGGATTCGCCCTCGCCTCTGTTGTGTCCCACCTGAAGCTCGTCGGGGAGAGGACTCTCCAGATACGTATTGAGCTTAGCCAGGGACTTGTCTAGACTTTTCTCTAATGCTGAGGCACAAACAACACAACGCACACGCGGGTCATGAAGTTTTTTAAACCAATGCTTCCGTATTGCATTACAATGAATGTTTACTGGCTATATTTTGAACTCGCACCATGTCACATATTCGTTTATGTAATGATCAAAGGGGGAGAGGCTTAGAGCCAGAGGCTTGGTGTGAAGATGATGTGGAGAAAATGCAAATTGTGCAAATTTCCCCAATTCTGGTTTTGTGTTCGGATTGCTTACCTCGATTTTTATCTGGCCGTTTGTTTTTGACATAAGCGGAGAACTTTGCAAATATGTCGTTCCCCGCTGTGTTGGATTCCCGATTCTTTGATGCAAGTTTGGGATACCTAAGAAACATGAACATGGCGTCAGTGAGGATGTCCCTCGCCTCGCCCTATTTTCTTTTCTACGCGTGTGGGGCATACTTTGGTGGAACCAGCATCTCCTCCAGGTACTCCTCTATTTTGTTGACGTCAGTGAGAACCTCCCCCTGGAAGGTGAGGAAGGGCGGGTGTGTCCCCGGGGCCAAGTTGTGAAGGTCAGCCGGTTTCCTAAGTGGAGTAGAATCATTTTACAACCTCTACTATTGAACTGCGATGAAATGCCACTGTGTTTTTTTATGCTAATTCTAGTAAACAAACAATGCTCTTTCGTTTGTCTATTGTTGCTGCTAGTGCCTACTACTCTTGGGCCTCATTTCCATTCCATTTACTGTTTTGTTCATTACCCTCACGTACTGCTCAAAGGAGCACTTCGAGCATCTTAAAGCTGCTCTTAAGCTGCTTAATCAAACAGTGAGTTATGGGACCTTGTGTTCATTGGTCCATGCAGTACTTCAATTGTCACGGTACCTTTTTAAAGTATACGTAAGTATTTTCTGTGTTTGTGGGTTTCATTTTAATATGCCGATTTTTTTCCTTTTACAGCTCTGCGAAGACAGCGAACGTACAGTGTGATGTGATGTCATTATCACCTCTTGAGGTCGACGGTGGTGACATTGAAGACGACACCTTTGAGCCAGAGGATCATAAAGAGGCGCTGAGAGAAGGGACAGTTTCCGATGCTCTCCCCGTCACTCCCAGCCTGTAAGAGCACACGCACACATGAAAACACAGTAAGACACATATACTTCATACACTGATTCATGCACACACACACATGCAATCCAGACAAGTACTCAATAACTCAAACCAAAGAAATACATAATACAAGTAGACCATTCAGTGCTTTTAGTTTGAAGTAGAGGGTTGGGCCTGTTTGTGCACATGAACGCATTTATCATTAACATAAGATCAAATACAGTATATTTGTGTTCACGTTGTGTATGTGTGGGTGTGCGCGCGCACGACTGCAATCGGACACTGTAATGGGACCCCGAGACCCACATGAATAATCCAGACTGCTTTCATCAGCCGCCTCACTGCCTGTTTGGACGTGTGGTTCCTGCCGTACAGTACAGGCGCTACGGAGCTTTTGATATCTTTCATCTCCTGTCCCGTGCACACACCACCGCTGAGCTTCAACCGGCGTCGGCTTTGCTTGGCTCTTTTTAAGATGCCGACACTTGCTTTAAGGTATAGCCAGAAGTCCTGTACTTAGCTCAGCATCAATATCGGTGACGCGGGGAAACAGCTGGCCTGGCTCCATGTAAAAGGTCAGGTAACCACAGGTGGTAGTGGAAGAAACTCCACATTTACACTTGCAATGGTAGTCATATAGATAGGTGTTTCCAGGCTGAGCTATGCTAACAAGCCAAATTTAGCACACACATATGAGTGGTATCAATTTTCTCTTCAAATCACAGAAAGAATTATTGAACTATTGACATAAATGTTGTTCATTCAAGTCAAGTAAAATGTGTAAATAAGTGCCTCACTCCTATCCCTAAAGTAATACAATATGTACGCAATGTGTCCACACTGCGTTGGTTAACAAACAAAAGTGGCGATGCCAAAACCATAGTATGAATGTACACACGCACACCTCACAATACAGTATCATACCTTCAGGCCATTGAGAGCCGCTGCCCCCAATACTGAAAGGACCCCAGTAATAATTCATTGGGGGAGAGAAAGCGAGAGATTGTCCGTGCACGTGGGTGTCAGGTTCACACATGGAAAATCAGCACACAACAACAACAACGTGGCATGCGCATGCTTAAAGGATCCACCCCCAGTAAACACCGACACACACACAAACACACACTGAACAGTTTTTAAAGTGAGCACTACTGTAATAAACCAACAAAAGCTATTACAGATTATTCAGGCAGACTGAGACAGTAAAGTTTGGACACAAGTGTAATTTAAATGTGAGGGGAGAACTGATCTAGAGTCTGCTTGCGACGTGCACTAACTTCATCAAGACCACACACGCGTGATTCCCCACCTTCACAAACAGCTCAATATCAGGGTCCTTGTCCTCCCCGGCCGCGGTATCCGTCATGGTCAACAGAAAACAGGCTTCGCTTGTGTGTTTTGTTTCCAAAAGTGTGTAGATGTATTTGTGTGTATGTGTTTGTGAGTTTGTGTCTGAGAGCCGTGTCAGTTTACAGCGGATTCTCCTCCAGGTCCATGTGTTGAAGTCGGCTTGGTCCCATAGCAGCTCTGTACCAGTGTCAGCTGAGGACGAGTGGGAGGGAGGGAGAGTGTGCGTGTGTGTTTAAGAGCCTCAATTTGTACCTGAGGCCCCAGCAGTGAGGCGTGACACTGTCAGGCAAAAATAACCCCGTTGGGGCGACGTGGGGCAGACCAAGTCACACCGAGGGAGCCCCTTTCCACCTTTTCCTGGTCTGATTTACAACACGATGAGAGACATTGTCTCTTTCTCAGACGCATCAGCACCCGTAGGACCAAAACCAACAAAAGTCTAGCGACTAATAACTTGTGTATCGAAGCCCGATTCATCCTCTTCCCCACTGGTGCTTCCATTAAATCAAATGGGTAGTCATTTTCATAAAAAAATAGTCCCGTACAAAGGTGCTATTTCCTGCTGTTTGGATAATGCTTGCCGAAAACAACAGTGCCCGGTTCATATTTGTTATAGTTTCTTCATCATCCAGCGTTAATAAGACATTTTGGGTTCCCAGCTTGTGATAAATCCTCCTCAGGCATCCTACATGCAGTGTCTTCTTTTTAGCCAGCTGAAGGCGTCTGAAACCAAAAAGGTTTTTCCTCAATTTCTCAAGACCTTGAAAGCTGGTCACCTCATAACTGTTGATGAATCATTGGTAAAAAACCAAGTCTGTTGCAGTTGTAAATGTTAATAAGTTGCTGATGAATTGACCCGCTGAAGTATTTCTTCAGAAGGTTTGTGACGGATGACTCGGTATGGAGATCCAGCGCAGTTTTATCGACATTTGATGATAATAAATTTGCTGTAGACTGTATTTGACAATGGTAGTTTGATGCTGCCAACACCTCGGCCCCTCCTTCTCTACTGTAATGACCTCCGGATTATAGCGCTGTAATGTCAGGTTTCAAAGTGCCTGATTTACGATGACTCAAGTGGACTTTATTGTGCAATGTGCATATTATGAAATCGATTCAGTTAGTGCGTGTGTGTCTGTGTGTGTGTGTGTGTGTGTGTGTGTGTGTGTGTTAGTGTGTGAGAGTGGGAATTTGGGAAAAGAAATTAAGGGATTTTCAACATAGATGCGTAGATGGAATCACTTAGCGTAAGACACACACACAAACACAGTAGGACAAAAACTATCCCCAACTATCCCGTCTGTGAGTCAGGACATTCCTGTCAGTTCAACTGACAGCTTATATTTAGAACCAGCGTGACCCCTTGTTGTACAACACACACACATACACAGACCCTCTCATCACACTTCAGGATCAGGAATCAGGAAACATTTATTGCCATAATATGTCAGACATACAAGGAATTTGACTTGGCGGTTGGTGCGTAACAGCAGACAGTACGACAATGGACGAGAAGACAATATAGTGTAAGAGGAATACAATAAAATATTCCTTTTGCGTTATATTGGCGCACTTGTTCATAAGAAAAGTAGTACACATGTGACTGTAACCCGTTCAAAGATGGGTTTGTTTTGAGCGCACCTTCCCCCTACCTTGACATAAAGTTGGATTTTAGGTTCCTCTTTTTCAGGCTCTGGCTTCTCCTCAGGCTCCTCCTTGTCAGACACCGCCGAAGACGATGACATCGAAGACGAGGATCTGCGGGAAAAGTTGTCGCCGTTCGCCTCCGGGGACCCCCTCCCCCAATTCGGGTACGTGTTGCTCTCCTCCACCTCTCTCTTCTCCTCTTCCTCTTTGTCATCCTCCCTGTTATTTTCCTTCACCTCTGCTTTATCTTCATCTTCAGCGTGTGCTGAAGAAGAAGAGGAGGAGGAAGAGGAGGAGGATGAGGATGAACTGCTCCGTCTTTCCTCCGCGAGAGGCCGAGGCGGGGGGAGAGCAGGGGGAGTTGGCATCTGACCTTTGGCCCGTCCGGTGTTCTCGTACTCCGCGGCCGGCTTTGAGGGCTCGTCGAATGGCGCCTCGTATGTCAGGTCGTACACACTCGACGGCAGGTTCTCGTAGGTGGACTCGGGGTTCTCGTACAGGGGATCCATTCTGCGGGCGCAGAGGTCAAAGCAGAGATCGTACTGGGTTGGCGGAGCGAGTTGCGGGCTCTCAGCACAGTGAGCGTGATGCCTGCTTTGTTCCACCTTATCAGAGAAGCTGCCCAGGACTTTGGATGGGGAAGGGACGAAGGCGTGCCAAGGGAGGACAGCGGGGATGATCCTTAAAGGAGAATAATATATGGGACACTATTGTCGCTCATAGCCCTGCAGCTTCAAGAAGTTGATAATGTAATGGCTGTGAGCACGCACTGGGATATTCTCAACCAAGATTTTACAATAACTTTTGCCCTCCTGGTTGCCTGCCTGGCAAATTGCAATGCTTCAGTGTGTCATTGTGTGCACTAATTTTCCACAATACCCCATCTCAGCCCTTTAAGCGTTTTTTATTAATTGGATGGAAACAACACTCACAAACTTCTACCACCCACAACGCCCAAATCCAAACGCTGATTCGCTGACTGAGCTGCCAAATTTGTAAAGCGTCCCATCAAATGTTACGTACCTGTTATAAGAGAGTATGTGGTTGTTACGTCAAAACAAAAGCCTTGTGTTGTTAAAATAAATACTATAAATGCATTTTGTGACACTTATTATAGTATAATATAAGCTCAGTAGCTAATAATATGAAAAACAAAACCGTAGAGGACAAGAAATATATAATTATTTTGGGACGGAGTCTACGGATTTTTTATTGGTACCAGATTTATTTTGAAATGCGTTACCGGAAGTAACAGGAGCGTTCGCTCGAAAACGTCTCAGCGTTGTTTATTTTGAGGAAGTCAAGTGACGATGTCGCTGGGAAAGTAACCGTTTAGACTAAATAAAACAAGCTCTTCATCGACACTGACTGGAGGACAACTGCCGGTCAGCTTCCCTTACAGGTAGCGTCGTAAATTCAACTGCTTTCACGTTACGTGAACGCTGAGACACCAGCAAGCTAACATATGCTAACCGGGCTTGTGTACAAAGAGTGGAAATAAAGTACACCTGTTCTTCAGAATTGTGTTCCTTTCGACTTCCGCATTATCTTCAGTATTAATTCACTTCGTTTTCGGAGACGTTAATGCAGCATTCTCCGGCACGAATGGGGACTTCCTGGTCGTAGTCGAACTCCCTTTCATTTTAAATAGCCCTTAATAATAAAAAGAGAGCATTCGCGCCTCTCCGTCCATCGCCTGCGCCCGAGGTGCGCTCCCTTTTGATCTAGTTTCTTTACGTTGACTCCAATATCACAGCTTGAGATACGTTTTCTTTAAATTATCGAACTCACTCCCGCAGTTCTTGAAATACTTGAATAACAAAATACGATATTTATAGGAGAGTGGAAAATGAGTGTGCTCGGGCGATTCAAATATTGTGTAGAAATAGCTATTTGCAGTCATGTCCCTGTCATTTAAATTTTAACTGGCGTCCTTGGGTAACTTTATTTTATTTGGGTTTGGCCTCTGAGAGCGCCTATACATCCAACGTTTCTGTTCAGGCTGTTAATCTGATGCAGATGAAACCGGATGTCGGGTGAGACGAGATGCAGAGGAGGTTTGCACTCCTCTCTTAAAGTAGAAAAACTCGCCAAACTGGATCCACACTGTTGGGATGTCAATTTAGAAACCTTTGACACACACCCGCTGGAGATTGTGATGAAAATAAACCCAGTGAGCATCCGTTAGAAGCAGTTCCTTTCTTTACACAAACAAATAGAATACCCTCCCCAACCGTTTCTGGACATTCCTCTTTTTGCTGTTATTTGTTTTACAAAATCAAAGAGTGATCCCAGTCACTCCCACCCAGTGAGGCATACGTCTCATTAATAACACACCATCAGGTCGATATCCGCTGATACCCGAAGCCCAGGTGCCTCCATCGGTTGTAGGACTATAAGAGCTGGATCATCGCATTCCTATTACAAAGTGAAAAGTGATAAACCAAAAATGTTTGGCTTCACTTTCTCTCTCTTTCTCTCTGTGCTTCTGCAGGTCAGAATATACCCGCTGAACTGTCGATTCCTGATGTTTATGACACTCCCACTGAATCTCAGGATGTTGCTGCAAATGCTCGTAGGCCTCCTGTGTGCCGTCGGGGCCTCGGGCACTGACAACGGCACGGCACAACCGGGCCCCCCGCCCCTGCTGCTGGTGTCGTTTGACGGCTTCCGCGCGGACTACCTGAAGCGGTTCCCGATGCCCAACCTGGAACGCCTTTACAGCCAGGGGGTCCTGGTGGAGCAGCTCACCAACGTCTTCATCACTAAGACGTTTCCCAACCACTACAGCCTGGTAACTCCCGCGCCACCTGTTTAGATTGTGAGCAGATTGAGCCTCACGGGACAAAAATGAACCCCATGTTGTCCTCCCCCAGGTGACGGGGCTGTACGCGGAGTCCCACGGCATCCTGGCCAGCAACATGTACGACCCGGTCACCCACAAGAGCTTCCACGTGGGCGGCAACGTGTCCGACCCGGTGTGGTGGAGCGAGGCGCGGCCGCTCTGGCTCACGGCGCAGGACTCCGGCTACAAGACAGCAACCGCCATGTGGCCCGGCTCCGACGTGGCCATTGGCAACCGCACTGCGTCGCACTTCCTGCCCTACAACTCCCACGTGACCTTCCAACAGCGGCTGAAGAACGTGACCAAGTGGATGCTGGGAGACGAAAAGGAGCCACCGGCGATGTTCGCAGCGCTCTACTGGGAGGAACCGGACCGGTCGGGTCACATATTCGGCCCGGACAACGATACTGCCATGAGCCAAGTGCTGAAGGAGGTACTGTCATTTTTTCATTGATCCTGATACAAAAGGCTCCTGAATGTTTGAAGGAAAAAAACTTGCTTAGGTGGTTTAAAGGGGGGGCCACAAATGCGTTGGAAAAGTCATGTCGTGCGATTTTAAGCAGCTGTCAATTAGCCTTATTAATTGTGGCCACGTACCATTTTGGTGCGATATTAATCCGATATATATCACATGTGCACGCTCTATGTGCTCTGGCTCGGCGGATGTGTATTTTTACAAAGATTGGATAGATCGAGCCCTGCTTCACATTAGCTCCGAATGGAAGTTCAGGGGACTGACGTCTGTGTCCGTTGGTGTGCGAACCAGGTGGACGCCAACGTGGGCCTGCTGGTGGAGGAGCTGACCAGCACCGGCCTCTGGGGCCGCGTCAACGTGCTGGTGACCAGTGACCACGGCATGGCCCAGTGCTCAGCCGAGCGCCTTATACGGCTGGACGACTGCCTCCACCCCGACAACTACACGCTGGTGGATCTCTCCCCCGTCACGGCCCTCATCCCACGCCAAGGTGACCGGGAGTGGAAGACCTGAGTCGGAAACGGGTGTTTTTTTTCTTTAGTTAAGTGGGACCTCCGCTCACACAAATACCTTTTTTCCTGTGCGCGTGCAGACCCGGAAGGTGTCTTCGACTTGCTGAATAAGTGCCACCCCCACATGACGGTGTATTTGAAGTCGGCCATCCCCGACAGGCTCCACTACCGGAACAATGGCCGCACTCAGCCCATCATTCTGATCGCCGCCGAGGGCTGGACCATTGTGCGGAATGGGAACCAGCTGCCTCGCCGTACGTCTCCTAATTGCTTTCTTTGTGGCGACATTTGATCGCATCCGCCCACCGCTCTCCTTCCTCTCCTTTCAGTGGGCGACCACGGCTACGACAACTCCCTGCCCAGCATGCACCCCTTCATGGCGGCGGCGGGGCCCAGCTTCCGCCAGGGCTATCGGGTGGGCAGCCTGCAGAGCGTGGACATCTACCCGCTGATGTGCCGCCTGCTGTCAGTGCCGGCGCAGCCCAACAACGGCACCCTGAACCGGGCGCGGTGCCTGCTAGTCGCCGAGACCTGCTGGGAGGTCCCCGTGATGGTCGCCTTGGTGGTGGGCGTCCTGCTGGTGCTCACCGTGATCACCGGTGAGTCCGGGTTGACCTCAGATACACGGCCGCTTCTGTACTGTTGGGGATTCTGCCCCTGCAGCCACATCGGGTTAACACGTAGTAGTGTTTTTCTTATCATATATTTTTAATCATTAACTTGTCTGCCGTCTTTACATACATGGATACTAATCTTTAGACACGCACACACACATTCTCTCTCAAACACATCGACACAATTCCCTTTTCTTTCTCGTATTTTGTGAAACATCTTGTCAATATTATTTTAGGCAGTCATATCTTACGCATATTTGTTTTACATTCTATTGTGTAATTTTAACTTTGTGGAGGCTTCAAAAATGTCTTCCTCTTTCTCTTACTGGGATGTATACATATACATATAGATAGCTATTAACAAAAAGATACAAATATGTCTGATACATTAACATTCAAAAGGACACTTTCTCACGCCGGACTCGTTGCTCTTCAGTTCTGTTCAAGTTTCTGAGGTACCGCCGCCCATCAAGCTCGCGGCCCTTCCAGAGGCTGCAGGTCGACGACGACGATGATGACGAGCCCCTGCTGGAGTAAACCGAGCCGGGTTAACTCCAGCGTAACCCTTGTCGGCGGCTCCTGCTCTCCAGAGGTACTCCACATGACGTACTTTACTGACAGTAAAGAGTCCCATGCTGCTTTTTTCTTTTCTTTTTTTTCTTTTGGGTGGTGGTGGTGGTACTGCTGAGATGATCATTGAGAAAAAGAGAACTTTTAAAAAGTTTTGTGAGATTCTTTATATCCCTGAGGGAATTATTCAGAGAAAAACCTTATTTTTTTTATCTGCAGAACTGACCTTTTTTTGTTGTAGTGTTGCTTGTTGTCAGCAGAGGGAGCCAGTAGCTAAATTAAGATGTATTTTGTGTCTCACTGAAGAAGAAAGCCTGAAAGATCATCTGCTGAAATCCTTTGATTGTGATCCGTGTATGCTGTTAACTGTTTTGGATTATTTGTTATACTATTTGAGACTCAAGTCCTAAAAAAACTCATGTATTCCCCTTTTATCCTTTCTTAAGAACTGAAAATTCACATTTCACTTGATACATTTTTACTTTTGAAAGGGGGGGGAAACGTGAAGTGGAATGATCTTTTCTATGCAAATATTTAAGTTACAATGGACTACAAGTAATGGAAAATATTTAGGAGCACATCCCACTTCTGAGTCTTTCTTATGCTTAATAATGCCTCTTTTTTCCACATTTGTTTTTGCCTCGACTCACAAACTGTCCCGCTGCTCCAAAATACTCACTAGAGCACGAGATGTGTATACATCCACGGCTGAAAGTAGACCCTAACAACACATGCACTATTTATTATTTTTTATTTAGCTTATTCAGGAGATAGTGAGTTTATTATTTGGAGTGCCCTCCAAAAGAACAGTGGTGGTCTTTTCGTGAGGTTTATATGAAAATAATTTTCTAAATATCTTCAGCCTGATCTTCTGATGCAGTGCTGCTGGCATGCGTCCAGCCACATCGTTATATTTATACGGCATCCATGCATCTGTTCATGTGTGTAAGTATGTCTTTTTTTGATGATGTGAAGAGGAACCACTCCGGGGTCAATAGTTTTTCATATTTATAGGTGTCTGTTGTCTTTTATTGCTCCATGTTGTCTGCATCTATGCTGTGTTTTATCCATAAAGATCTAGATCTCTAGTTCTCAGTACTGGTAAACCATTGGCATGTTCCCTGGCCAGCAGAGATTGCTGAAAATGAATAAAGTTTGTTGAAGACCGTGAACTTTTTATTTTTTGCGTTGTGATAAAGAAATCTTATCACGTGTCTGTCAATGGAAAGTAAAGGCGACACACATTTGGAAAAATTAATTTATATTCCTTTATGTTTTTTTTCCTCCATCGCAGTTACAACATTACAATGTAATAAAATGATAAATATATAAAATCAACCTCAATACTGATGCGTGATACATTTCTGTATCGTGTTCAAAACCAAATGAACTGTACATGTTTTGATTAATAGAACTTTTTCACATTTAAAATCAGTTGTAATTTTCTATGTACTCATCTGTATAATTGTAAATCTTTGTCTCTTCACAGATAAATAGACTTTATTTTCAGGAGGTATTGTAACAAAAATAACACATTTCCTAGTGCTGGCCACATGGAGCCATTGAAAATATCATTCAACTCTTCCCCAGAATGCGTTAACGGTTATCGTAGACACAGAATATACGGATACTGTGGTTTCGGGAGCCCCACCGCGCCCTGCCCCCCCACAAAATGACAAGAAGATTCCTGAATGTTTTTTTTTTTTTCTTGAGCTGACGCAGGAGCGGCTTTGAACGCGATCGATGACAGCAGCCATCATTTCTACAGTGAAGGCAGGAGATGTGATACCGGCAGACTTTCATCAGAGTAAAAACTGTGTGAGTTTTGTTCCTCTTTGAGCATTTCCTTCCTCAAGTTTGAAGAATGTGCTTATGTATTGAACGGTTTGGCATGTAGCTGCACGCTGCGAATTGGACCATTCCATCAAGCTATTTAGTCACGCCCCTAAGTCAAAAATGTCCATCCTAACAAATATGACTCTCAAATTGCTCTTTTTCCTCAAGGGTTGGTTCCAAAAAAAAAAAAAAAAAAAGTAGATACATTTGGGTGTATTAGTACACTATAGTTGACGTAATACAGTGTATTCCATTCCATCTTTGTTTCTTGGGGTATAGCGTTGGACAAATAGATAGATATTACACTCACCGTCATACAGTGAATATGAAGCAGTAGACCGTTGACCTAGCTTAGCATAATCACCAGCTAAAAGGTCAGAAAGAGCTAGCTTTGCTCGTTCCAAACACACAAGGTCCTTTCCACATTTCTAAACTTTCAAACAAAGGTAGCTAGCCTTTTCTTTGTGCTTAGCTAAGAGGCTGTTCGTTTGAGCACTGATACGTTATCATTTTTAGCATTAGCATCAACACGGAGTAGTCAAAACGGACATTTTTGCACTGCTAATACATTACTTGACTTCTCTAATCCTGTGACAAGGGTCTTTCTTTGCAGAACAATTACAAAGACAGTTTTAATGTTAATCGGGAATGTGAGAGACAAGTATTACATCCGTTCATCTTAATCGGCTCTTTTCCAGAGAAACTGAACCGAAGCTTGGTTGCGGCTGTCTGGTCAATCCCGTCCAGACGCGTCCCCCTCCCCACAGATCTAATATCAGTGCGCTTATACTCAAGACAACACGATGGCACAGACTCCTACGAAAAAACACAGTTTCCAGTCTTTTCTCTTCTTACATTCTGGATATTTCTAAGGAACATTTACTATCATTACATTTGATAGAGCCTAACCAACTCATGGAACATAGATCCAACTGAGGAGGATTACCAGAAAAGGTATTTACAATCAAAATGCCAACCACAAGAAAACAACAAACAAAAGGTACTTTTGCACATCGAAAATCTCTAGAGCTACTTTTTTTTTTCCAAGCCGAAGAACACGGTAGAAAAGCATGATCCTAACAAAATAAAAGCCCATGGTACATCTTATAGATGTAGATAGATAGATACATCCACGTTAAGGTTTAATTTGACCCTGCCCTGCGCTTATAGTATCCACACCTGAGTCAAACCGCTGAAATCACTCCGACGCGTTCCTAAAAAGCATTTCAGCCGCCGTCGGACTCAGACCTGGTCCAAACTGGTCCCAGATCAGAAACCGCTTGGCGGCTGATCAAGAAACATCACGAGTGATGATGATTTCACAGCATTACTGCCACACGCAAGCATACACGCACGCACAGCCCAACCACAGGCCTCATAGGCTTTGCCGACCCTGATCCTGGGTTGTACAATTTATCCAAAGAACAACCGAAAAATGACTTACGTTTTTTTAAAAACGTTTTCACAATATAATGTAGATACCTGCATCCATCCTGGTTATTCGCTAAAGGTACATTACGTGCCCCCCCCCCCACCAACTGAACCCAACAACTAGCAAACCTGAAGGACAAAAGCGTCCATTAACTTGAAATGCGTGATAACAAAATGTCAAAAGTCAACTTGTGGTGTATCACTCGTTGCAGATTGTTTCTTCTTGCAAACAAATACGAAAGGCGACAACATCTACAACAGTGATATGTCCTCTTTTTTTTTTTTTTTGCGAAGTTCATTCAACCCCAGAACCTTTCTGTCTGTAACCTTGCATGGCTGTGGATGTGAGGCCATACACACACTCGGATGTTTCCTACATAGTGGGTCCGGCTAAGGCTCAGAGTTTTGGGCTGAAGTTTTACTTCTTGCAGACTCAACTGTAAAAAGTATGTATCATTGATTTTTTTTTTGACCAAATATGGCTAGTGGCAAAACAAAATGGAGACGGTAAGAAGGTATGACACCTGCAATTTTGATTAGGAGGCTACTGCCGAGTCTCAATGCCACATGGGAAAATTTGTGCGTAAAGAAGCGAAGCAACGCCGTTTGTTTGTTGTTTTTTGGTTCTGTCGGACCTGATTTGGGTTGAACATGATCCCCGATTGGCTGGAGCTCTGGAAAACCCATGGTTTTGGGTCAGAGGTCAGTGTGCGGGAAGGGGGTAGCTAGCGAGACAAGGTCAACGTAAATCTCCCTTTTAACAACACAGAAGTAGATACGAGCCTGTGACCATTCATTTGCGCGAACCCCAAGACATTCATGCAAGAACATCATGATCTGAAACCAAAATGTCGCATTTTGTTTTTTTCCCCTGCTTTTGACTTCTGTGCTCAGGCACATCTAAAAACCCATGCTTAACGTTCAATTCATGTCCACGTCAGAGTGTACCGAATAATAAGCACCACCCTCCCACAGCTGATCTTTAACCACGCTGTTTCTTTCCCCACACACTCGCAACGCGAGACGGCGCGGATCGACCGAATGACTCCGTTTGAGCGTGGAACACATCTGGCTAAATCCTTCATCGCACTGCCCATGGCGATAGAAAAACTTCCGTCTTTACTGGATAGCACCATGTGAATATTGTTCCCAAATTATAAAGGGGTATGGGATTATCGGACATTGTGTGTGTGTGAGTGTGTGTGTTCAAGCGGTGAGGTAGGGACATATCCCATTTTGCTGCACTATTTCTCACGGTGTACTCAGCATATCTCCCTGCTGTGGGGGAAACCCTGTGTGTGTTGGTTTTGTTTGTGTGTGTGTGTGTGTGTGTTGAGCGTGCATACTAAGCACATCTCCTTGCGTGGTAGACTTGCATAGCTTCTGCAGGACGGAGCCGTTGGCACAGCCTTGGCCGATGACTGAAGGTAGTACTCAAGTTGCACCGTGGAGTTCAAAGAGACAATCGGCCCTTCTTGCACCATAAGTGCGTACGTGTGTGTGTGTGTGCGTGTGCGTGTGATACTTGCACCATAGGAAGTGGAATTAGCAGCCAATTGACTCCGTAGCTTGTTGCACCATATGAACCGATGCTGCTGCGTGTTTGCACCTAATGAATCTAGCTGGCAGCAAGCTGACCGATTGGCTGTTCTTTTCTTTTTCGAACCGCTATAGCACCACGGAAAGTTACTGTAAGCTCTCTGTCCGTTTACGTTGGTATAACTCAAAGGGGTACGTCAACATTTTTGCGGGTCAGTCTCCTGTTTCAAACCCAATGATGCTGCCAAGATGAATCTTATGGGCGCAAGATGATGATTCGAAGCAAAATAAGGTTTTCTGTTCTCCAGAGCTGAGGGGTTTGAAGGTAGACTTTGTTTTCTTCTAAAGAGGAACTCTAACAATCAACGGTCTTGGAAATCAAGTGATGTCACTCGAGTCACAGTTTGTGTGGATTGAGGCTGACTATAGGATTGAAAATTGCTAGGATCCCTCTAGCATCTTCTTTAAAGTTTCTAACCCCTGGGCCTGGCGGCGCTCAGTCAGACACCTTTCTGTCAATCAACTAAAGTTTTTGTTTCAGCACAAAAATTCATTTTACTAATAGCTGTTTTTTTTTTTTTTACACGCCTCGACAAAAGAAAAATGTGGACGTACCTGCTCTCAAATGCATCATCTTTCTCCTCCACATGCCCGACCCTCTTGGACAGCGGCGATAGCGAGAAGCACGCGTGGATTATTTATTTGTAAAATAAACCCCCCCCCCCTAGAATTCCCCCCTCCACGTAGTGTCGGTACCAACGTCCCCCGATGTCTCGTGCTTCGCCGCCTGCCGATTTAACAGCTTGGATCACAGGGATGAACAAACCAAAGACATAGACGATGAGCTGTACATCACAGCTCAGGCGGGGGCGGCCTGGGGCGTTAGGTGACGAGTCGCTGCGGGGGTCCGGACCGTCGGAGACAAACTGTTGTGTGTCAGATTCGGTTGGCGTGAGGCCCACACAGACTTCATTCGTATACATATATGTGGTAAACATGGATACAAATGATTGAGAGCCAGTGACTAACATTAAAGCCCCGAGCATAACGGGAATTGATGGAGATGAACTTTCACATCACCAGACGGCGTAATTGTTTGCAAACCGTGAAACCGTGAAGTATGTGCTGCCTTCTGTTCCCTCTTGCATTTGGTAATATTTATGATGTAACCACACATTAGTAAGCCAGTCACACTTACTCCACCAACATCGGACTTCATTTGTACGATGATGGTGCCACTCTGATTTTTTTTTTTCAATCTGTTTCAGTTTAAAACCGGGCACCTTCAGTTTAAAACCGAGCGCAGTGGCATTACTATCATAGCTTCAGCTGTCTTGGCAATTGAAACATGATCTCTTCAGCTTGTCCTGTAGATTGGTAATCCAGATAATATCTCAACTATCTTATCCAACATAGCAAGAATCCCCCAGCTTTCAGTTTCAATGCTAAGCTAAGCTAATGGACTACTATTTATGGAAAGATAATTAACAAGAAATGTGTCTATTTCTTGTTCCTGTAGCTCAAATGTAAAGTGAAATTTGGAATTTGTGTGTGTGTGTGTGTCTCTCTCTCCATCTTTCCCATCATGCTCTGCTACCCTCCCTCCCTCTTCAACATACCCCCCCAAAACAGCTCTGCTCCCAGTCGATAACGTCACGGTAAAAAACAACATCCCCTCCGTAGATAGAAAATATATACACTACCTTTTGACTAGACTAACGACGACACGTTCACAAATTCCTTAGTGACGTTCTTACTTTGTGTCACAACTTTTTTTTCTTTCTACAGACACCCGTGAAAGCGCGAGCGGCACAACGCAAACGGCACGCGGTGGTCAAAGACTCCGACGTGACGCCGCGCTCGCCTCTCCTACTTTAATTATTTTTAAATATATCTCACAGTGGAGCACGAACCCGCGGTGACGACTCGCAGAGACCAGATGAAGAGTGGTCAGGGGAGCTGGAAATGGAGCGTCAGGAGGATGAGCCGGGGAGGAGATGGACTCGCGCCGTCACAGCCGTGGCCCGCGAGGAATGTGTGTGTGTGTGTGTGTGTGTGTGTCAAAGTGTGATTGATTGCTTTTGTGTCTATGTGCTTACATCAAGTGCGACGTTGTGCATCCAAACCGCCCTCTAAATCTCAACATCCATGTGTACATCCGTGTTTCTCTTTCGGGGCGTGCGTGTGCTGATGTTTGTGCGACGACGTTGTGCGTGCATGTGCGCGTGTGTCAAAATGAGGACTCGTACTGCAACAGTTCGTACAGCAGGGGTCCGTCCCGGTAGCGAATGCCCACCGCGGCCGGCGTTATGTACTGCAGGATATTTATAGTCCTCCGCAGCCGCCTGTCCACGTAGTGGGCGTCCCACGCCGGGTAGCGCTTCCTGGGCATGTCAATTTTTATGAGCGGGCCCTCTGGCTTGGAGGTGATGGGCGCCGACCTCACCTGGAAGACGGGAAGACACGTCTCGGCCACGTCCTCGTCTGTCTGCGACTTGGACATGTGGGCCGGGGTGGGCGGGGCCGTGGGCGGGGCCGACGGGGGCAGGGGGAGACCCCAGAGCAGCTGGGCGCAACAGGAAGAGGCGGGGCTCGGCTGGAGGTGGGCGCTGGCGGGGTGCAGGAAGCCGTAGTACAGCAGCATGACCAGGACGCCGCCGGCGAACGTCAGGTAGACGCCGCAGAGCGCCGGGACGGCGTACGAGTCGGTCAACGCCGGGTCCCTGTAGGTGTACCTTTAGGACGGCAGCCACACACATGGATTCAGTTCAGCTTGTACTCATCCTGTAACCTCTTTTCCCCCAAAATTTTCATTAAAAGGGGATATTTCTTCAGTTGTATCCGGGGTCAAGACTCAAGGAAACGCAACTTACCACAGGCCGGTCAGGATGGTGTTCTCGGCCAGCACCACGATGTAGTACACCACCATTCTGTGCCGCGTCCGGCCCTCCTTCACGTTAAACCAGCAGAAGATGTAGACGATGCCGACCACCATGTTGAAGAGCACCTCCTCCCACTTGGACATGCAGAAGTCGGTGCCTCCGTGCACCACCCAGAAGGCCATGGCGCACCAGTGCACCACCACGAAGATGCCAAAGTAGATGTGGAAGAGTGAGGCGAAGAGGGCGAGCGAGAGGACGCGGGACGAGATGGTGAAGAGGCGCCAGAAGAGGTGCAGCAGCGCCCCGCGGTAGCTCATGCTGCGCTGGTCGTCGCGGGAGTCCCGCAGCAGCTTGTGGTAGGAGGCCAGGACCCAGGCGAGAGACAGGAGGGAGCCCAGGGAGGAGATGCCTACAGAGGGAGAGCAGAGGTGGCTGATGACGCGGTTGCCTCTAAGCACCTTTTTGTGTGTGTGTGGGTGTGCGTGTGTGTGACTCAATCAGAACAAAGTAGAAGGAGGGTTTTATGGTGCGTGAAACAAAAAAGCACACAAATTGATTATGAGTCAGCCGGGGGGGGAGGTTTGTGAGACAATTTAAGCACACTCTTAAATAAGAAGCGGTGTGTTACGCTACAGAAACATTTGGTAATGACGCCTAATTGTGTGAGCCTGAAACATGTCGTTGTTTTTAATGTCCCAGCTGCTGTGTGCATCCGCCCCCTATACTAATACACATATTCGCATAACAGTCATAAGTGTCCTTAAACTCCAGAGGGATGGGGATAAATAAAACCAGCCGGTTTGCCGCCTTGACGATACATTTTCTGAATGATTAAGGAAGAGGAGGCCGATTGACTTTGTCCTCCTTCACACATAAGATTGCGCTTGCTTTGTATGACTACCTGAACCCAGAAGCACTGAGGCCGTCCAGCACCACATGCAGCCGCAAATGACTTCTAAGTAATGTGTACAAACTGCCAACTACTGTTTGTGCAGCTGTGGATTTTTATGCGCTGTGCGGTCTACACGGAAACCGTCCGTAGTGGAGGGAGGGAGGGAGGGGGGGGATTTTGTGTAAATGTGTGCGTCCACCCACACTGCAGCGTCTCGGCCCGGTTCTCCTGAATCATGATGCAGAGCTGCAGGACCAGTTGAGGCGCGGACTCCAGGAACGTCTCCAGCAGCCGCAGCATGTTGACGTCCGCGTACTCGAACATCATGGCCCAGTACCAGCGCCGCTGGTGCTCCTTCTGCCGACGCGACATGATGCCCAGGTACAGAGTCCTGATGTACCTGCGGGGGATCAGATGTCAGAGCGCTAATTACCAACACCCACCTTGTTTTGATCCTCAAATCATTTTCTCTTTTTCTCTTTATGGTTTTGTTTTTCTTGTTTGCAACTTTAGCTTTAGGAGGCTCTGTTCCACTTCTGCTATCATTAATCCTCAAAGAAAATCTGGTCATCTGACTCAATTAATTGATCGGCTACCATCAGCCGAAAGCCATGTATTTGATAATCAGTAGTTTCCAACATGTGCTTCTCTTTATCATGAATGACGGTACCCTGAGTATATTCTGGTCTTGGATGTTGCTACAAAAGTTGTACTCTTTAATCTTTCCCGGTTTCATTACGTTCAGCATCTTTATCAACAAACCTCTTTGACAAAACTCTGATCAATACAAACCGAGTGGATTTTCTAAACGTGGAAAACTATAGCACACGTGGGTGGGATGTAGGCAGCGGTGTCCATTAAATCGCCAAGGGCACTCACACACTGTGTGTGTGTGGATGGATGTGGATGCATGTACTTATGTATCTATATGTATGTGCGCAAATCCTCCTGGTTCCCAGTGAGCGCATGACTAATAAAGTGTGAGCGGGTGTCCTCCTACATTAGGCAGGACTGTGTGTGTGTGCGTGTGTGTGTGTGTGTGTGTGCGTGCACGCGGCTACATGTTTGAAACATAAAGGCTTTATTCATAAAACATAAATAATGCGGCGTCCTCGGTAAAAAAGGGGCCACATGTCACGCACGCCAGCCGTTATCAGTTTGGCTTATAGATGCTTGTGGGCGATCGGTGACGGGGGGGCTTCTGGTCGTGTGGCACGTGGAGGAGGGTGTGTCCACCACCTGAGAACTCCAATGCAATGGCAGCACAGAGGGATCTCTTGGCAGAGGGTAATACAACTAGGTTAAAGGGAGAAGTGGGTCAAGGGCAAAGCCCAATGCCGCCCCTAATGGCCTTGATTTGAGATCTTCACAGCGGTTACTGACCTACACTTACTCCGCTAATGTTTACGGTCTTTGTCTGGACCCATTTTGCTGAGATCCAGGAGCTTCGATGATCTCAGATGTTCATGTGGGAACTGTAGGAGTCAATATTAAAGCCTCAACACGACCATTTGGCGAGTGGGTTGTTGAGCATATTTGCAGATGTGGGTGTGGTTCACGTCAGCTCTTCTTCTTTCTCAAAGCCCTTTTGAGTTGGGTTTGATTTTAAATATGTGCAGCAGAAGTAAACATGAAGGTATTCACTCTGACTTCCTGCATCTTGATCCTGGCTGAGTGGCCATCGCTTGTATTCCAACCCATTCCTCATTATCCCATTCTTCAGATATGTTAATGCTTCTAACCAAACCATTTAGAGACAATTGAATGGATAATGTACACCGAGATTCTGTTTGTCCTTGACTCAAGAACAAAGAAGGACAAATAGCAGGAAGTCCTGGTTTCCACGTCCAGGCTTTAATGTTCGGACGCTTAATGCCTAACACAAAGTGAAGTGGTTTTAAACCTATCAAATACAGTAGACCCACTCTCACTCCTCTTTTTCTCTTTTCTACTCCCCTCCCCCAGTTCACTCGTGGTGTATGTGCAACCTTTTCTCCCCCCTCCCTCCCCCCAAAGCTTCTCCACCTCTAAGCGATCCGTCTCAATCAGGCCGTACCATTTCCTCAGCCACAAACGTCCCCACTCCCTCCTCCTCCTTCCTTCTTCTCCTTTTCCAGGGGAGAGTCCATTCCGCTGGTTAAAGGGGGGGCGACTACTGGGCGAGGTGCACGGAGGTAGAGGAGAATTGGGTGTGTCTGTGCGTGCGAGTATGCAAGGGACAATATTAACCCTACGACCAGAGAGGCAGAGGAACCGAGTAGCACAGTAGGATGTCAAGACACGCACACACACACACACACACACATCACTCTCCCTGCTGTCTGCCCAGAGGCAAGCGGACAACATTAAGGAGTCTTTGGAGAGAGGGGAGGGGAAGGGAAGGAGAGTGAACGCTGTCCTAAGCTAGGAAGGAGACAAACTAGTTCACTGCTGCAGCTTCTGTCGAAACCACACAAACAAGAATGATAAGTAAGAAGTGTGTATATGCGTATAACAATGAGTACATGTGTGTTTCTGGGTTTTCCTGCCAGTGCTTTTAGCACCACATTAGCACCTACCCCTGTCCAACTGTGCGTGTGTTTGCGAGAGAGGGAGATGTGCTGCCAGAAGGGCAGATGCTCTCCCTCTTTGTACTCTCCATGCACGCTGACACTCAATGGATGACACCGTTTTCCACTCGTCTCACACACACACACACACACACACACACACACACACACACAGCCCAAAGTTCTCTGTTCTTCAAATAAAGCAAAGGACCCCATCCCCTTCTGCTGTCCATGGTGCTGAACATGACAGTGCTGATTGAGGGCACAGTGTGTCACTGACGCACATTCATGGTCCCCAACTACAGATAGTACAGCATGAGTTGCAGAATTCACTTTTCATACGCTGACCCAAAAAAGAACATAAAGTCCCACGCTTGACTCTGTGGGATCAGAGTGTCTCTGAATTCCTTTTCACTGCCTCTCTGACTGTCTCCCTTAATCAGCTAACTGTCCATCATTCCCACATAGAAAGGGAAGCACTGGAAGAGGGGGGCTTAGAGAGGGTCCCTGTCAGTGTGAAGCAAGCTTTGTCCTCTTCGAGACGTTGTGTGTGTGTGTTTGTCTGCTTGGGAGAGAGAGGGGAAAAGGGGGAGCGTGTGTGTTGAGATCAGGTGGGTGTCGTTGTGCCCCTGACACCCTCTTACCTCCACACTTGTCCCAGCTGGAGGATGTGTATGGTCGCCTGCCACAGCCAGATGGTGGCCAGCTGCAGGCGGTCCCTCCCGGGATACAAGCACCCCAGGGCCACCGCGCCCCGCTTGGTCAGTCCCTCCACCTCCCCGAGCCCCCCGCCGGTATAGTCCTGCACGAACCAGCGGAAGCTCAGAATCTGCACCAGCACGGAGGGCACCAGCACGAAGAAGAGCGTGAGGCCGAACCAGAGGTAGTCCTGCCTCCGGTAGTACTCGTTCGCCAGGCACAGGTCCGTGCCGACGTCCCAGAAGAAGACGATGAGGGCGAGGATGATCCAGAGGCAGTCCAGCCACAGCTGCTCCCGGGGCGGGCAGTGGGTCTCCCGGATGCCAACCCCTCCGAGGGGCTGGCCCCCCGCCGAGCAGGGAGCCGAGGCAGGCTGAGCGGCAGCCCCAGTAGCAGGCAGAGGTGCGGCAGCACTGACAGATGTGGATCGCGGCGGAGTCCAGCGGCTCCTCGCCGTCCACGTCGTACAGCTGTGCGAACCCGCCGCCGCCGTACCCGACCCCCCCGGGCGCCTTGCCGCCGTCCGACTGCGCGGCCATGTTCCCCTTACCGCTCCTGCCCTCCTGCGAAACGCACGACAACCGCACCGTGGTGCTTTCTCGCGGCGGGGCGCGGACACCACGTCACTTCCCAGATACCCGCTGTCCCCTTCGCTCCCGCGCAGCGGCGACTGCTGTGGCTCTTTCCCGCCCCGGGCGCACGGAGCCATCAGGGCCGGCGGCCGCGGTACGGCGTCTCCCCTGGTCTCCCGTCCGGTTGGGACACGGCCACCACCGGGCGCTCGCCCGCAGCACAGGAATCCGCACCCGTTCTAGTCCTGCAGCCCTGCATCGTCCCGTCCCGCGCGCTCGGTCATCTATGGCGATGGGGGGCTATGACGTAATGCATCTCTTGGGAACCCGTGGAGTGGACTGCGTAGATGTGCGCGCGTGTGTCACCGGCCACGGGTCCGTGCTGATCTAGAACACAATGTGGTTGTCTCAACCGCAGGACTCCCGGCTCCCGCCTCTCCTCCCGCCCGCACTCCTGCTGCAGGTAGCCGGCCTCCGCTCCTTTCCGCAGCTCCCAGCCCTCTGCAGCTCCGGCTTCCCCACTCCTCACTCCGCCCCCTGCCGGACGCGTCACCTCAACCCCCCAATTCACATCTGGACGCGGGCGCGCGCACGCGCTTCAGCACATAATGGTTGGATTTGGAACAGTGTGGGTTGCTGATCTAATTTAATGGAATCCACTAGTTTCCACTATAGAAGGAGGGAAAATGTGATTCCCAGCGTCTGACATTCACCTCGTCATCAAACATCATCCTTTCTACTCTCCCTGCCCTTCCTACCTCTCCCTTGCACTGTCCCTCCCTTCAGTGGCTGACAATCAAGCATAACGTGTGTGTGTGTGTGTGTGTGTGTGTGTGTGTGTGTGTGTGTGAGAGAGAGAGAGATCCCTGCAGGGACATAGAGAGGACTTAAAGAGAATAAGAAGTGAGGGAGTTAGAAAGCCTCGGGGCAGCGGGTATAAGAAGAGGGATGGATTTAGGTGTTAGAGGAGGGATGAAAGGAGTATGAGAGAGAGAGTAAAAGAGAAAAGACGATTCGCGCAGCAGCTACTCCAAAGGGATGAAAAGATTGACAGGAAGAATGCACAACAAAGAGAGAGAAAGCTGGAAGATTTGGGAGGGTGTGTGTGGGGGGGGGCAGAAGAGAGGGTAAAAGGGGGATTAAGTAAAAAAAGGACATGTCGAATAAAAGAATGGATGATTTAGGGAAGGAAATGAGAATGAGACAGGAATTGAGAGAAATTGAAATCACGCTCTCTCTCTGTCCGCTGGAGATGTACCTCTGGTTGGCATGACGACCACGGATGTGCGGCTGGAGGGAGTCGATATGGTTGCGTATGCGTGTTTGCTGACACTTTAAGGATGCAGCTGCGTTTTTTTTAAACAGTAGTGGAGATAAAACATGTGAAATTACACACATAGCGTACAATTGCAACCAGACAAGAAAAGAACCCACCTCCCATGAAGGTGGCAATTACTATATTAATCGGCTGAAGCGCCTTGAAATCAAACGCGTCCTGGCGACTTGGTTTCAATTGTGCCCAACACAAATGATCAGGCAGCAGCTCCAAGCAATCGTCTCGCTCGATGAGTGGAATCTGGAACGGCACATTAGGAGCGTCACGTGACAAAGCAAGACGTAAGAAAATAATCTGCTTTCATGCTAAATAGTTTATTTGAATTGTTACCAGGGATGTTTGGAGTTCATTTCCATGCACACATATGCAGACAGCGTTAAGCCATCAGCAGAAGGTGACCCCCCCTCACCCAAACCAAAGGCCCCTTTTGCGGTTTCGGCCCCACGGTCAAAGTCCACTTTTGGCGGGACGAGAGGATCGCAGGAACCGGTCCACTTGTTTATGAAGCGCTCTGATGAACACAGCTTGAAAACATGTTGTTGTCCAAAGCCTTGGAGGTGGTTGCTGTGAAGCACACGAAGAAAAAAAACAGAAACAGAGGGCTCTGACTAAGTCATCACACCCCGGTGTCGGTCTGACTCAGAGAGGTTAGCGCCAAGCTGTCCGACATCGTCAATAAGCCAGAAAACGATGGACGAATCTCGGGCTTTTGCTGCACTGTACTGTGTGTAAAATTCACTTTGTGTGGAAAAACTAAAAAACGAAATAAAAAGCAAAAGATGCATTTGTGTATAAGTGGGAGGAGGAATAACGTTGGTTGTTTCTTCGCCTTCGGGGGGGGGGGCGAGGCGCGCCGGAGCAAACAGTCTGCCTCTGAAAGCCATGGAAACGTATTACACTCCACAGCCTGCTGCGGCGTGAATGTTTACGGTTGTTTTGTGCAGTTCGGCTGGAAAGCATGTTTACTGCCCGGCCCGTCTGTTCCTCGCTGTTGGAGTTTAAACTGCATTTTTTAACTTTTTTTTTTGCTCTGTTTCAGTTTGAATGATTTTGTGTCTCTCGTTCGCCTTTTGTGTTTACACGGAGAGAGCCGTGCTTCCTTTTCCCCTCCTCAGTCTCAAAGGTCCTTAAGTGAACTTTGTCACCTTTCCTGTCAAATCCCCACGACGGACCAAACGAGGCCACGCTACACAGGAGCATTTCTTGTGATTACCTCCTTTAAAACGCGCTCACCATGGAGCAACCGGCGAGGATGCATGAGTGGGAGGTAATATTTCAGGGTGGTGCATCACTAATATTTTACCCCCTTTTCCGCTGTGTCAGTGTCCTTGATTGTGGAACTTGTTAGCTTTAGCTTAGCATAATACAGGAGCTACTTGTGTCATTGGTTTGCAGTCTTTATGCTGCAAGCTAAACAGATTGTTGGGTACTATAAATGTAAAATTAATTGTATATAAAGTTTTTATTTTTGTAAAGCTATATTATCAGTATCTCATGCGTCTGTCACAAACCACAAGCCTTATCCGTATCCTTCAAATCAACTACTAACAAATATTCTTGTTGTTAAAACACGTTTATCCATTCCTTTGACTGGCTGGTATGAAAAGTGCTTGAATGCAGCAAATGCGTTGAATTATTCAAGAGAAATTGATTATTTGGGATTTCTCAGTCCCCAGATTACGAGCCGTCACTTCCCGTTTCAGAGAAGTCCAACCCCCTGACACGGGACATGGACCGGGCTTCGGCCAAGTGCATTGTGAGGATGCTGCAGGCCTGCGACGCCCAGATGTTTCAGGACGGGACGGGAACCACCTACCAGGTACAGATGTTCTAGCGACCAAGCTTTTTTTAATTCTGTTTAATTCATATTTTAATATGTTCTTTTCACAAAGTGACTATTTGAACGTCATTCTTTAGAGGCTTTTGAGTGAACCCGTGCTGGAAACATTGACGGAGGTTGCTAAGAAAGTGGAGCACATCCTCAAGGTATCTTCTCCTGCCTGTCTTAGATTCTGTTGCTCGGTCAGGTGTGTTCTTAAAGCTGGGCTTCCTTTAACAGCATCCGCGGGACAGTCTCATTGTGCTGAGTGGTTGTGGGACGTCTGGTCGACTGGCGTTCCTCATGGCGGTGAGAGCCGTCCTGACGTGTGATTCAAGCCCAATGCAAACATTTTGTTCAAGAACTGAAACTGATGTCATACAGTAATGTACGGTTAACTACCTCACTTGTTTTATTTAAGAAGGAACATCTTGTGTTGCTTTTTCTGTGTGTGTGTGTGTGGTGTTAGTCCGCTTTTAACAGAGCGCTGAGGGAGCTCGACCACGGTTTGGTTTATTCCTACATTATTGCAGGAGGAGACAGGTATGTTGGGGTTTTGTTACAGGACGCACTAGTGGAAAGCTATTTAGCCTGCTGTGGCAATTGTTAATGTATGAAATTCAGCCCTGGATTGAAATTGCAGGGTAATTGACATTATTCAGTTGTCTGTGAGAGGGAGAAAGTGTTATTTCTTCTTTTAAAAGTTATAGTATTACTATAGAGTATATAGTATTGTCGTAACCTTCTTTCTCTTGTTTTCCTCAGAGCGCTGCTATCCTCCCAAGAGGCTCCTGAAGATGACGCTGAACTGGGCGTGCTCAGTTTGCAGAGGGTCAGTGACACAATTGAGAGGGAGAGAGTGTGTGTGTATGCGTGAAGACAGGATTGAAAATATGGGGCCTTTTTCACACGTCTTTCACACATCTGTGTTTTTTTCCAGGCATGTGAGGGACAGAAGAGTGTCTTGTTCATCGGTATTTCCTGCGGGTTATCTGTAAGTCACTCCAATCGATCGCAATCTGGGCATTGGAGTCTATTTATGAGCCGGGACCAGATAGATTGCGCTGGTGGCCTTTAGGCCCCATTTGTTGCAGGTCAGCTGGACTTCTGCCTGCAGCACCCTGAAGTCTACACCCCTGTACTGGTTGGCTTCAATCCTACACATCAGGCCAGGTGTGTGCATTAATATTACATAATGAAGTATCCATTTTGTATTCAAATATAGTTTATTTTTGATGAAATGAAACACGCTTCAGGGACGAGCGCATTCCAGGCTGCTCGTTCACCTTTCGCAGCGTGGTCCAAAGGATGCAGGAGCTCGCCAAGCGGGGGGGGGCCTTCGTCGTCAACCCAGCGGTCGGGGTGAGAGCCTCCGCCCGCACTCGCGTGTGTCCCCGGAGAGAGCTGCGTGTGCGTTCGCGATCTGACTGCGTGTGTGTGTGTGTGTGCTCAGCCAGAAGCCATCAGCGGCTCGTCCAGGATGAAGGGGGGCAGCGCCACTAAGATTCTCCTGGAGGCCGTGCTGTCTGCTGCCCACGCCGCCGCCTTCGCGGACACACCCATCACTCCCATGTGAGCACCGGGGGAAATTTAGTCTTCAAGGATACAGACATTCATGAGCAATAATGTTCATACAGGAGAAGGCTTGCATGGCCCCGTGTGCATTGCTTCATTAGACAACAGCCTAAAAGAGTGTTTTCTTCATTAAAATTCATGCTGAACCAAAACTAATGGGTTTCACATTCATATATAATACAACAGCCTTTTCTTCGTTTCTTCCCATTGAGTGATATTGAACCCTAGAGGTTGTTCTAGTAAAAGAAAACCCAATGTTTAAATGGATTTTACCCAAGAATGTAGCAGAAGGATCTGAAGTGAGCCCTTTGTGTTCCAACAGGGGCATCCGAGAGGACATGAGTGTACACGAGAAAACTCTGGAGATCACTTATGCTCAAGCAAAGGGGATCGGCGCTCTGCTGGAGGCAGCCGGTCAAAGGTCGGAACATCCTGTTCTTTTTTTTCAGCTGTCACTGTAACCTTGGTTCTTCTATTCAACTCGTGCTCACTGCGTCACCCTGGTTCTTTGGCTGCTAGTTTCCAAGCGTCATTCTACACCGTAAAGAAAAAGCATTTCAAACAATTTCACAAATGCACGGTGGGAAATTAGTCTCTCGAAACGATCACGCCATGTTGCGCGGCGGTTTTTCAGGAGATAACTCGTGCGCGCCCACACAGATGCAACACGCGCCTTTCCTCATCAGACGTACGAGGCGATAAAACCCGTCTAACTCTTTGTCAAAAGACCTGACCGGTCTGGAACCTAACCGCTGGCCGCTCGGCGTGTTTCAGCTTGCGGCGGGGCGGGCGTCTGTGTTACCTGGGCTGGGGGTCCTTGGGGACGCTGGGCCTGGTGGACGCCAGCGAGTGTGTGCCCACGTTCGGAGCAGGTGAGGGGAGGTGGGACGTTTTCTGGGTGAACATCTGTGATGTGTTTTACCAGGTTTACCTTTACATCTGCATAATATGTATCCTGTGTGTGTGTGTGTGTGTGAGAGGCTGCGAAGATGTTCGGGGCTTCATCAGTGGAGGATACAGAGCGCTGAACAACAATGAAGGTCCACTGGTACGTGAAGAGAAACAACGGGATAACTTGTGTTCAAGCAGATAAGGGAAAGAGTTTATGGACATGCAGGGACAATAGAACGACACCGATGGACCTGGGCGGTCTTTGTACCGGCGATTTAACATTTCTCTCACCTCCAAACACGGAGCTCTCTGTTTCCGCTTGCCTGTGGGTGTTAAGAAAATCCTTACATGGCCTTACAAAGTATTAATATGACTAGAATCCAGAATAATCCATTTAAGAGGAAATCCAGCTCTCATGTTGCAGCGTGGGATGACACATCTGTCTACCTTCGCTGGATCGGACTTTTTAGATTAACCCGGAGCAGGATTAGCATTTACCTGCTTTATGAAACCCAGGAGGACTTTCAGTGAATCTGATCCAGTCTTTATTACACTGCTGCATGGTCTTCATACTTTAAGGAGCCTTGAGAACATATCGTTGGTTTTTCTATCCTCCAGGGTCCCGACTTCAGTATAGCCCACCAGGATTTCTTGCATCAGGTCCTGCCCTCTCTCACTGACCGAGACGTAGTCCTGCTTCTCTACACACACGCAGACCGTGTCGGGGAAGTGGCCGAGCTGGCACGCGCGGCGAGGGAAAAGACGTCCAACGTCCACGCCGTTTACCACCGGGTTGACGGAGACACGGCAGCCGCTGTCCAACAAGTAACCGTCTGTCCGTCCGTTTTTCCGTCCGTCCATCCATCCATCTAATGTCTGCTTTTTCTCTTTTTACTTTCTTCGCAGGATGAAATCAACAGGCTGTGTTTATCTTCACTGAAATTCACTTGGCCGTCGCCTGCTTCAGGCATCTCACCACACAGGGTGCGGTGGCAAAGACACACTCTTACACACACAAACACATCGACAAGCACAATAAATAACAGTTCTTTAGTCAGTTTTTTCTGTCTCCCACTCTCCTTTAGCACAGCTGTAAAACTAAACTAGTGTATATCAATTTTCAGATTTTCTTATTTCTCGTATTCTATAAAAAAAAATTCATACGATTTTATTTTAGATGGCAGTTGTGTATTTTATCCATGTTGCATTGTTTCTTTTGAGCCTTTGTGAAATCCGTCCCGCCATTCTCAGCAGTGGGAGCTGTCCACGAAGCTGGTGCTGAACGCAGTGAGCACCGGCGCTCACGTCTTGAAGGGGAAGATCTACCAGAACTACATGGTGGACGTGCAGGTCACCAACAGCAAACTCTACCGCAGAGCCACGCGTTTACTCCAGGTAAGTAAGAAATGCACCTTTGTGATGTGAAATAAACTGGAAAAAACACAGACACACGTCTCCTTCTGCTTCCAGAAGCTCTCCGGTTGTCCGGAGTCCCGGTGTGAGGAGGCCCTCCTAAAGGCCGTCTACCGGGTGGATGAGCTGACGGCGGACATCACGTCCTCCGACATCATCGAGCACGCCCAAGCCGCCAGGAGCGCCACCAAGGTGAGGAGGCAGCGCGGCGCCTAAAGAGGAACGCATTGGTCGAGGCTCGTCTCTGTTTCATCTTCTCCTCATTTAGGCGGTCCCTCTGGCTTTGGTCTGTTTGCTGAGCGATTGCTCTCTCCTGGAGGCGGGGACTCGTCTGGAGCGAGAGCCAATCGTGAGGGAGGCGTTGGAGGCGTGCCTGTCATAATGGACATGGCCTAATGGCATCAGTACAAATGTCCATGTAATCAACCTTCCTCTACAGTGAGGTCATACGTCAGCAGATGAAGCTGTTGGCACACGTAGAGGCCTTAAATGCAACACCATGATGTAACACTAGAGGGCACACTTGACAACTCAACTCAAGTGACCATTATGTAGGTATGCAATGTTAGTTTAGAGTGTGCAGTACATGAAATGTGTATGGATTAATTTGATGCACTTTTTAAATGATAATATGTAATTGGAACTCTATTTAAATGTCTATTGCTGATATGCAGAACACAGCACACAGGGAGAACCTGTGTGCTGTGTTCTGCAGGTACAGGCTCTACCGGATCGGTCCCTGTGATGTAAATCACCCTCAATCCCTCTGTGGCTCAGCACACACGCACACACTCACAGGTACGGGATTAGCATGACGCCTGTGTATCTTGAGAGCAGTTGAGCAGCTTTGCAAACCTTTGGAGCAGAGCCACTCGCAGCGGGGGGAGCAAAGGGAGGTGAATTGCACATCAGATGTGGATCAGGGAGCACATCGTTGCCACTCCTGGCTAGGAACACGAGAATCCTCTTTCTGTGCATGTGTTTATTCACATTGACATTATTACATCCATTCGCTCGAGGTACATGATGTTCACTTGGTGACGTCACAGACTGATTGACAGGCCGAACGGACTGATAGCAGCATACAGGCACACACCCTCTCGGTACCACATACAGGAGGATTTTGTCAAGGTTTAAGGAGTGAGCCTGGGATTCAGCTCCCTCAGCGGGTTAAACAGGAGAAATTATTATTTTTTCAGTATTTTTTGCGGATTTGATCCACAACTCGGTTATAGAGAGAGAGAGAGTCAGGTAACAAAAGACTCCCCCTCCGTCGATCTACAGTCACGTAACCATGGCTACAGTAAGGCCTCGGCCTCACGTTGTCAAACCACACTGTTGGTCACGCACACCTTTTTTACTATAGCAACAGAGTTTACAAAATTTTGCAACAGCAAACTGAATAAAATAAGACATTATTTTATAGATGGTTTAAGTAGAGTTGATGAATTGTATATCCATCGATAAAGCTACTAAAATTCAGCGCAAAATCTATTTTTCCCTGAACAGTTTGGAGTGGAAAGTGAACCAAAAGTAACTTCGTGGACAGATCAAGTTCCAATTTTTGTGCTAAGCTAACGGCTTCCTCGCTTTAACCTCATACTTGTTGAACCTCTCTGCCCCGCTCTCAACCGAAAAATGTCAAACTACTTTAAGGTGATCAGGTTACTTCACAAAGCTTTAGTTTAAGCAGCGGGCTTCATTAGGGACAACAGATTTAAAGTGCTGGTTAGATAACAGCTAGGAGGGGACCTTCCTAATCTCAGAGAATTAGACCAAGAATATACACAAATAATTGAACTGATAGTATCAATACGCTGAAACAGGCCATTACCATCTAACATATCCCTGAGGTAAATTGCTATATGATTCAATAAACCTGTGGTCCACTGAGTTCACATAATACACACACAGGTGTCAAAATATCCTTTTTTTGGGGTTTCAAAAGTATACCATATTCATACACTTACAATACAGAAATATAGATATCCCTGTGTAGTTAACTTAAAAAATATACAAATATAATGGGATATAACGCTACCCCTCCAATCTGGATAAAGTGCTTCTAGTGTTCGAGTCCGTGGTCTTTCTACCCGTGTGGTCGCTGACAGAGCGGGATGAACGGGGAGGGCGCAGGGTTTAAAAGTCCTCCTGTTCGCCGTCGGCCTCTTTGGGTTTGCGGCGTTGGACCCTGCCCGGTGAGCGGCTCCTCCTCTGACCCGACCCCCCGCCGGTGGCTTTGGGCACCGCCATGGAGTCCACGGCGGGACGGCGCGCCTCTGCGTCGACGTCCTCCAGGGAGCCGGGCTGGGACTCCACAGAGGTCCTGGTGTACTGATGGAGGAGAGCGCTGCCGTCCCCCTTAATGGTCGACTCTCGGCCTTCTCCTTCTTCGACGCTGGCGTTGCTCGGGCGTTTCCCGTCGGAGTCCTCGCCGTCGGCCTCCTCTCCCTCGGTCGCAGACGGGGCCCGGCCCTGAGGGTCCGACAGGAAAGGATCTGTGAGCTGCTGATTATTATGGCTACATGTGGGTTACACAAAGGGTTGTCATTCTTTTATGTCTTATTTGAGTTATTTGTCTTACTATGGAGTTGTTTAGAGTCTTAGAAGTAATTTATTGTTTTGTGTCTCTTTTTGGTTGTTTTGTGCCTCATTGTGTCATTGTGTGGTGTCCTTTTGATTTTTTTTGTGTATCTCTTGAAGGATGTTTTTACTTTTAGTCCTTTTCCATTTATCTTTGTGTTTGGGTATCTTCAAGTGACATTTTGAAAGTTAAAGCCATGGAAATCTGTGCCTGAGCCCGGTGAGCCCGTTCAGTGTTCCATCCATTGACAAAAGTGAAAATTGAGGCTGCAGCAACCGAGTTAATGTCAGTTTGAAACAACAACAGACGTCCATAAGTAGAAGCGCTGTGTTTCTTTCCGACAAAACGGATTTGTTCGGTCCCACTAATTGGATAGCGAGATGATCCTTTACCACAGGCTTAGAAGTGGCAGCAGTGGGTCAGATTCCTCTCTGAGGTGCTGCAGACTTTAACCCGGCGGTCATGTTTGGCACTCGGTGGTGTTTAGGCGCTGCTCAATTAGAATTAAAAACTAGAACGTCAGTTCGTTCTCCTGCTGCATCAGTCGCTTATATCATCAAACAGACTCAAAAAAGGGAACACAAAATAGTTGCTAAATATTTAACCACATAAAAAAAGATTATTATTAGAATATAATGTGTTATTTTGAAGTTATAATTGACAATTTTTATGTTGTTTCTAAACTGTGTTTAGTATATCATGTCAAAGTTTAGTCAGGCTGTAACTTAATTCATCCTACCTGTAATGAGGTTCTTTCCTCCTCAGATGCTTCTCCTCCGTGTTCTTCACTCTCTCCCCTCGTTTTGTCTCCATCGGACTCCCCCTCTCCGACCCCATCATCGCCCTCCTCTTCATCTCCTGCCGAGGAGCTGACGTTTCCCTCCCCAAACTCCTCCACCAGTGTGGACTCTTCTCTCTTTGCAGCATTGTCTTCCTCCGTTTCGCCAGACGCCTCCTCCCCTAAGCTGTCCCTGCCTGACGTCTCCTCTGTGTCCTCCTTAAAATCAGACACCTCACACTCGTCCCTCTCAGCCTCCTCCTCCCCGACGTCTTCCCCGGCTGCTGCCTCTTTTACCGTGTCCATGTCACTCTCCTCTTCCCCTGTTCCGGTCTCCCCCTCCTCCGGCTCCTCCCCCTCATCCTCCCCCTCATCACCTGTCTCAGCCTCACCTGTGTTGCCGCTAGTCTCCTCGGCATCTTCTCCTTCGGCTGTTTCCTCCTCTTCCTCTTTATTTCTCGCAGACTGGCACTTGCATTCCGCCTCCTCTTCCTCACCATTTTCTGATGTCTCCTCCTCTCCTGCCTCCTCACCACCTTCTTCTTCCTGCTCCTCACCTGCACTACTTTCCTCCCTTTCAGCTTCTACCTCCTCGACAGCCTTGTCCTCTTCTTCCCCCATTTCCTCCTCTTCCTCCGGGATCGTCTCCTCTAAAACAACACAAGCTTTGATATCCTCTTTAGTTACATCCTCCTCGTCCTCCTCCTCTACCTCCTGCAGTACCTCTAAGCTCCTCCCCTCCTCTACTGACACCTTGCCGTCACCTCCCCCCTCAGTGGGTTGCACAGACACAGCTGCGGGCGCAGGGGTTTTCTTCAGCTGCAGTATCTTACGGAGGTCAAACTCCATCATCACTGGTGCTTCGGCCGCCAGCGGGTTCTCCCTGACCGGCCGGGCGGCCATTTTCTTGAGGACACAAGCGTCGCAGGGGCAGTACTCGTCCTCGCTCCGCTGGTCGCTGCAGTCGCCCGTCGTCTCGCCGTCGCTCAGAGACTCGGCGGTTTTTCGTGACTGGTTCTTTATGACCTGAAAAAGACCATCAAATGTTATTTTCTCGTCTTCTTTCGGCTGCGGGATTTTCACAGATGTGAAGGGGATTCCGTGTAGTTACCTTCAATATCCGACGCCTGTTCTCCGTCATGGTAGACTCCTTGGAGAGGTTCCCTCTCTGTGGCGGCCGGGGCAACCTCCCCCCCCTGCCGGCGCGACTCTGAATCTTCCTCACCTCGGACTCGACGCTGCTCTGGATGCGTCGGCTCACCTCGTCCTTCAGCTCGCCGATCATTGCGTCCAGGACCAGGTTGTCGTCCAGGTCCCAGCGGACTTTGAACTCCGCCATGGCGTTGACGTAGTGGTCCATGAACTGCTTCTCCAGCTTCTTCAGGAGTTTCAGGACCCACTCCGGGTCGGGGTCGTGGGATTTTCTCTTTGACATGGGCGCCCGCAGGATGGTGGAGGGCGCGGTCGAGCTGGTGTCGTCCGGCGTCTCCCGCTCGTTGTCAGTGGGGGATTTGCAGCAACCGTTGGCGGAGCTCTTATCCGACGACGATGGACTCTCGGCGGCTTTGGCGCCGTCCAGACCCGGAGGGAGTGAGCTTTGTTCTTCCGCCGGCCCCTCTGTCACGTCTGGTGTCCCCCCTTCGACAACCTTCTCCGCCCCGTTTGTTTTGCTTTGTGGGTTTCCATTCTCCTTCTCCTTCCCCGACCCGCCAGAGCCAAGGCTCATGCCCAACCCGGACGAAGACCTGGGCGGAGACACCTGCTCTGTGCCGGGGACTTTGGCCGCCTCCGTCTCGGTGTTCCTGGGTTCGGTTAGCCACAGGGACTGAAGGATGACCATGAAATCCTCGTATTTCTGGTCCTTCTTTGGGTCAAAGCCAGGGCTCAATGACGGGTCAATGACTTGGAGCTGAGCCAAACAGTCCAAGAGACATCTGGCTGACGAGCTCAGTTTACGCCCATAAACCGGAGACACCTACGAAAATGAATATTATTTACGTTTTATTATTTAATCATTTTGGCAATTTATCTTTGCTGTCAAAGGGCAAAATGTATTTCCATAAAACAATCAGTTGATTAAGATAGCTGTAGCAACAATCTGCAAACCTTTTTTTGTGATTACAACCCGTTGACACTCATTCATTGGCTTACCTCCGGCATGCTCTGACATCGACTCAGAGAGGACCTCAGGAGAATTTTCATCACTGCGGCCGAGGAACGCGAGCTCCTTGGCAGAGCGTCGTCGTTCAGCAGCAGGGTTTTGGGGCGTGATGACACTGAATCATGCGGAGCCACACCTGAGCTTTGCTTCTCCTCGGCGCCACCGCATCCAACTTCTTCCTCTTTCTCCTCCCCCTCTTCGGCCTCCTCTTTCCCCTGCTCCTCAACCTCAACGGGAGCCTCCTTCATCTCCTCTCCTTCCCCCTCTTTAGGGTTCTCTTCTGCATCCTCTTCGTTCGGCTCGTCGCCAAGCGACAGCATGCTGCTGTTGGCCGGAATGCTGCGCAGCCATTCGCTGACCACCTCGTTCGGGGAGGCGTTGGGCAGGCAGGCGGGCGACAGCTCCCGATCCTCCTGATCCGCCTCGTTTCTGCTCCTCGCCCCCTTTCTAACCACAGACTTCCCGCTGGTTTTACTGGCCTTCGACTGCTGGCTGTGCGGCCGTACGGCGGCCATGGTTTCCTTCAGCATGTCGGCGGCGGACAGCGAGTGAGACAGGGTGCTCTCGGTGTGTGTCTCCACTTTGCTGCCGCCGATTCTGTTGCTGTGGACAGGGCTCAAGGATTTGATTTCTTTCTTTTGAGAACTGGATGTTCTGACACTGGCACTGGATTTGGCCTTGTGACCTTTTCCTGAATCATCTCCTTTGCTCCTCACCGATGCATTTTTAGCACTGGCACTTGATGGAGATTTGCTCCGAACTTTAGCGCGCGCCAATGACCTCCTGTCGTCAATCGCACCTGCATTGCTGGACGATGAACCAGACTTCACACTTGCGGTTTCTAGATAATTTCCTGCTTCGGTTGGTGCTTTGACTCCACAGTTACATGAAGACTTGTTAGACCTGCTGCTTTTGGCTGAAAACGCACTTGCTCCTCTTTCTGTTATTTGCTCGCCATCCTCTTTGCCTTTGTGCTGACTCCCTCCTGGTGTTTCAATCGTCGGGATATCGACTGCTCGGTGATTGTGGGGGGTTTCCTCCCTTTCCTCCTTCAAAGAAGATTGCTCAGTGCTTTTGGGGACGAGAGGAGTAGCTGTCATCACTTTGCTCTTCCTCTCAACGTTTGTGTGAAAAGAAACACTGGACTTCCCACTGTCTGAGTCAGCAGTGTCTTGGTCTTCTGGCAACCCGAGAGAGACTGACCCTGAAGAGTTTCGACTCAGTGTCTGCTCGGTGCCTCCCGATTCTCTCCTCGATCTCCTGGTCGAGGACGACAGGATGCTGGGAGCCCGATCTGAAGCCTCCTCGTTGTCCAGTTCCTCGTTAGATTTCTTTTTCTCCCTCTGCCTTTCATCTTTTGCTGAAGCTGCTCCACAGTTGCATTTCAATTTGCAAGACTTTGCAGAAACGGTGGAGGGAACTGACAAGGCACTGGGACCTCTCGTCTCTCCAGGCAACAGGTGTTGCACTGGAGATGCAGCTTTAGGTGAGCGGGTCGGTGAGGAACATGCACTCCTGGGTGAGGGCTCTCGGCCCTGAGACTTACTAGGTAGGTCTTCTTCCACAAAATTTTCATCTCCCGTTTCAGCAGGTGCCTTGTGCTGGGACTTACGCGATGAAGTCGAAACGGTAGATTTAACAGATGCAGCACTCTGTGGCCTCTCTGTTTCCTCATTTCCTTCCTCATCAACCCCATCAGGAGTTTTAATCGTGACATTCGCAATTGGTGTCGACGGTTTCAGATTCCTTTCAGACTTGTGAGAAGTACGGGACCTCGCTGATGCTTCCGACTTCACAGAGAGGACGCTGGCCACCCGGCCATTTTCATTTCCCTGTGTATCTCCATTCATCTCAGCAGAAGGAATACCAGCATCATTTAGATTTGGAGATGCTGTGGTTGGGTTGGACTTCTGTGACTTGGAGGACTTTGCAGAGATGTGGGATTTCCCCGATATGGCGCTAGGGGTTCTGCTCTCTGTCTTTGCCTCGTCTTTGGCTGGAGAATTTGTGCGGCGGGACTTCGCTGAGGAGGCTGATTTAGCAGATATTACACTTTCAGACCTCTGCTGCCCATCTTCTACCATCAGAGAAGACCGGCCATTGACCGATCTGCCAGACACTTGACTCGCTGCCCTTCCTTCTCCGTCAGCTCCGGTTCCACACCTGGGAGAAAGTGGTCTTTCTGGAGCTTTCGTGAACTTATGAGATTTATTGGACTTCACAGACATATTTGATTTGGCTGACATGGCGCTCACTGCTCGCTCCTCCGCCTCAATTTCTTCGTCATGTCCAGTTGCTTCAGGTTCATCAGCTGGAGAAACTTCTCTCGCACAGTGACTGCAAGCGGCGCTCTGAGACGCCCCGATGGTTGCCAACGCATTTGACTTAGCTGACTTAGCGGATAGGACGCTGTCGGGTCTTTCCTGGCGCCCCGGCTTATCAGAAAGGGCACTATGAGTTCTTTTGTCATCCTCCTCCACAGCTGCAATGTTGATTGGGGAGGCGACCTTTGTTCTTATCTTGGCTGAAGCACTGCTCTTTGCCGAAGCACCAGATTTGGCTGACAAGGAGCTCTGCGTTCTCTCCACAGTGTTATCTCCCTTTGCTTCCTCTCTTGGCTCTATGCCAGCTGTTGCGCTGCTGTGCGACTTGTGAGACTTGGTGGACTTGTTGGAAACAGCTGACACGGCACTGGGGCTTCTCCCCTCTCGCTCCGCAGCACCACCGTCTTCACAGACAGACTTGTGCGACCTATTGGACCTTTGACTTGTGGGTGAGGAAGCACTGGGAGTCCTCACTTCCTCTGCTCCTGCTCCTTCCGGATTGGACGTTCTGGAAGTGGCACCGCGTGCGCTGCCCGTCAGGCCGCTTGGTGTCGCAGAGCAGCGCCCGTTCTGGGTGAGGTTGCTCTTGTTGGATTGCGTTGACCCAGCTGAACCTTCGGAGCCATCATCATCATCATTGTCGCTGCCATTACTTGTATCTGTTTGGCCGGGGAGCGGTTTTGAGGGCTTTGGAGAAGCTTGCTTGGAATGATGGGACTTCTGTGATGCCCTACTGTCAGCATCAGAGTTGGGTTTGCAGCCGCCACAATTAGGACATACACTGGATGCCCTTGACTGCAGAGAAAGTGCTGTGTGACCAGACAAGCTACTGACCACCCGGTTTCCCTCTTCCTCCTCCTCATCTGCGGCCCTTTTGTCCTCTGTGATCGCGGCTGTGCTGGACCTGCAAGAGGCTCTGCTCGTTTTGGACATGGAGCTTGGAGCTCGATCATTCTCCGCCGCGTCGGCTGTTGAATGCTCGTCAGCTGCTCCGCAGTGACAGAAAGAGGCTGCAGATACGGCTCGGCTTCCTGTCTCCTCATCGCAACCCTTTTGTTCTTTAGAGTGGACGGAACCTACCGAGACGTTGCTGGTTGGTTCGTCACCCTGGCGAGTCGGAGACGGAGATGGTTTGTTGCCGTGGCAGCACTGTGAAGCGCTGGCTGGCAGGTCGTCATCCTGGTCTCCTTTCAGCGATTGGAGGATGTGCGAGGAGCAGCTGATGACAGACGGTGAACGCTCCCCCTCTTCCTCCATCATTACCTCATCCTCCACCGACTTCCTGCTCAGCGGTCGTAAGTCGGCGACCACTTCAGTTCTGCTGCAGCATCGGCTCACCCTGCAGACCTCGACGTGGGTTTCTTCATCCTGCTCCACTCTGCTCTCCACGTGCTCCGTCACGAACATCTCCTCCTGCACCAGTTGGCTCTGCTCCGGACCTCCCGTGCAGCTGGAGACCCGTGCCCGACAGCGCACCACCCTCCTGGAGTTGCACGACGAGGAAGAGCTGGACGAGTGCGTGTGTCTCCTCACGGTGTGGGTGCGGCTGGAGGCGTGCGGGGGAGGGACAGGGGCCTTCCTGTGGCTATGCGCCGGGTTTTCCCACAGGTCATACTGCTGTTTAGGCCTCTGGTAACAGCAGTGGCAGATGTTCCCCTCCAACACTCGTTGCGGAGGTTGGTTGGAATAGTCCACGCCTTCAGGGTGGAAGGATGCACAATCGGGGTCCGAGCAGCTTTCTGATTGGCCCTGCTGCAGGTAATCGGCCTCCGCTTGGCTTGTTGGGCAACATTCATTGGTCACTGATGGTGATTTTTTTACCTGCGTGGACCACTGGAGGGTCTCGTCACTTTGTAGGCGAAAACGTACCCTCATCTCCACTGAGAGGCTTCCGTCTTTATTGACCAGGACCCGCTTTTCAATGTCGTCGTTCATAATGGCCGGTCTGCCGTGGGAGTAGGCGTTGACCCCATGGCCGTACGACTTCTCCGAAGACAAGGAGAAACGGGCTGAGCGGTTGGAGGAATCGGAGCGAGGATGGATGATGCTTTTTTTGGTTTCCAGACCAAAGTTTACTGAACGGAGCAAAAGAAAGAAAGAGCAAGAGAAGATGTTAATGCACTGTTTTAACCACTTTAGAGTTCATGTTGAAATTGAGGTTTGTGTTTCAGGGTATTTACCCAAACAAACTTACCATTCTTCTTGCTCTCCGGCCCTTCGCTGAACTCGCTGGACTGAGCTCCGTGAGGTGGAGATCTCAATCCCTGAGCAGCAGGAGATCTGGCCCCGTTACCTGGAGTCCTGGGGCCGAGACCGGGCAGTTTTTCCTCTGAGCTCTTCCTGATGAAGTTCACCAGCACCGGGCTGAAGGCTTCCCGGCCGACACACACCAACACACCAGGACAGGTCGTGAGGCTTTGCACGCTGTCAATCTGGAAAACGAATTCCCATGGTGTCATTTTCCACTAAAATGGGTCTCATCCACGAAAACCAAAGAGTCTAAATCATGACCACGCATTCAAAATTCTTACCCTGCGTCCCTCGGCAGTGTAGAGCTTGCGAATGTGAAACTGCATCACCTCTGATGCCTCGTCGAGAAAGGCCCTCAGGCTCCTGGTGGACCTCCTGTTGAGCACCAGGCTCCTCCTCACGCCCGGCTCGCTGTTCTTCACCAGCAGGATCCGCCGCTGCCGGTGAGAGGAGTGGCCGGGCGGCGTGCCGGACGAGGACTCGGGCCGCTGGGGCCCGCGGCCGTGGTGGTACCAGCCGCTCGGACGCTTGCCGGCCAGCTCCATGTTGACTGGCTTGGTCTGCCGCCGGTCAGAGCAGAGGTAGCAGCCGCCGTCCTGCAGCTGCTCCAGGTGTTTGACGGCGTGGGTCCCTCTGGGGGTGGTCACTGTCCGCACGCCGAATGGCAGGGGCACCTGTACATTGACAAGCGCACACGTGTTTCATTTAGTTCAGAAGATTGTAATTTATTACTCTCCTTTTTAGAGTTCAGAAATTTAATTTGGGGTTTCCACTGTGCTTGAGTTAAAAAAAAAAATCTAATTTCATACACCTTCATTGAAACGCTTAGTTTCTCTAAGCAACCCCACCCAAAAAAGCCCATTCTACCCTGCGCAGCACGTGTGCATCTACTCAGTCAGCTTCAAAAAGAAATCGGTGGTCCCACTAACCTTTTGGGAAAGGTCGTCCAGCAGGGCGTCGAAGCATTTGAAGCTGCGCTTGTGGACGGCCATCCTGACGCCCCCGAACTGGCTGTCGCCGCTTTTGTAGAAGGTGATCCGCTTGGCCGGACTGGCTGTGGTCAGACGGCTGGAGGGGGTCCGCGGGGTGAGAGGCGAGGCATATTTACACGGGGGCCGGGGGTCCCACATCTCTGCGTGGACCAAGTGCATGCCGCCACCTCACGCACACCTGAAGGGACACGCACAGGACGTGGAGGAGTCGGCCTTTCACGTTGACTTTTGTGACACAAAACGGCAGAGGAAGCATTTTGAGCAAAGTCGTTGAAATCAAACGAGTCGGCCGCCAGGTGAACCGCTAAGCGTTGTTTCGCATGCAATGCCCCCGTCCCCCAAGTTATAACTAAAGTGCCAGAAAGATTCCAGGTTCCGTTAAGATTCCCTCTCATTTCTCAATCTTTTGGGACAAATATTTGACGGCTCGACATCAGTTATTGAACGAAAATATTCACATGACGTAATATCAAACACGCGTGTGCGTCTGTTCAGTGCACGTTAAGGGCTGATCTCCCCTCAGCCTGCTATATTTAGTGGAGCGGCCTAGGACACCTCTAGAAATCCTATTTGGAACGGACGCGACAACGTTCTGTCCAGCTGCCGAGCAGCTTGCGTAACGTCCAGTTCGGTTTTGTGAGACTACCGCTCAGAGTGACGGTGCGCTTCCGTCATTCAATAGAGTGCTGATGATGATGTCGATCAACCATGTGATGAAGGAAAAAAAGGTGACTATTATCAGCAAGCTTAGCGAGGCTTTAAAGTCAGATGAGACTGGACTTTAGGCCAAGTCACTGCTCCCAGCTGAAGAAACGGATTCTTAATCCCCTGTCTCCTAACCACTTTATACCTAAAACATCACCACGTGTCGGGCTGCTAATCACCGGCCTCTAAGGTGACACCGATTCAATCTTTTCCAATCAACACAACCGTGATGACGGCGTGTATGATTGGCTGATGGCCCGACAGTGAAGGCCTTTGAATTATTTTCCCCTACTGAGGCCTTCTTTTAAACGTTCATGGAGAAGTCACAATAGACAAAAATCCTCAACAAACTACAATACATCCAAAACTCAGCTCATCTAAAAGAAATCTGCTTTTAACCAGTGATTCTACTTCTGTATGTTTCATTTAGTTTCATACTATTATGTCATCGCTCTTGATTATAATGTAAGTGCTATTGTGTTGTTTATTTTTTAACCATGTAGTTACTTTCAGTACCTTTCAAGACACAGTACAAATCAAATACATTATTATTATTAATGGATAATTGCATTCACTTACAGAATTAATAGCCCAGTTTACTTGGCGTTGACACCAAACACCCTTGATAGCATTTATAAGTCAGTAACTGAACTAGAGCATCTATCACTACTATCCCATTTTTGCACGTTATATCACTATATATTCACATACAGAGAATATATATATATATATATATATATATGTGTGTTTATATAATGTATTTTTTTTTAAGTTTTACCACTTATGTAAATTACTAACCCATCTTTCTAACAGTGAACTTACGAACCAATTTGTTACCACTACACCCTAATTTAAGACATTTAAATCAAAGATCTTACTAAGATCGAACTTAAGAATGACTGCTGCACTTAGCGGCTACATATTCGACGCACTACTCACACATTCAGGAAACATGATCCCAGGAGAAGAGAAAACGGCAGAGGGGAATCTGTCCGTGCCGAGCCTGCGCTCAAGTCCAAACAAACTGTTCTGTGTGTGTATGTCTGTGTGTGTGTGTGTGTGCGTGTGTGTCGCAGGTACACCAGGATGTACAGCAAAGCTCTCGTCTCCACGACTCTAGGGGTAAAATGGCCGTCCAATCAGGTGCACTGAAGGGGAGGGAGAAGATGGGAGGAGAGGCCAAGGATAGAATGAAAAGCCTGCTTAAGAGCCTGTGTGTGTGTGTGTGTGTGTGTGTGTGTGTGTGTGTGTGTGTGTGTGTGTGTGTGTGTGTGTGTGTGTGTGTGTGTGTGTGTTGCTATGGTGAGACAAGGGACGTTCTTATGAACGGCCCCACACCTGACCCGGAGAGGAGGCACATGCTAATTCACCATGTTATTATTCAAATTGACAATATGATGTGCTCATGAAGTCCGTGAGTAAACGAGCACTCTGAGATCACCGCAAATCTGCCTCCCCTGATATCTTCTTCCCTCTTTATACGTCTTTGTTACACAAACACACACACTTCAAATCCTGCAAAATGAATTGTGCCGCCTTTTGAGGTTTATTGTCGCTTTAAGTAAATCTGATTCTGCAAAATAAAACTGGGGTTGAAAAAACAGAAGTTTTTCTCGCAAAGGCAACAAATTTACCATCTAACGAGATAATTGTCACAAAACGATATCCAATTTGAAATTCAATTAACGCGAGTTCAAGTTTTAAAACACAGCCATGATCTACACTCTCGCACCCCAATTTACACCACTTGTTGAGCTCCCCGTATGCTCAAAGTGTGTCTGCCTCACGGCTCCGCGGAGCGACAGGGGCCTCGGGAGGACTCTGGGTAGACAGGAAGCCGCGGATGAGTAAGTTCCGAGCTGACAGGAAGACTGTTGGTGCTAATGAGTGTTCCTTGTGGAGGAGTCGAGCAGACACCTTTCTTCCTCCTCCTAAATGCAAACTAAAGTCCTCCCAGTAGCTGACGTGTGACTTGGTGCATTCGGCAAGACAAAAGAGGAAGAATAACCGGATTGGGGTGATTCTTATTTTTATTATATTTTTATTATCAGGATGCGTGGCCTACTTTAAGGAGGTCCGGCTCACTCTCATTAGGGCCTCCTCAATCCTTGTCTCTCATCCAATAAGCGCGTGTGTGACTCACCTCATTGTCACCGCTATACGACAAACACACAAAGAAACCATGCGTGTGTATTCAGGCTAAATAGCTATAACATGTCACCTCCATGAATGCACTCACAACAGCAGATCTGTGTTGAAGCAGTTTAAAGGGAAGCAGTTTAAAGGGGCGGGTTGAGTTTAATTAAGGGAAAAGAAATACACATACCGACAGGAATGATGGGAGATTAAAGGTCAATGACGTTTCCGGAGGAAAAATGTTCAGATGGAGGATGTCAAAAGTGCGCTGGAGCCAAGAGACGCACCTGGAATATCCAGAGCAGAAGTTGCGCGTTTCAGTTCTCACCGCAGATCGTCGCGTTGAGACACGCGTCAGGTCAGTGGCATTCAGACCGGAAGTACCGTGGTGTGCACCTCCAAAATAAACGCGTTGCGTCCGCGCGTTACGCTTTTTAACAGACCTGATGATTAACTGCGAAAGTCACAATTAGCAGCTCCAATTTCAAAATAAATGGCTAAATATATGGGCACCGTTGTAGGCTATCACGGTAGTTACAAGCTGACAACAATTTGGAATACAATTACTAATCTTTAATGCCACTGTAAAGTCATAAAGACCAAACCTGAGCAATACTGAAACATGTTTGCAGTATAATTGTGTATTTTGGTTTGTTGTATGTGATATATTTTAGGGAGTTGGTATACTTTACCAAATCATAAGGATTGGTGCTAAGTGATGAAATATTAAATGGATGATAAAATGAACAAATGTCTAAAAATTCCAAACTCTAAGAGTTTTATTGTGTAGATGTTCTATGTGCAGAAAGAGCAATGTTTATTCTATTCTGGGACAAAACCCTGGGAGAACTGGAGGAGAACTGGGAAGAATGGATGTTTTCTAGCCTCGAAAAACCTTTTGTACTCAAGAAATGCAGTCCATCGTCACTAAGGGGTAGACAGCGGAGTTACTTTAACCTGAGAACCTTCACGTTTTTATTAGAAGAGGGCATGGGAAGGCTACACAGAAAATCCTCTGAAATTTAGCAGAGATTACGCATCTACACAGAAATGAATTACCACTCTTTTTTATAATTTCCGAAATAAAATTGCATATGCCTCACTAATTTGATTAATACACAATAATTTGTACAATTTGTACAATACAAATTATTGCTCATTATGTTAATATATATATATATATATATATATATATATATATATATATATATATATATATATATATATATATATATATATATTAACCAAATTGAAGAGGGTCTTCAACTAATAAGTATTTTATTTTGAGATACGCAACCGGAAGTGGTCTAATGTTGCGACGGCTGTTTTGACGTCATCTCAAGCCGTTATCTTTACATTCGAAAAAACAACTCTCCTTCGATGTTATTTCTTGAGCGGCGGGAGGAGAAATAGGGCGGAGGGAGAAGAAGGCGAGGAGTGGGATTCACTTCAAAGAGGATTATCCCGAGCAAGAGCCATCTGTTTGAGGCGGATTAATACAACCCGTTGCGTTCAAGAACCGTGCGTTGTCGAACAAAGCTCCTTTTAGATTTAAGCAGGCTTTTTTCAAGTGTCAAAAAAAACATCCGTCCTTAAACCTCGGACACAAGTGTCCCCTCAACTATTTTACCACACAACCATGTGACTATATCATCAATGTTTTGGGCAACGAGTAACTGAAATGTGATATAGTACTTTTTCATTTTCGTCACACATTTATCAGAAACCCCAAACATTAGGCGTTTCGCAGAGAATGATCCGTACATTCCATCAGCTGCCTCACGCACTACGTGAATGTGACGTAATCACGCTAACACCCGCGCGCCCGCTTATGTCTCCAATGGCAACAAACCCTTACTGAAGGTGAAATATCACAAAAATATCAGAGACACGACAAGCCAGCAAGTGAAGCTAAACCAGGGACACAAGAGGCAAAACTACAAAATAAAACAAGTCAGGTTTGACCCTCACCTGACCTTTAATGTAACCTTTTCTGTGCAAAACCTCCTTCCGTCATCTCAAAAACATCTCCAAACTCTGCCCACTTTGACCATGTCAGATGCAGACGCTTGTCCATGCAGTTATCTCAAGACTGAACTACTGTGATTCACTTTTAACTGGAATCACTGGCGAGAATAACTACAATACATCTAAAACAGCGCTGCCAGGATCCTGAGGAGAGTCCGCAAATATGAGCACATACACCCATCTTAAGTTTTTCTTTCCCTATGTTTTTACTAGCTTTTACTTTCATTTGAATGTTTTGCCATCTCTGTCACACATTTTCTGATGAAGAGTGCGATATAAATAAAATGTATCATTATAAATTGAATGAACCACCGATATGACATCTGTAATGATACACCTGCATCAGCAAGAACAATGTGTAGAGTGACTGAATCACAATCCAAAGACGTAGCTTTGTGATAAAAGGCGCACAAGCTTGTGGGTGATGGTGTTTTTGGTGTTATGGGATGTAATTTATTGGCTGACGTGGAAGCATATCTAACATTCCACTTGTAGGCTCCTGTGCTGGACATTTAAGAAACATTCATTGTCAAAATCAACGAGAACAGACTTTTGATTGCTGGCTTCATTCAAGTATTTATTTAAAAAAAAAAAAAAAAAAGTATGATAAATAACATTTTTCTTCTTCTTTAACTACTTGACAGATATAAGCCCTTGGAGTACAGCTGTGAAACAGAAGAGCTCCACTCTCCCTCAATCAACAAAAAAGGAACCGGTAACGCATTCATCGATCCAACATTCATAAATATTTAACGCAGAGGACGCAAAGCGACAAAAGAACCCATTAAACATTTAGAACAACAGAACTCCCAACAATATAAATATTAAAAAGCACCTACAATGCTTCAGAAGTGACGCCATTTACTAACTAAAACCCTTATTTTCCTGCCAGGCAACTATGGTGTGAGCACCTTGAAGCTGCCCCTGCGGCCACCGGTTACTACAGTACCGGCCCCTGAGGTAAAGCCTTTCAAGAGTTTCTGCTTACAGTACGGATTTGTAGCCGGCCGGGAGTGAAGCTCGCGCAGAAAGCCAACGGACAAACTTTTTGAATGATCGGCGGCTTTAAAAGGCAAGCGGTCAGGTGCCACAGATGTTTACCAGCAGGCTGGCGGCGTCATCTGTATACGTAACTTAATTACATACAGAGAGCGGACTCGGCCCTCTTTTCTTAAACGGCTCAGTAACATGGCGATTGTGCCCAGCATGCAGTTGCATCAGATTGGTTTTCCCGTCAAAGCTGGATGGACGGACAAGAGCAGAGAGGAGAGAAGGACGGGGCGATGAGGTCTGGAATGGTTTGATGCCTCTGCTGTGGCAGTATTTTTTTTTATGAATTCAACTGGTTAAAGTGTGTCAGTGAGGGCTAGACGTCCTCCTGAAATCCTCAGTGTCACATTTGCTGTCAGAGAAAGCATATTTTTTTTGCAGGAAAATAAATAAATAAAAGCTAGAGAAGGCTCAGTAGGTTTGTGCCAGCTGGTTGCCCGTAGCGATGTGAGTCAGCATGGTCCGCACCAACTCGGAGAGGCCGTACTCGTGCTTCCAGCCCCAGTCCCGCCGCGCCGCGGTGTCCTCCAACGCCATCGGCCAGCCGTCCGCTGCAGACGCGGGAGACAGGCACACATTCTGTAAAACCCCCGGGAGCAGCAGCGGTGGTGAAGCGGAGGCATCTTTGCGACCGGCGAACCTCACCTATGGCCTGCCGGATCGGGTCCACGTTGTAGGTGACCTCAAGGTCGGGCAGGCCTTTCTGTATCTCCCGGACGAGGTCGCGCGGCGTGAAGCTCGTGGCGTTGATGTTGTAGGTGCGGCCGAGCAGCGACGCCGCCGGAGCCTCCAGGAACTCCAGAGTGGCCCTGAGACAGTCGTCTGGACGGAGGGGAGGGAGAGGAGGAGCGGAAGTACAAGCCGATGAAGGATAAAGAGGTGGATTATGTTTGGAAAGGTGTATATAAATAAAGTCCGGCATTACCAATGTACATCATAGGAAGCCGCGTGTCGCCGCGCAGGTTGCACTCAAAGCGGCCCGTCTTCACGGCTGCGTGGAAGATCTGCACGGCGTAGTCTGGGTGACGGAAAAATAAACTGATCAAGACCAAAAACACTAGAGGGATGTTCGCCTCTTCTGTTCAATCTTTACACGCTAATGCTACAACCTCTGACTCGGCCCGCTTCTGCTCCTCAAGTCGACATGCTCACCTGTGGTTCCTCCTCCGGGCTGCGAGTCGGCCGAGATGATGCCCGGGTACCTGAGGCAGCGGAAGTCCAGCCCGTACCTGTGGTGGTAGTACTGACAAAAAGGCAGCCGCAAGGCTTAATAAAAGAAAACACAGCGCTTTGTGATGAAACGCAGGGAGGTATCGGGAGATGTGGCCGTCTCACCTCGCCCATCAGCTCCGCGTGGACCTTGGACACGCCGTAGATGGTGCGCGGCCTCTGCACGCACAGCTCGGGGGCCGGGTCCCTGGGCGAGGACGGGCCGAAGGCACCGATCGTGCTGGGGACAAACAGACGCAGACCATGTTCGGTTGCTATGTCTAATATGTTATGGAGACCTACGAAGAGAGAGAGGCTGCGCATAAGTGTCTGCGTCGGGGAGGTGGCTCTAAAGGCAAATGTACATACGGCGATAAGGGGCGCGTACCTGTGATGTTGACCTCTCTGGCCAGCGCGACGTTGTTCTCCCCCACAGCGGACAGCACGGCCGAGTAGTGGACCAGCCAGCTGATGTTGTTGTTCACCACGATCTCCCTGAGGTTCTTGTAGTCCAGGATGTCCGAGAAGATGAACGGACCTGCGGAGGAGGAGACGTGTCCACAGGACGATCAGCACGATTGATTCTTTTTTCGGCGGAAGAATTTGACAGTAAGTTGTACTAGAACAAACACCGTTATGGTCGACGTGGCTGGGGGGTTTCCTGATGTCCGAAAGAATCACGTTGTTTTTTCCAAAGCGTCTCCTGAGGGCGAAACACCAACATGCCAACCCAAGATAAACATTTGAAATCTGAGCTTAAATATACACTCACCTCAGCAACTTGGCGAGCCCCACCCCCAGCTGGCCGAGTCCTCCTGTGAGAGCAAAAAGGAAGAAGGCACATTGTGTTTGACTTGATTTTAAAGAACAAAAAAACATGTATGTTGACACACAACGACGAACCAGTGATCAGGACTTTGGGGGGATCGGCATCGGTGCACCAGGGGGGAGGACTTGCCCGGAAGTGCTGCGAGGACGAGCCGAAGCCGCGTACCGCAGAGGTCAACCTCTCAACGCCGCTCCCAGCATGCTTCACTGCGCCCCTCAGACACTGCATCCCCAGCGTCGCACACCTTCTGCAAGGAAAAACAAGAGCGTGCAAATTAACCAAAAAGGCAGGCCGCCCCATGTTAGCGTTCATTACATCTAGACATTATGTGAGATCATAACTGTTTTCGACCCCCTATATGTGACTGGAGTGTAATCCCAACACCTACCTAAGATTAGCTTCTGGCAGCGTGCTGCTGATTACTAAATATAGACCTGTTCATATGTATTCCACACCACCCATATTCATATGGGGACAGTGAGAATAAAGTAAGAAGAAAAGACAAGAAAATAATGCAAATCAGAAATAAGTAGCCCTGCAGTTGATATTAAATGTGTGTATTGTATAATGTAATAATACTTATTATGCTCTATTACGGTATAGATTGGCATTACTAATACACATATTCTTTTAGTTCACTGAAATAGGGAACAGATTAAGGATTACCAGAAGTGGTGCAGCAGCTTCACTACCTACTTACTAAACCTACGGACTAGAAAAAACAACGTCACCCATACGTGTATTTAAAATGTGTTACGTCGTATTTTAAGAGTTTTAAGAGTCGTGCACAGATAGTTCAGTGGCTCTTATTTTTCATGTCAAGCACTTCGTCGTGACCTTTTCGCCGAAATCTACACCCGTGTGAAAACACCGAGCGGCTGGCCGACGTTAGCCTGATCGATCGCTAAACAACGGCGGCTACTTAGCGCTGCAGATGTCTCCGTGTGTGGTCGCCCCTCCACCTGCTGCGGGACGTTAGCCGGGTAACGTTAGCCTAGCTAGCATCGGAGGTAGCAATCTGGCATGAACTGCAGCTGATACCCGGGCTAGCTTTAACTTAACCGCGAACGTTAGCAGAGCGGCGCGTGTCGATAGTACAATTCTTAATTTCTTACTTTAATGTCAATCGGGGGAAACAAAATGAAAAGACGACTTGCGACTCCTTCACCCAGCGTGTTGTGTTGAAAAGTGAAAGCAGACGCGTGGCTAAAGGGGCGCTTCCACGCGCTGTGATTGGCTGGCGGCTCGAGAGGCTCGGCAAACTAAATACAAACATCCTGTTCAAACTTTCAAAATAAAGTCCGTATGTATTTAATTGCATCTCTGTAGACATTGATTTTCAACCGGCGCACTCTCTACTCTCCAAAGCACCTATTGCTGTCACTTCAACAAAAGAGGCTGAATAGTTTTCTTAGATGTCTCTTCGGTTGCGTCCTTAAATGGGAAACAGCGCCCCCCCGGTTCTACAGCTGGTGAACGTCGCCTGCTCTGTGGTGAAAAGACGACATTGCACCCTTACAGAAATCACTATTAGCGGGAAGTTAATTAAAAACAATTAGCTAACGTTAGATACGTTAAAAGGCTCTTTCCGAACACACAACGGACTTTTATTTAACGTAATTTAAATGAACATTAACGTCAGCATTAATTACCGTTGCCGCTAACGATATTAGCACCACGCTACCGTGGCAGGTGACACCGAAGTTGAGCGAACAGCGACGGGAAAGAAAGCAGGAATAATGAACGTGAGTAGCTAACTTCCTCTGCTAGCTCGCCATCTCTGCTGCGTGTGCTCGTGACGTCGTGGAGGCCATTAGGCCTCACTTTATAGAGTCCGTCCTCTTAGCTTTGTTTTCAAGTTGAGTTCTGAGTCATTATCTTTAATAGTACTGCGTGGGCTCCCTTGTGATGATAATAATTCTAACTGGTAAATGCTAAAATGCGTGTTTAATTTCAGGAGTGAGTTAGGTGGCCCCTCATAAACTGGCCCCAGTTTGCCCCCCCAACACCATCTGCACAGGCGGCTAGATTCCAATGCACGCGTTATAATTGGTCATTATTAATGATCAAAGGTTCACACAAGGATAAATCATCGTCCGGTGGTTGTGAACATTTACCTCAGTTAAGATGTGTTCCCGAAAATGAACGGAACAAATCCCCCTGCTGTAATTAAGATGGAATTGGGTGTCAGTCATAACCTCGCCCCTGCTAATTACCTGCAAGTGATTTATTCCCTGTGGCACGCAGGCAGATGAATCTGTGTCGTGCACGGCTGGCTGGACGGTGGACAAGCGTGCACACGCTCTCAGACAATATGCAAACATCAGTGCATCCACATTGAAGCGCAACTATGAGAAGTTCATTTGAGCTGCAGCAGCTTCATGTTCATTTTGCTCTGCTCCTTGGGGTTACTGTACTCTACCCTCATTTCCCCTGTTGTGAAACATCCTCCGATTTTGATTCGCCAGTTGACAAAGTAAAAATTGGATGGATCCCACATTTAATAAGTTTATTATTATTGTGTCATTAGCTTCAACCATCATTCTTTGATGAAAATAATGGTTCAAAAAGTGCAGCTTTTAAATAAGGGATCTCCACCGTGACAACTGTTACCACTTATCTCATTGTTAATTTAAATAAAATCCTACATTGTAAAATTATGAAACACAATACATTTGAAAACATTTGTCGCTGCGAGCTGCAGGCCTCTCTCTCATAGATCTTTGTGTGCAGGTGTGTTTGCTGGAGGCCACCAGGTGGCACTAGTTACCAGGAGATCACCAGGGGGATTCAGCAGACACGAGGTAAAAACAGAGGATCACGTTGATCCTTTTTTCCCTGCTGAGCCCTGTTCAATTCCTTTTTTTATTTTTCCATCATATCAAGTAGCTGTCAGAATAACCATGAAATTGCATGTTAAAACATGTTTTTTTCTTTGTATGTTTTAAGCAACATTGTTTTAAATGTTTATGTATGGAGATGCTTTATCCCCACAGTAGTTACTGAATTTAAAAGCTTACACAGAATTGCCAAAAATACTGTGTTTTTATTTATCCGTAAATACAGCAGGATTTCTACCTCTGCACCCTAAAGTTTTTGGATATAATCCATTTTTTTTCTTGTGGATTCAGTTCCAGCTGAGCAGAATGGGCCACAATAGATGACGCATGTCTTATTGTTTGTTTGTTTTTTGCCTTGGTGGAGGTCTGCCCAATTCCGGAAGATGTAGTGTGCACAAATTCCATTGTTTGTTTTGCTTATTGTTGCCCTGTGTACACACTCAAAATAATAGGTCGTATGTTTTTGGCGCCGGGGAAAAGAATTTTTTTTTTCATGTGGCAATAATTATTGTTTACACACAGAAAAATGACTGTAATAACTTAGTCCTGGTTGAAATATATTATTTTACACTCACGATTACACAATAGGGTGATGACCCTTCTTTACAATGTATTATGGTGGAAAGCCGCATTTCTTTTAGTACAGTCTAGCAGCTACGGACGGTATTCACATGTCTCATCACACTGTGCATTTATGCTGAAAAGTTTCAGTTTATTTGCAGGAATGTTTCCCCCTGAGGCAAAGAGCCGCCTCAGCAGCAGTGGAAACTGCGGTTGGGTTATGCATTTAAAACCAACTCTACTGGTTTCCTTCTATTTGTTCTTCCTCTTGCACCCCGTTTAATTCCTCCCTTGTAATCAATCGTGTTGAGAGTATTTAGCACAATGTTTAAAAAATTGCAATACCACGGTGTAAAAAGACTCTTATGTGTAAAGGTGCTGCACTCTAAATATTATTTGCAAAATGTCCCCAGTCACAGTAAAATTACCACAATATTATTACGGATGCATTAACATGGAAGACGCATTTAAACGCTGTCAATGTGTGGCCAATTACTTTACATCATGTTTAGCATTGTAATCCACAACAATTAATCCCATTTGCTCCTAATGGAGCTGCTATTTTCCTCCCAACACATTTGGCTTGAATGTGAAAAAAAAGGCTCCAGACATTTTTGAATTAGCAGAATAAAAGCCTCTCAGATATAACGCATCTCTATTAATTAGCGTCTGTCTTTGCACTTTGCCTCCTCCCTTTTTAATGCCGCCCACAAAACAATTCAAGCTCAACTCGCACTGCTCGTCGCAAGCCTCTAATATTTTAACACGGTCTGTTTTTTTTTATTTTTGAGAACGCCTTTTATATAATTGCCACAACACGTGCTCTAGTTATTTTTTTAGATATGATTCCATTGAGGAAAAAGGCCGAATTTGCGCGGCCTAAATCCATCCAGAGAGAACGTGGCGGTAACTCACGCGGCTCTCATTGTGCGCCAGCGAGCTCGGCCTCGGCGGCGGCCCGGCGTTCAGTCAATGTCCCCCTAATTCGCCATCATCACTCCGGCCACTAATGGGATTGTAGGCAGGCCTATTTATCGCCTTTAGGGAATTGAGGCTACATACAGTGTGTGAGGGGTTAATTAGAAACATCTGAAGGGGTCAGAGGCGTGTGAGTGTGTGTGTGTGTGTGTGTGTGTTGAGCACATGTGAGAGGGCTGGACCTTCGGTAATAGGGAGGTGGATTTGAAAACGAGGATCCTCGGGAGAAGATTTATCCGCCGGCTGTGACACCGGGGACAAATAGTGCTGCTAGGTGAAGGCCTCTTGGTGTAGAGTCCAGTCTGGATAACAAATAACTTGTGTGTGTTTGTGTGTGAGGAAATAGGATACGGGGCCACATTCACTTATCACTGAGTCAGCTACTCGAGTCCGCTCCTGACACCCAGCAGGGACCCACTTCGCCCCTCTCACTCGCCGCTCTTGTTTCGTCCCGCCTTTTCTTTTTTTCCTTCTCCCTCCCATCTATCTCTCTTCTCTTTAATACTCATATCCACCCCCCCACCCCACCTCCTCCACCCTCACCTCCTCTCTCCTCCACAACTCTTCAGCGGTATCTCCCCAGCCTCTCAGCCTCCCATATTACGCTGCCAGATAAGAGTGGAGAAGGGGGCCCCCGACTGACAGGAACCCCAAATTAATTTACAAGCAAAGGTGCCGTTCCCGGCGCTGATAGAACAGTCTTCATACAATGCGGAGGGACGGGGAGTGACGCCTCGGAGGCTCCGCCGACGAGAGAGTGCGACCGTGCTATCTTTGTAATTATAGGGAGGGACCTTGATCCGTCTCTCTTTTTTTTTTTCCTTAATAAATATCCCTGTAGAGACAAATCCAAGCATACTTCTACTCTCTCTCTCTGTGCATATAGATATATCTATATGTTTATATTTAGTTATTATATGTGTAGGCAATGAATAAATCCGTTTAATTTCTTTCTTTTGCAGCTCACACAGGAGTCCATCGCCCTGACCCTTTGGTAGACGACCTTCCTCCCGAGGCTCCTCCTTCTCTGTAGCGATTCGCCACAGCTCCGCGGCCTAATAGGCTTACACTGCGCCAAGGAATCTGAAGAAATGTAAGTGGATTAAGGAAATCGGTTTGATATAGCGTTCATTAGCCTGATGTTGGACCAGAGCTGTCACTTTGGGAGCCGTGACGAGTTCTGTGTGTGTGTGTGTGAGGGTCTGATGGCGTCCGCTCTCTCTCACTCTGATTGGTTGCTGACATTTGTCACGTAGGTGGACGGAGGCCTTTCTGTCCAAATAAAGGAAGCGCACCAAACATTCCTTCAGCATGTCTGCCTTTGCCTTGCTGAAAATGTATGTCGTAAGTGGTTAAAATATGTCATAAAAAAGGGCCAGATGCACTTTGAATGAATCAGAGCCGTTTATTTTCTATGTAAATTTACTGTACTGCAAACGGTTTTTAAAAAGTTGCACTTAAAGTGGACTTTAGGACCAGAAAACGTTTCGGTAATGTACGCGATGCGTCGTGACTTGGTCGTCGTGCCAGACGAAACTAACTTGTGGAGTCAGCCCTCATCGTAGTTGCGTTTCTTCCCCTCACGTTGTGATTTACAAAACCAGACATATTGAAGACCTTTTAGAACTAGCTGCAAATCAACGAACGACCCCTTGTTTGAAAGCCGCCATTATACCGATGCCGTATTGCCACAATTAAAGGTTGATAGATAGCTGGATAGATAAGGACCGTGGGCCATGATAGAAATATGACGTATGATCTGAGTGGGTGTCCTCAGGAATGGATTCATTCACATAGTTTGGGATCTAAATGCTTTGCGAGCTGTGAAATGGGTCATTTGTTGAAGCCTGAGGTCTTTTGGGGGGCTG